GAAGAAACATGAGGAGAAGAGCCCAGCCGCCCTCATCAGGTGGAACGGTCTGAATGCGCTGAAGTGGGAGAGTAAACGCACGAGCCACATCTCCTCTAACAGCATGTGGTATCCGGGGCGTTCTAGTAGCATATAACGAGCACCAGAACGCGGCAACAACTCTGCCTCAAGATCAATACTCCGTATCCAAGACTAGTGCGCCGCGGCAGGTGGAACTCTCACGCCACGACGAGCTGAGGCAGCACCAAGGGCAGCCTGCTCCTGCCGCTGTGCTTCTCGCTTGTCGCATGACCGCTTGTGTTGTGTCAGGCCCCGAAGGCCCTTGAAGCGGCCCTGACACTGATGGCACTGGCGCCAATCAATGGGTCCTGGCTCGGCAGCGGCGCGCGATGCTCTTGAGGTGGAAGGGCCTGAAGTGGACGGTCCTGCAAGGGCTGGATTTGAAGCAAGGGAAGCCATAATTGTGGACAGCTACAATTTCCACAGCTCTGCATGCTTCGTTCGTATAGGTTTCCAACGTATACATGCATATACGTATGCAGCCAATATCATAGCACATGCCATGGACGATCGGTATATCAACATTTAACCATACTACTATGCGAGTCGGCCCCGCGTAAGCACTCAAGTCCGGTCAAGTCCGATAGTGTAGTATAAGCATGGACGGATGAGCACGAACTTGGCCGAGCGACTGAACACTCTAATAGCTCATTTAACTTGCCTTGAGGATCTTGCGCATGCGATGCATGACAGGGGCGCCAACTTCGCGCACTGATAATGCCTTGCGCATCATCATACAATGCTCAATGTCCAGGTCAGTGATGATTTCCAAACACCGCCTGGAAACCGGACGTATATCCACCCCACAATTGCCATGCGTTGGCTGCCAGTGTGAAAACCCCTGCATGCTTCCAAAGTTTGTGACACATATTAACCAAGTGTTGAGTTTTCCGAATCCTCCTGATCCACGCTACCCTGACTCGAACCCGGCAGCTCGAAGTTGAAGCTCACTTTCGGAAAGCTTCTTTGCAACTTGAAGAGATCGCTGAAGTACCGGGGATCGATCGCCGCATCCACCTCCAACCTTTCCTCGTGCCACTCGGCCCTTACTGTCAACACTTCGAGCAGTTTCGCCGACTGCAAGACATAATCCAGAAACGTAAGGAGACGGCGACTCATGGTCCCCGCGCTCACCACTAACACTCGCAGGTTCGGAAGACAAGCCTGCCGCGTCTCTACCGCCCTTTCCCAATGCTCGCAGACGAACTCGATGGCCGTCTCCCGCAGAACCAGTTCGTGCAAGTCCCCGAGCGACGCTAGCACCGCCCACGGGCACGTCCCGTTCAGTGGCGTCTCGATTTCCATGTCAAGCATCAGCTCCCACAGGTTCGGACACTTCCGCAGCAGACTGGTGCTTAGCCACTCCCACATCCAAAGATAACGTGGCCCTCGGTACTCCGAGCTCCTGACGCTCAGAAACTGCACGTTGCCCAGGCTCGGGTCGCCGCAAATGTCGATCTTTTCGCAGTCAAGCAGATCGAGGTCGTACAGCGCCGTCGAGGTGCCCACGAACCGAAGCTGCGTGAAACGCGACATCGCTAACCCTTGGAGTGCGGGCGCTTGCAGCGTCAGCGCCCCCGGCAACTCGCTCGAGGGAACTGTCGGAACCGCGCGCATCAGTTTCAGCCGCTCTAGTTTCTCCCCCACGATGCTCGGCGACTGCAACCCAAAGACCCCCGTGAGCTCCAACTCTTTGAGAACCGGGCACAGTTTCAGGAGCGACTCTAGAACTGGGTCGCTCATGATGACGTGCTCCAGGGTTAGCTTGACCAGCTTTCTATACCGCGCGCACCCCGCTTGGAACCCCGGCTCGAGCCGCACGTACGAGTCGTCCGACGACGTCAGGAGCTCCAGCGCCGTGAGTTTCGGACACTTGGAGGCCGTCCGGAGCCTGTCCGCCAGGTTCTCCCCCAATCTAGTTTCCGTGAGCTGCAGCTTCTGCAGCGTGTCCTTCACGTGAGATACCCAGAAGAAGAAGCTCAGATCGCTGACGGTCCACCGAGTCTCCACTTTTAGGCACCGGAGGTCGGTTGCCCGAACCACCCGTTCCGAGACCAGAAGTTCAAACGCTCCCAAACCCCGCCCCTGACCCTTTCCCCCCAGGAAATGCAGGTGCGAGACAGCGTCGGAAAGCTGGTGGAAGCGTCTGCAAGTGGCAGAGAAGAGGGCGACGTCTTCTGCTTTTCGCACGAGCGACAGGATCTCGAGTATCAGAGGGTCCGGGAGATTGTCGAAGAAGTTTGATGGTGGGGCGGGCTTCAGGAGGGGTTTAGGAACTTTGGCAAAGGGCTGCTTCTTTTTTGAAAAAGGAACTGCCTGCGCAGTCTCTTCGAGGCGGCGGCGCCGAACTTTGCTGGGCACAAAGTGTATGGAAGCCATCCTGGTCTATATGTCTCTGCAGAACGGATGAAGAGAATTTTCTTGAGATGATGCATCAGCAAGAACAACTGCTTTGCAATTGTGTTCGATCAGCAGTGCGGCCAAAGTACCCCGGAGCAGTCCAAAAGGGAGCTCTCAACACAGAGAAACAGAAAGTTGATCTCAAGCAGGATCGATGACATGCTTTCATTTGTGTCAGGGCACCATAAGAACTGCCTCCGTCTTGCAAACAAGTCTATCAGTCAGCTCATTGTCGCAGACTGCTTTATCCAATGCTGGAAGATTTGCGACCTTAACGAGCACGATCGCGTAAATTGAACAAGACTTTCAAACGGTCTGGATAGCTCGTGGCTTTTTGTGGGGTATTGAGAGGCTGCAATGCAGTGTGACATTTTCAAAACGCATCCTAGTCCTCATTAAATGGTTTCAGAAACTGCTTTTGCATTGCACGCTTTGCTCGGTGGAGAGCGTAATCTCACCTCAGAAACACATGTATCTGGGCCTCTGCAACATCAGCACGTTGCACCCCAATAAGACCTTTCGAACGATAAAATGCTATGCCCACCAACACAGGGACGCTGCATTTTGCGTTCGGCCAGCTCTGACCCTGCCAGTGCCAGCTAGGATATGCGAATCGGAATGGCTGTTGATCATGTGTCACATGTCATGCAATGGCGTAGTCTTCAGACTTAGTGCGCGCACTCAGCGCGCTCAGTCTCTCATGGTACTAGGTAGACGATGATCGAGTACGGTCACGGTCACTCCATCATGGTAAACGTTGTAGCTCGGTACTTATATGAACAGCTTTCGATCCATCTCCTCATGCTAGTCTTGAATCTGCAGAGAAGGTTCCTTTATATAATTGCGCAAATGCTGACATGATTGGATGATGTCACGAACTCAGGATTCTCTGCAGAGGCGGTCATGCAAGATGGGGGCAGGACTGCAACTTCAAGCTCTGTGATCAGGTATGTGGAGAGTTGGTGTGGTCAGGGCGGAAGTAGTCTGCGCCTTTGCTTCAGCGCATCCCCCACAGCGAGTGCCAGCAATGCCATGCCCCTAGCTTCAGATCTCTCAAACCTTCGGGGCAATTTTATCAGCACCGGCATGGGTGGGTCCGCCACGTTCCACTGTACATTAGAGATCTCACTTAGAAGATTCACTTTTAGGGCGTGAAATCGAATTTGTGAAAGTGACAGCTTGAAGTTTGTCAGCATTGGGAGCTACGAGACTTGAAGCCTTAAGCAAAAGTTGCCCGCCGCACAAGCTGGACAGCGTGTATTGAAAGATTTGCCTTCCTATACCCTTCCCGCATTTTGCCTGGTCCGCAGAGAGCTAGCTGGAGGCAGTAGAAGCAGGGAATCTGAGCTTCGTTTTTGGGGGATCCCTTGCTGTCCTCAACAGCCGGTTCTATACAGTGCGAGACAAAAAGGAATGAAAAGGCCTCACTGTGTTGGGCCCTTCTAGAAGACCTTACCCCGTTGTTCCCGATCAACTAGACGTTGAATCTGGCGTTGAGACCCCTGACAAGCTAGCTGTTAAGTGTTTTGCTATGTTGCTAGCTGAGCCGGAAGCTTCCCTAGACCAGCGCAGGCCTAGAGTTGGGGGTACATTGCTTTTCCACGTCGTGTGGATTTCAAGAAGAGCACTCGGCTGCAGTAGGCATGTTGGAAATTGAATTGTCCATTTAGCACTTCCTTCGGAAAGGGCCAGTTTCTCTGAAACTTATCGGCGCTCCAGCAATTTAAACAACTTGCCTACTTGACTCTTAGATCTGTCGCCCCCAGAAGCTCGACTGTAAGCCTGTTCACACCACCTTCGTAGAAAGTACTCAGCCCAGTGGTAAAACTCCCCCTTCCCAATGGGAACATTCCTAGGCCACTGCCTCCCTGGCGGCTTCTTTCTCGCCGTAGGCCTCTGGCACTTGTTTTCCTGCGTCGTAAGGTATGCCCGAGCGGACGGCTTACGCTACGTCGCGAAGGTCTACCACCAGGGCCCCGGGTTCTTGAAATTCTTCGAATTGTACCTCATCATTCTCGCGACGCTTTTCGACATATTCTTTGAGCTGTTCCTCTCCACCGACTTCCGCCCACTGGACAAACACGGGAACATCCCGATGTCGCTTCTCAACGACTACGAGCACTCTGCAATGCTCTTCGTTTTCTTGATCTTCGCTCTTGCAACATTACTCTCCGAGTCTACGAACCTCCTCCCCCTCCCCCGAGGAGCGCTACACGGAGTCGCAGGGTTTTGCTTCTTGATAGAGTTTCTTCTCTTCCATTTCCACTCGGCCAATCATGAAGGGCTGGAATCGCAAGTACATACCCTGTTGACCATCCCCATATTCGCCTGTATGGCGCTCTCTTGGCTGCTGACATGGCAGAACGGGAGCTTCTTAATGGACCTTGCGGCAGCGGGGGCGCTCGTGCTTCAAGGGACATGGTTCTTGCAGGTGGCTTTCACCCTCTTCTTCCCAGGTATGTGTTTACAGTCAAGCGATCGCTTCTGCAGTGCTGTATGAATGAAACCGCCTATGCTGTTCACGCCAAACTGCTTCCTGAAAATCTGAACGTAGTTGGTCGTCTGTCCTCTTCCAGGAGTTTCTCGGCATCTTGTGTTTGTTTCTGTGCTTCAAGAGATTCTGGGGCCCCTTATTACATCAGAAACGGACCACTTCTGAGTTACAAATGATATGACAAAGTTAGTCTCTGTACATTTGATTTCAACTAAGTTTTCAACGACATCACACTCTCATAGTGCGGCTGTCATGAAGTGTCATGAACTCCCAAGAGTCTGTCCGCTTTGATCACAAGAGTCCTTCACTCCCGCCCTTGAGTGCAGTCCTTTACTTGAAGCACGGCCCTGCCTTCCCATTCTCTGCGTCCTCCTCACCGTCCCTTTTCAAGGCCAATCTCCATCTTGCGAGCGCTTCATTTTAGTCTCGACACTTCAGGTCCATACTTCTTAAATGACTCAAACTTGGTTTCCCTGTCTGCTTCAACATGCACACGATCTTCTCGCCACCTCCCTTGTGTCTTTCAAAGACTGAAAGCCGTGATCGGGAGTAACCCTCGTTTGGCCCTTGATAACCCCCACCGTCCTATCAGGCACAATCCCCCTGGGGTGCCATCACGAGCCGGATGCGCCCAACGGCACGGACGGCTCGACCACGTGTAAGGACGAGATGGCGACACACCGAGCCAAGGCAATCGCCAATCTGCTCTTTACTTGCCACGTGGCAGTCGTCTTGATGCTCACGCTCGCAGCGTTTGCGGTGGCAAATGCTATCTACAAGCCCAAGGTGAGACTCAACTCGAAATGGGTTTTTGCCGAAATGAATGTTACGATGTCAAGACAGATCTGGGGAACTAGACAGCGGTTTCAAAATCTTGCGGTATCAGAAGAGGTTCAGTCCATGGCTCAGTGTGATTAAACGAAAGCAACCTGCCTTTGAACGTTGTGTTCTTTGCAAAGCCGGTGCATTGGTCGGAGGTGACCTGGGGAGGAAATGTGAAGCATGGGCGATTTCTGAAATGGAGCAGAACGAGGTTTGAAGATGGGACAATGAAGGAGCGAGGCAGACGCGGCGCATCGAAGGCTCGAGTCTGAGTCTTTCTTGCAAACGCAAACTGCAAGGTCAAGGTGTGAGAGGAACTTCAAAGAGGGAAGGTCTTAGGACCAGGGGACAGTGCTGCCTGTATTGACAATCGCGTTCTTCCTTTTCTGGGATTCCCTTGGGCCGCTTGTGCCTGTATGTTTCTTTCCGTGCCACATGCCTTGATCAGTCGTTCACCGGTCAAGCATCGTCCTGTATCTTCTCTCTTGCGAAAGTTTGCGCCGTTGACATGAGACCCGGAAGCCCAATCGGCAGATGGTTCAGCTTCTTCCGGAAGCATACAGAAAGGACGCCGTTAATCCTGTACCACAGATGCCATTTCAGGCAGCAAGCTTGGAGTGATTGATTTCACACAATTTGGGTGTCTGACTTTCTTCTTCAAGACTGTTTTCTCGTACCATAATTCTGGCACCGCCGAATATCCCAACGCACTGCATCCTTAATCAAAACTCTGCTTCAACGAAGGGGACGGCACTTGCTCTCGTGCACTTCGGTAGATATCATTCAAATTGAGAAGCAAAGCAATTTGTGCCGTTTGGTCTTTGGCTCTGTTGAGGGCGCTGGTCTTTTCCATTCCGTCGAAAATTGAAGGCGTTGGCAGAGTTTTTTCCCCACCTTGTGTTTTCCAGATCTACCATGATTGTGACGGCACCTTGCACGAGGTTGTCTTCGGACCCACCTTAATGTTGGCCGTCATCTCGGAGACGCAGCGGGTCCGAAGTGAACGTTCCACCAGAATAGAACTTTGTTTGTATTTAGCCGGAAGCGTGGGTAAAGATTGTCAAGCGTAATTCTCAAAGTTGCTCTTATGAGTGAGGGCTCTCCTACACGGAGTTTGCATGGTGTCGACCTCAGAGCCGAAGTTAGGAAAGTTTGTTAAATACCTTAAACAGCGATCATCGCTCCTTTCAGGGCGCTTCGTATGAGACGTTGGTCGACAACGAAGAAGAAGGCCCAAAAGACGGGCACGTGCAGCTGTCGGATCTATAGCGGGAGGTCGTCAACATTCTGTGTTTTCCGGTGCCCATTCAGATTCGGTACTGGGTTGTACAAAGCAGCATCCGTTAATCTGTCAGCAGAACGATTTTTAAAACAAGTTTTTGAAAGGGGGTTGGTTCGTTTGTGGTTGCAAGAGGCGGACATTGGTTGCATGAGAAGTTGGAAATCGATGGCACAAACGAACGAGAGGTTGGTCGTAGTCAACAGCTTTGCGGAGCTTGGGCAACGGCAAGGAGCGTCCAAACACATCCAGATATATCATCCGAGTTGCGCTTATTTAAGGATATTAGATTGATCGACTGAACTGGTCAATCCGGGGCAAAGTTAGAAATGAGTCTCAAGTTAACAGTAGGTAGTGCCATTGATTCACTGCTGCGCTTGATGAGAGGGCAATCACATTGAAGGCAAATACTATATAGAGGTCGAAGAAGCTGATCGCTAAGGTCCATTTCAAGCTTGACATCATGCCATTTCTAGAACTCCTTTTCATTCAAACGATATGGCCGGAGTCGACGTGTGAGACTTAACAAGCAATCGATCGAGTTTCTCAATTAAGTTTCTCAGCATCCAATCATGGTAAGCAATGTCAGAATATTTATTCAATATTTGTCTCAGGCACCGACAGCTTGAACATGAGATATAGGGGAGTTGCGTGCAGTGTAGGCGCATAAGCGATTAGGAGTACAATCAAAACATATATATAGGTATTTGGATCGGATCGGATCAGACCGGATCGGCTTGCTGGTGAACAAGAGGGCAACATGTGTGAAGCGATCAAGCCACATGGCCCATGCACGTGGCTCGTCGCTCAAGAACCTGTACACGCTTTCACCAGTTGACTATGATGCGCTACGTAAATTTCTATAAGATTTTCACGAGCACATGAATCTGGCATGTCGGCCCGTCAAAACTAAAGTTCATGCATGCCCTGTATGCATGCATCCTACGTTTCGATGCCCAGGCTTGTGACGCAGCTACCGTACTTTAAGGTAGATTGGCCCATGCAGACTCGCACAAAGTGCAGAGCTGACTCCTTGAACTAGGTTGGGTGCGGCCGCTGACCAGTCAAATCTTCTCAATGCTGGATGGCCATGATGCAGCGTTTGTTACCATTACCGAACGACACTGCCGTTACCACGCACCGCCGCATGCGGCCGCGACCTCCAGCAATTGTTGCATTTGGCTCTAGCTAGCAGCTAGCTGCAAGATCTGAGATCTGAGGCGCAGGAAACAAGCGGAGCCGAGCTCTGCAGATTCATTGGACGTCTTCAGAGCTTCGAATTTGTCCATTGTGGGCTTGTTGTCTGCAGGCTGCTGTTGTTCCTTCTCTTAGCAAGAGGCTGGCTTAAGGGGGTCTGAAAAGAGGCATGATCCATTCTTCTTGAAGGGTCTGAAGACAAAGATTGAGTGGGGAGGGAGTGAGAGGGAGTCTGAACGGAGAGCTTCAAACCTTAATTTCAAACATGACGGTCGGTACACCAGGTGTTGCCACTCAGGTGGTCCCACCCACACCCCCACAGATTGAGGTACCCCATGGGCCAATCAGGGACCAAAAAATTGCTGAGCTGGAGGCCGAGGTGAGAGTCCGGATTGGACCTTTACTGGATGCTTCTTACTGTCCTTTCCAACTTCTGCGCCTTTGTGCTAGGATTAAGGGTCTTCATTGCAGATTGCGCACTTAGAGATGTGCATTATATATTTGCCCGTCTTCTCTGGTGATGTGCTACTAAAGATGTGCATTGTTGTCAACGACTGGACTGGACGGTTGTTGGTAAATACAGGCGGGCGGTGGTATCATCGTGGAGATGATGTTGACGTGCAGATGCTTAGGAAGACTGCAAGTAGCTCCTGGTGTGCAAGACAGCTTCTGTGTTTGTTGAGTATTGTACCGTGTCTCTGTTCGTGTCAGAAACAAAAGTATTTGTGCACACCTTGGGCCATTTTGACTCTGTCAAAGTTCCTTTGCACAAGCGCTTCAGATCCTTTGAAGAAGGGGCTGTGACGAGGTGTGGTTGGTCCTATGTTCGACGTGTATCTGCTTGAGCTCATGAGGTGTTTAGCCAAACTGAAGGTCAAACTCAGGTTCAAATGCAAGCGGGATCTCAAAACATGCCTTCCTCTGCAGATTGAGCATCTGAGGTCGGCCGTCGCTAATTCTTCGCATGAGATAGAGCGCCGGGACCAGCGCATCCTCGAGCTCGAGAATGAGATCAAGGAGATCGAAAAGGAGTTGCCGAAACTGCGCCGGCCGAGGGGCCCCCCCGAACCCTGGAAGACTGGCATTTTTGATTGCTGCGCCGACACTGAGATCTGTGAGCGCGCCGGTGTCCTGATTTGCAGATGAAGGGCTGATGTCACATTTCTCAGTTGCGCGGCCAGTCTGAAACGGTCAACTGTAACGGTTAATTGTGAACGGTAAACTGACCGGTCAAAGTTTTGAATTTGCGTGCTCCATTTCCTGGAGTCAAGCACAGGACAGTCTTTACCTACTTCTTCAAGTTTTAAGTCATTTCTATCTGAGTATCTCCTCACCCACTATGTGACAGTTCTGATGAACCACTTAGCTTTGACATTGGGCTCTGCATATGGTCAGCAGAGTATGCCTGAGCATGTCACAGCCGATTGTGCTCAAGCGTTTAATAGCCTTTCTAACATGAGACTGCACAACAACAATCTCTCCGCACTAAGAACACAAGCGGGCAGGTCCTGGTGATGGTGCAAAATAGCCCCGAAGGCTGAGGAAGGAGCTTCGCACGGGTGTCAAAGTCGTTGAAAAGTCTGTCAAGAGCGACTTTAGGTTGCCTTTGAAAGTACTGTCCAAACAATTGACACGAAGAAACCCCTGACTTTGGCGAGCGCACTTTGCAGGTGTCCTCGGCACCGTGGTTCCATGCGTTCTCTTTGGCCAGAACGCCATGACGGTCATGGACTGGGACGACAAGATCGTCGGTGCCCCTACAACCAAGGTGAGACCGTACAATCTGCCACTTTGGCACCAGGCACTACTGAAGCTAGTGATTACATAGCCAGAAATTGCTGGAAGGACTATGAAAGTACAGTCTGGGACGACTTTACTTCTTTCTGCTGTGATTGTTGTACCATTCCGAGCAGAAATGCCATACTTCTTGACCAGTCCCCCACTCGTCTACGCCGCTACCGCCTACAGCCCACTCGCTTCTAGTACTTTCTAGCACAGATGTACGTTGGCACGTTGCCAAGAGGTGATTCAGACGAAATGGTGATTCTGTTCCTACTGGGACAAAGTTTCGTTGTTGGATCACACCAAAAGTCTCGATTCTCTTTTTGCCAAGTGCGGACAATGTAAGTATCTTCGTGCCGAATCCGAGTCCAAAATAAGGAAACGATGATTATTGCCAATGTTGCAGGGCTGCTGCGGCGCGATTCAGACCGTTGGCAATCTAGTCAGAATTTTGATCAATCGCACCAAGAACGGCTTTCATCTCTTGTTGCAACGGATTGAGTCAAGTAGCCCGTAGTAGCAGTCTCTTCGAGTTTTATTTTGGCACTGGCCGCGTGGTTCAATATAAGATCTGTCCCTCCTTTCGCAGGGCTGCTGTGGCGCTGTCCAAACTGTTGGAGAGGGCACCAAAGACGGCTTCCGTTTCTTCACCAACTGCCTCATCCACTGCGTTCTGGGAGGAGCGATCCAGATTATCACCTGCTTCTTGCTGGGGCCCGCAGCAGCCGCCGTCACGCTCGCGCCGCTGGTTGCGTACGAGTATCGGACCAAGATCCGGACCAAGTATAACCTCAAGGTGGGTCAGAGTTGACTCCGATGTCCCAATGCTCCAGGTTTAGAGGGTTTGAGAACCTACGGTGAAGGCACCAGATCGCCACTCGTTCCTTCCTGAGGCCCGCAGCGTTTGCTGACACGCTCGTGCCGCCGATTGCGTATGACTGCTGGGCCAACATCGGAATGACGATCAAGCTCTGATGAAGAACTGTACTGATCCCGGATTCGTCCTCGTATGCTTGTGCAAGAGCCTCCAAAAGACGACTGCCGCACGGCGTGCTTCTGCCACCCTGTCGTACAATCCGTGCGTTGATGTTTGTTACTCAAACCTCATCGCGTTTTTTAAGTCATCTCTCTCACATCGTTGACAGAAAATCCCGTACATTCAGGCCATACTTGTAGTAGAGTTTCCCAGACATCCGCCGTGTTCCTGCCACCCTTTCGTGTAACCCTCGCTTTTAGTCGATACTTTCGAAACAGCTAGAATTGGAACCGTGTCCTTGAATTCTCGCAGGGAACCACAATGGACGACTGCCGCACGTCGTGCTTCTGCCACAGATCCGTACGATCCTTACACTCACTGTATAACCATTTTGAAAGATCTACTGTGTCAACGAATCCGTTGCTAATGCGTACAGGAGAGCCCAATGAACGACTGCCGCACGTCGTGCTTCTGCCACCTTCTCGTACAATCCGTGCAACTGACGTTTCATACGATCCGTGCATTTGATAGATTATACTCTTAATTGAAGAAGTGTCTGAGGCAATGTCTTCCCCTTTTAACAGGAAACCCCGATGGACGACTGCCGCACGTCGTGCTTCTGCCACCCGTGCGCGCTGTGCCAGGAGGCGCGCGAGCTGCAGATCCGCGGCCATGGCGGGCTGCGCAAGGACCTGGAGATTCAGGCCCACGCCAACGAGAAAGACAAGGCCGCATTTGAGGAGCGGGTGCGCGCGGAGGAGCGGGCGAAGATCATGAAGGAGATGGGGGCGGGGGCGCCGGCGCCCCTGAAACCCGAGGGGACGGCACCTCCCAAGAAGAAATAGAGAGAAGAGAGGGGCGTGGTGGATATTCGGGGGGGTTGACGGAAAGAGGGGGAGAGGTGAGGCTATGGATCGCACTAGTCAAGGAAACCCTTTTATTGGGGGTCGAGTTGAAAGACATTTGCAAATGATGGACGAGCTTAAACGAAAACATCTATAACGAGTCTGTCGAAGGTGAGGTAGGTTTTGGAGGATGTATCGAGGGTCGCAGACGGGGCGGCGGCCTTGAAGAGAAGGTTGCAGCACAGTACGCGAGTTGGATGTTGATGACAGGTAGCATAAAGACGGGTCAGTTAGCCCCTCCACCATTGGGCGGAAACACGCAAAAGCGAAGGCAGGATTTATCTGCTAAGCGCCCAGATGCCTCTAATGTAGGACATGTGGCCTGCTTGTCAAGGTGGCTCGCAAGTCTCGAGTCTTTCGCTTAGGGCTGCTTCGGAATACATTACCTTAAGTTTCGGGGAGTGCCAAAGATGACATTGTGCTACGAACCCCACCTGGTAGTCTAGTTTGAGAAATGTACAGTCATGTTAAGGTGATATTGCTAGGAATCAGACGTCGTCGCGGTGTTTATTTGCGCCAGGCTAGAGTCAGACAACCAAGTTGCAACAGAAGCCGGCCTTAACTCATGCAAACAGTCCGTCGGTGACAGTGCTGGAGTTGCCAACGCGTCTGTAATGATGTGTCTCGATCAACGATCACACATGGATGATAGCATCAAGGTACGCGATACTCTGGCGCTAGCATTTTCAACCTAGATTTTTCGGAACCACTCATAGTACTCAGTTACTGCCTCCGAAGACTCATCGAGGCCGCGGATCGCCCTAGACAGAAATACTGGAGCATTGTTTTGTGGGCTGCATCACATGCGCACGGGCCGCCAGCGGACTCGGGGCCTGCATGGTCGGGAGAATATGAAGCCACTCAGGACAGTATAAGCTTCCAACATACTAACACTGCATGGCCCGGCCACTCGCTAAATTACGCAGTCGATTGTCAATGTCGGTTAGTGAGATCATATGCAAACTGTACTCGCCAACCAGCCATGGCACAAGCGGGGCAATCATGCTCGATCTTGTATCTATACTGATAAGTGCATTCCGTACCGTCTGGCATCAGCAGATTCAAGGGCACTCCATCTTGCAAGCCGCCCGAGGAGCGAAGTTAGCACATTAGATTCATGTCATGATTGAAGACCTCAGACAGCGTGACAGACGGGCCAACTATGAAGCTTTGCTGGGTCCAATTGTTCTATACTGCCCACCCCCCCCCTCTTTGCTGAGCATACCATGAGGGCCGGTTCCGAACTTAAGCGCTGCTCTACGTTGTCGAAGTGGTAAGTGGTACGAAGGACGGAGTGCAAGTGGATGTACATAAGACCTGAGTGCATGCACTCTTGGCACACGAAGAGCTTCGAACTCAAAAGCAGGGATCGCAGACGAGCCATCGAAGTGACCAGACTTCACCAAAGTGTCCGAGAGCCGAAGCTGCCACGAAGTGACAATTCCGGGAAAACAAAAAGCCGCAGCCGCTGCGCTTTGCCCGCCCACGTCCACTCATTCTCATCATACTCCTCCATCATGCGGTTCAAGTCTCGGTCGTTGGACAGGAACACCAGCGTGTCGAGGTTCGAGTCGGGTAGCTGGTATTTGAGGCCAATTTCTGTGCCGCAGTACTTGGTCAGGTTGAAGCTGAGCTCCGAGTACGTGATATCCCGGCTCACTGTGAAAAAGCGCGTCTCGCCCCCCACGTACCGCCATGCTCCATCCGTAAATCTTATATCACCCCCAGCACTGCACAGAAACTTCACCTTGAACATCCTCGCACCGTCCACACTCCGGTTGGACCCCCTCGAGGAGTGTGACCGTGCTGGCTGCAGGTAGAAATCTGAGATTCAGCTCTCGCAGAGGACAGCGTTGAAAGTGTCGTGGCTCAACACAAGCAAGCCCTCTCACGGTGTCATCCTCCTCATGCTGACCGCTCTCATTTACGTGTTTTGAGATCCGCCTTTGCGCTTGCCTGGCAGCATGGATATCACACGCGTTGTCCAGAACTTCAAGATGTGGACCTTGAAATCGATCTATACAGCAAGGTAGCAAATAATCCCATTGCTGGTTGGCAACGATAGCCATTGCAGTACGCTATGCTGGAAGTCCTGGACCTTGCTCAGGCTCTTAAAGAGCTCTGCAACAAAGGTTTATATGTGCACTGAATGTCCACTCTTGACTTCAAATTGATCCGTTTTTTAGGACTTTACCTTCGGTATGTCCATTGATGACCCAAAACTGGAGAGACTTCGAATGGATCCAATTGGTGGAATCTCTCGCCAGCTGCTTGAGAGAGGATGTATGTCGAGGCAAGGGTATCCGTTTCTTGACGAGGACGGCCCTGCCAGACACACAGATCAGTCAGCGGGCAACTCTGATGCAATCAAGCGAGCTTTGCAAACAAATATGTGCCGGGTTTAGAGGGAGCTCATGTTGGCCGGTCAGACTCAAAAGTAAACTCCCTGAAACGTTTCAGCACAATAGAACCGCAGAGACTTGACGATTTACTGGCGAGGCATAGCTGCCTTCAAGGGCGGGTGATATGTCCAATAACATCATTCTTAGGAGACCCAAGCGACAGCTGAAGTTCGGAGGCTTTGAATATGACAACTATCGTGAGCAATGGTTCCTTAGGCAGGATAAAATTAAGTGCGTTCGCCGCAACTTGGCTTTCTTTCCCGAAAAGAAGACGCAAATCAGGCGAGGCAAGGTTGACTATCCCACTTCATCTGTTCCTGCTACCGGTCAGGGGCCAGAAAGTTTAGCTGGCAGCAATGAAAGGCGTACCTGATTCTGCCGTACTAGGAAGGCTCCAGATGCTAGACATGGGGCTGCCCGCAAAGGAAGCCTTGTCGTTCCATGCTTGCTCTTCTTGCCAGTGCACAGCGCTCACAAAGCATTCACGCAGCTCCTTCCCATCGTACCCAAGTTTCTTGAAGGAGTCGGGATCATGGAGGGGGATCCCTTCGGGCCACTCTAGGTAGCTTCTCAAAACTTTGCCCTTCTCCGAGTTGCGCTCATTGAGCCACCCACGTTCACGGTTCCTCACATGCTCTTTGTTGTCTTGGACTATTGCTTCATCGCTCCTCTCCGTCACGGGTCTTGGGTGCTCCAATGTCCTGGCGGCACGTCTCAATAACCGCCAGAAGGCCAATGTCTCCAACCGATGCAGCCTCTCCGATGGACTTTTCAGGTCAGAGAGCTTATGCTTCGCTCTGTTCCCCAGCTCTCCCCTCCACATTGCATCCCAGTGATTATAAATTTCTGGATAAAAGTCAGGAGCAGGCTCGGTGGCAAACTCTTGGAACTGCCCCGTCCTACTTTCCCCACGTTCTTGATGAGGAGAGAGGGGAGCGGAAGGCGGGGGCAAAAGGAAAGAAGCCATGATGCTGCTCCGCCTTACACTGACAGGCACACGTACAGCACCCACACGAAACTCTCAATCATCAAATAAACTTGGCTGCTGATCAATGAATGTCAGTGTGTCGGGCCTGCAATCCATCTTGCTGCAAGCAAAAAGAACAGTGACGCTACCGCAGTGCATGACTCTATAATTGCATTCATTGTGAGGGTGCTTAAACTTCTCAAATGAATCATGCTGCATGCTCATGGCGACGCGTAAGTCACTTCTATTTCAACATCAGCTTTCATCAGACTAAGCAGATAGGCATGCTGGTTGATATTGTCATGATAGAAGCTCCCGGTTTATACAGCATGGATAGCGCCTGGCTTGCATGGAAAATTTAGGCCAGCTACATGCGGTTAGTTACATAGCTCGAGTTACCTTGAATTCGCCTCCAATGAGTATGAAGCAATCCTGCGGTAACCATGGGGTTACGTTGATCGTTAATCAGGGTACTGCTGTAACAATACCGCCCAATCGAGCACTTCGCTTTGCTGGCTGAACTTGCTCGATGGTCTCTCGGCACCTTCGACCCGGGCCAAAAACTCATCATGGAACGTCTGCGGACCTGGCGTAGTCCTAATACCTGCTATAAAGTACCATCTAACATCGACCATTGCTAAAATGCCAATACGGCATTCTAACATGCGATACTTTGGATCGACGTGGTCTTTAGGCAATGTTGAATTCGCCGACGACCATGCTAGTAGTCGCGCAAACCGTTCAGTCTCCAGAGCCATACCTCCCAGCAATCATCGATGTTCAGAATCTGAGTTTGTAGGAATGGAGTTCGGCCGGACGTTTTTCTCGACTCACACGACAAACTCGATCAATCTACATATCCTGCAAAGCTATATATATATGGGGATCGTCAACAAATATTAATAGGACACGTGGACACAACACTCAGATAATGTGCTTTAAGCATATCGTGCTGAATTTGTATCGACTCAGAAGGCGGCAGGATCATCTGTGCCCAATCAGATACGACAAGAACTTGGCCGAGACCAGAGACAAAGGTGGATGTGCATCTGACGGGCGGACAAGGACTGAACAAATCCTATGCTGAAGAGGTTCTTTTGGTCTACGCTGTCCCTCTAAGCTCTACGTGCTCCAAAGCTCCTCGACCGACAATCTGGCGGCTCGGTGCAAGCCTGCACATGATTGTTTCTTGGTTAGAACATCAACATATGCTGAACTTGTACATGAACAGACAAAACGATGGTGCAACGTTCTGCAGATGATGTCTCAAAAACTGGTTTCAGACCAGTCCTCGTATCAGGGCCTTGGCTTTCTTGAAAGCAAAACAGATTCGCAGAAAGAGCAAACAGAAGAGGGCGAAGTCGTAGGCCTTCGAAGTTGCCTAGATTGATGAATTGTTAAAATAATGCCCAGAACCGTTCTGAGATCGGTGCCCGCTACGTTGCAGATATGATCGACTTGGCACTACATGGAATTTGCAAAGCTCTTCTCGTAAACACTAATGGGCACTCCAATAGAATCGAAGTTTCCTTTCGTATTGACCCTGGCAATGTAACGCAGCTCAATCAAGCAGTGCAGCTCATTCAGGTAGAGGTCTCCAAAATCCCTATCGCTGAACAGATAGTCTTCTGTCCAACAGAGATGAATACCATCTGGCTTCAAGGCACTCTTCATTTCGTGTTTCAGGTTTACGATGCGACATTGTCCCCCTTCGAAATCTGAGTCAACCTGAGCATCCACGTCAGTGGCATCAAACTCACTCATTTTGCCCGAGCCAGAACTCGCCCTCTTGCGGGGCGCCCTTTCTCCAGCCGCCACAGCTCGCTTGACAAAAGCAACTCCTCTGAGTCGCCATCGTCGTACAGAACCTGTTCCGAGTACAGAAGGAGGGGCTCAGCTTCTGCATATTGCTTGAAAAGCTTCCTACGTCACACCTCCTACGCTCTGAAGAAGCCGGAACCGCTACTCCGATACTGAAGCCTCTAGCTCTAGTCCTGCCCTAAACATTAGAACGTGGGCGAAAGGGTAGGTTCCACTGTTTGGGTAACCTTGTACATCAATCGGCACCATACTATCAAAGAGTTCTTGAGCGACATCGCAATATTAAACTTGCTTCCTCGAAGAAGAATGAAGCAAACACCAGAACGTGGGCAAAGAGTACGTTCACTGTTTGGGTGACCTTGCACATCATTTGGCAAATATACATAAAACATTCTCGAGCGACATTCCAACTGAAAGCTGCTTCGTCGAAGAACAGAGAAGCGGTCGACCAGTCCTGACGCCATCTCTACTCAAGCACGCTCCACCACCGTTTCCTTTTCAAGCCCAGGTCGACTTGTTGGCTCCGAAAATGTTATTAAAAGTGGTTGTCGAGACCACAAGGTCTGGAAATTGTAGATGAAAACCGAGGGTAGCTCAAGCCAGCAAACCTGACAGCGATGAAGACAACACCTCAAATGGATTGTTAAGCGCGAGCTGTGTAGGTTTGTATAATGGTTGTGTAGAGGCTTGCGTCACAAACGCAGCGATCCCGTTGCAGTGGATGGGTTTAAGGTTCGCCAGAATCGAAAGGCCGAACAAGTGGGACCAGCAATTGCCGTTTGAAACGCTTACCTTGTGCTTTCCGTTGCGAGCCTTGTAGTCTGTGACAATTCCGCCATAAAACCTGTCACACGAAAACGGACGATGATAAAGCTTTCCTGACTTCGACTCAGGTCAAGTGGGCCAGCGGTGATGCTGAAACTGCTTTGACATCGAGCTTGCATTCTGGGAAATCACAGGAACTGTGGGTATTCTCTACAACTGGAGCTCCAATTCATCCCACTTTCCTTGAAAGTGAAGATCCTGCTATTACACGAGATTTGACATTAGGCTACAAATTTTTGTTAATCATTTCGGAAGGCTCTGCACACCAATTGCTGGTCGGAGAAGTGTTTGGCTTGTCTAGCGTGCCCGAAACGATTGACACAATGGAGCCGATATCGTAATGCATGTCAATGCATACGTGAAGAACTAGCTGGGCACAGAGAGCGGCGATATTCGTCACTGCAAATGCATGCCCCGCGTGTCCATTCAAAGGCCGTCTCTTCGCTCGAGACATGTGGGACAGCTACCTATAATTGCAGATTTATCAGGCAAAGCGGGTGTCGCAAATGTTGACCCTGAATCAACCAACTTTAGGTATCTTGTCAATAAGAGGGGTGAAAAAGGGCCTCACCTCTTGTCGTCCGGCCACCATACCTCGATGCGCGTTCCAACCGCCACGTCAGCGGGTTCCTTTACACTCTCGCCCGTAGTCACACTTTTTCCGGGCCCGGCCCCTTCATTTGCTTTTCCCTTGACCGCTCCCTGGCCCCGAGTACCAGTCGCTTTCTTTCCTTCCTGGAAATTAGTGCTGTCAGCAAGTGCCCGGCGTTCTCCCCCGACCGCTGCCTTTCCGACCGGGCCCGCTTCCGACTGGGCTGCTGAGGCCTCAGACCTCGGTACAGTGGATTTGCGCCCGGTTCGGCTCGAACCGACCGGCACCTGACGCGCGATGGTTTCCACAGTCTCACCGGTTATGGCCGCTGGCTGCAAAGCTTCCCCATTCCCGTGCCCGTTCACCGGCCCATCAACCTTCTCAACCGCTCGCTTCCTCCCCCGGCCCCGTTTCTGCGGACTCTCCTCTCCTGTTCCCGCAGACTCCGCACCCTCTCCCGCCCGGCTGCCACGTGTCCTCCCTGCTGACGTCACTCCCTCTTTTTCTGCCCCATCAGACACCGCCCCTTTGCTCCTCGCAGGGCGGCCCTTTGCTCCGGTCGCCGAGGCCGTCGCAGGCTCCACACTCTGGAGAACATCACTCGATCCGTCCGCAAGCGCGCCGTGCGACTCGCCTTCGCTAGCCGCAACCTTCTTTCCAACAGCGCGCCGCCCACGTGCCTTTTTGACGCCAGATCTCGCGCCATTCCCAGCAACTTCTTGCTCGCTTGCAGACTGCGAAGTTGGCGCACCCGCCACGTCAGTCGCCGTAACGACTACGCTGACGACAGCAGGCACGGACCCGTGAACTGCAGGCACTTCCTCGCTGACGTCAGCGTTTCCGGGGGGCAGAACTCCGGCGCCCACGCTCTGCCTTCGTGCGGCTGCCTGCGCCGCCTTACTCTTCGAACGCCGTTCCGTTTCTGCGGTCTCACTCGCACCAATGGGGTTAGGGGAAGCCGCAAAGCTAACCCTCTTCCGGCCACCAGCCTGCTTCCGAGTCTGCTTGGCCCCGGTTTCCTCGGTGGTTAGTTCCTGACCACCGTTGGCGCTAGCAACATCGCCGGTCTCTTTCTCGACTTCGTGTCCAGCCAAAAGTCCGGCTCCCAAACTCTTGCGGCGGTTACCAGCCCTTCCGTTCGTAACCCTCTCCTTAAAACCCTGCCCGTTGTGAGCCTGCAACCCGACATCCTTCCCGCTAACCGCCAACTTAAACGAATCACTGACCCCCGCCTCGACCCTGGCCGCAAAGCTAACCGTCTTTATCCCCGCCTTGCCTCTACGCAGCCCCCTCTCACCGGAACTCTCGGTCGTTAACCCTCCTTCGTCTGCCAAACCCTCTCCTCCGGTTACATCAACCTCGCTCCTCGTAAGCTTGTCTCCCGCACTCTCTGAAGCACTGTTTTCAAGAAGTCCAGTTTCCTCTCGAACGGAGTCTTTCCGCTTGGTCTGCCCAGCGGAACTCGTTCCCAGAGCCACCGACTTCCGCTCAGATGCTTTCCGCCGAGGGTTTGCCGCTAACCCCTCCGCCGAACCCTCCCGAACAACCCACTGCGTTTTGGGCGCCTTCACAGTAGCAGCTGCCGACCGCCGAGTCGTCCTCTTGGTGTGAACAGCTACCCCGCCCTCTCTCACTAGCAAGCTCTCCACATCGCCGACCGCATTCACACCATCTTCTTGACTTAGTGCCTCAGTCTCCTTGGGCAGGGTGTCAAAAGCCAGCACTACTGGGGCACCTTCCGCTGACGTCATCTTTTCCGGTGCCCCGTCGGACACTGCCACACTTGGCATGCGCTCGTCTTGCCCTGGCCTTTCTCCGTGGCTGCTCGCCAGATCATAGATTCCGACCTTCTTTCCGACGCCCTTGAAGCTTTCCATACCAACAAGCGCTTCCTGTGCTTCTGCATTAATCTCTGCCGTTCCACCAACTTCCAAGTCCCCGTTCACATCTCCCCCTATCCCGTTGCCCTCGTCCCCAGCATAAGCGTCTTCTTCGGCACCCACATGATGCCACGTGGCGTCTTCCTCGTCCTGACACGTGGCAGCGTCCTCGAGCGCCGCGAGCTCCGGCGGGCTACCTCCGCTGGTGAGCTGCGCCATCCGGCGGGCGGCGGGGGTCTTGCGCGCGCTGGTCGGCTCGGAGAGGGCCTTGTTGGGCGTGTAAGTGTAACCTGCAGAAGGAGAAAAGTCCTGCTTTTAGGTCTTGCAAAGTAGCGGACAAGGCCTCCCTTTCAGGAAGTAAATGTTGGAAGAGTTTGCGCGCTGGTCGGCTCGGCGAGGGCCTTGTTGGGCGGGTACGTGTATCCTGCAAATTGACAAACTTCTGCTTTCAAGTCGTGCAATAGATGCAGAGTGGCGAGCATGTAGCGGACAAGGCCTCGATTTTAAGGAGAAATGTTGAAAAACTTTGCGTGCTGGTCAACTCGGAGAGGGCCTTGTTGGCGGGTAGGTGTATCCTGGGAAAAGCAGAGAAAAGACAAGCGGGGGTTTCAGCTCGGCTCTGCAGAGCGTGATGGAAGAACAGGGCGTCTTAGGAGCACTACCAATTTAGGAGAGACTGGTCGCCTCGGAGAGGGCCTTCTTGGATGTATACATATAACCTGCAACTTGACTAAGGTTCTGCTTTGAGAAATGTCACTTTAGTTATATGATAAGAGCGAGTGTCACGGTAGCTCTCACGAAAAAACGCAGTTAATGCGCCCTCACCCGTCAAGTCGACCAGCTCTTTGACCTCGTTCGTGGCCCCACCTCCGAGAAGCTCGTACCTTCCCAACCCCTCCAACTGAAATTTTCACCAGCCTAACCGACTCGACAACCCTGCCGAACCCTTAGGACACTGAAGTGAACTGTTAATCATCGTAATCACTATGAACAGGCGCTTACCCGTCATTTCGAGCAGCTCTCCGACCTCGTGCTTGGTCTGCTTAGCGGCCCCCTCCGCGGCCGGCTTCCTTCCGGCCATTCAGATACCATTGCGGAAGACTCGTTTTCGTTGTAAATGCGACGTCGCCTAGAGAGATCCGCTCGAAACACAAAGGCCTCTCTTCCTAAAAGATAGTTTACCCCAAACGAGATTGCTGACAGTTGCGCCCTCACCTGTCATCTCGAGCAGCTCCTCCACTTCGCTCTTGGTCTGCTTGGTGGCCCCCTCCCCGACCGGCTTCCGGCCGGACCGCCGCACCGGCGACAGCACGAATCGGTCCGCTCCGAGGGCCGCCCGGTCGTGCTTGCTCGCGCGCACGGGCGACAGAATCGTTGTCGCGGCCGGGGCGGCTGCGGCGCCTGGACGAGAGAGAGTAAGGAATTGCGCAGAAAAGAAGCAGAGAACAGTTGCTGTGTCTTAAATATGAGTCTTGAGGAATGATGCGCTCCGAAGGTACCAACGACCAGACTCTTCGAAGGAAAACTGGCCAAGGACAGTGTATTTTGGACGATGCCAACGGTGATGTCCTACCCATTCAAATCAGGGCGCGAATAAGGCGTGCTGTGCCCCTGGCTTAATCACCTTCGGTGCCACTTCTCGGGAACGAGCCCAGAGGAAGAGCCCTCACATTGACTCGAGTAAGGGAACTCGTAAGACCAGCACGCTGAAGTAGAAGCACCCTACCTTGGCCGAGCAGCTTTGGCGCCCCTGCCAGTTGGCGCAGCTCCCGGGTGCCGGTCTTCCCGGCACTCCGCCCCCCGTGCAAACCGGGCGTCCGCTGCGCAGGGCTCCCCAGCATCTTGCCCCCGGAGTTCAGCCCCCGGTCACCCGCCATTCTAGCGACGGTGGACTTACTCTGATCGGGGGTATCCACCGGGGGAGAATTTGAGCTTGCTGCGGGCCGGCTCAGACGGCTGGGCGTGAACCGCGAGGACAGCTGGCGCGCTGGGGTGCTTTTCGAGACGCTCAACAAGGTTTGGTCGCCATGTGTGATCAGTCCAACGCAGGTACGTGGTGAGACCAGGTTGAGCCTCTCGAGAAGCGGAGCAAGGTTCGGGGAGACCTCGGGGGAAGTGTCCGAAGGGGGAGGGGTTTCGGGGCTCGAACCGGTCTCGTTCACCGGGCTCACGGGAGAGCCGAAAGCGGCTGGGTTAAGGCTAACCGAGGGGTCGACCTGATTCTGGTGGATCTGGTCTGCTGCTGCGGCCCACTCTTCGGCTGTGGCGGCCCCTGCAAATTATGGGCATGGTCAGCTTTTGAACCGAACAAAACAAAACCTAGGGTATCGTTCTTGTGAATTTTGAAAATAGAATCGGATCAGCGCACTCTAGCACACGGCCGGCTAAGGTGGTGCTTCAAGCAAAGCGCAATGAAGTTCAGCGAATGTTCGTCTCGTTTGGGTCCGATTGCTGCATCATTTCCTCCGGATTGATGTAATTTGTCGAGTTAATCAGGGTCGGTTCTTCTAAGAATCTCGTGCAACGAACCCTTCACAGAGAGAGAAAGGACGTCGCGTTGTGCAAATTACATGCTCTCTACCCGAACTTTGCAGATCGCATGCGCCCTACCCGAACTCTGCAGTGGAAAACTTGCTTTCATCTGCTCCACAAACAAAGCGATCGCTGACCTCGACGCACCAACTCGAACACACACCCGACTACACTTTAATGCACCGCCACAAGCCAAAGCGCTTCCCTTTCTTGGAAAGACAAAGAATAGAGAACCTCGTCAAGCTTTACGGACCTGGCGTTATAATCTCGGGCTGTGAAGACGAGCGCGCATTCGGGGGGGTTTCCACCAGGCTGTTGAACCTGCCACCGCGGCCAGGGCGGCCCCCTGCGAGAGAGATCGCTCTGTTAGCACGCTTCGCATTCGCTCGTTGCCTATATGACGTGGGTCGTGAAAATGGGCGACAAAGAGCGGGGGAAAAACTGAGCGACCAACAGAAAATCGATTCTGGCACATCTTACAAAACGCATGTCCGTCAGCAAGATATGCATGTGACCTGCTGAAAGGAGATTGTTCTGGTTGGGCCAGAGAAGGTGGCATCCGACTCGGAATAAGAGCGTTGCAAGGATACAGCGAACTTTCGAAGGTGAAACCGTCGGTCAATTTGTTGAGGCAGCACATCTTTGGTGTTCTTGTGTCTGAAGGGTTGAAATTGATTCGCGAAGTCCGCTGAATGTATAAGGGGTGCTATATTAGGCCACCTGCAAGACGCGCCTTAACGTTAAGCGGAAAGGTTATGCCAAGAAGGCAAGCCCAGGTCCCAATATCTCTTGCCCGAGTCCTCAGCCTTCTAAGCCTGAAAGGGTTTGGTATCATCGTCTTTCGACAGAGAAACAAAAAGCAAGACAGAAGTTCGAGGGTGCCATTGTCCTCACCAGTTACCGGTGTCCTCTTGCTGTTGTCGATGACCAGGTGCGGCAGCCGCGCCCTCTCCTGGCGCAGCATCGGCGTGCCCTTCGACCCGCTCTTGGGCGTATTCACACCCTGCGCGAGCGGATTCCCACCTCGTACGGGCGTGTTCACGCCCCCTGTTTCGGTGGCTCCCCGGCTGCGCCCCACCGTCTCCCTCGGGCTCCGTCCGTTTCTGAGCGTACGCACACCGAAACGGGGCGTCTTCACACCGGCGCTGGGTCCCTTTCCGGACGTATTCACACCCGCCGCATCTACATCGGCCGCAGGCTCAGTCGATCTGGCGGCATCAGGGCTTGCGCCGTTGTCTTCCACAGCCGGAAAGTCGACCACCGTCTGGTTCTCCTCAACCGGCACCAGGCCCGTTCTCTCCACTCCACGAACCTGGCTCGCGGGTGTAACGTTTGGACCCGTTCTGTCTGCTGGCGTTACCGGCACCAGGCCCGTTTTGTCCACTCCACGAACCTGGCTCACGGGTGTAACGTTCAGACCCGTTCTGTCTGCTGGCGTTACCGGCGACGCTTGCCCCCGGGCTCGCCTGAGCCATCGCTCAACCTCGCTGGCCCCTTTCTTCGGGCTGCGCATGGTGTCTGCCACAGCATCCTCCACGCGATCTGCGAATTGAACAGATGCCATTCAGTGAGCCATCTGTTTGAGAGGCTACTTTGCGGCGGGGCCGTTTTGATTTTACCTGCGCTTGCTCCGCATCGAGGTCAAAATGATCGGACAAGCCTGCGTGAAGAATCCGCCTTTTACCAAATGAAGGCGATTGTCCCAGAGTTGCTTGTGTGGTCAGAAGAGTTGCATCATCCATTGGGGACGACGGACGTTACGCTGGGTCTTGGTCCTTTCTCAGGAGATCTGCCAACTTCGATAATCGACTGCCGTCACAAGGAATCAAAGCTGCAACCGCCTTCACCTCAAAAAAGGAGAAAGGACATCATTCACACTCAATATTTCTATGGGCTTGAGTCATAATGGCTTGCAAACCGTTGATGCTCTAGTCATCTACCAATGGAAGTACGTTTACTTTCCATTGCTGTAGTGTCATCGGTGTTCGTCACTCCACCTTTCCTGGTCCCAAGAGTCTTTCTAGGGCTCACGAGGACATCTAAATCAAGCCTGCTTTGAATCTTGTAATGGGAGGCCAAAAGACATACTGGTGTGTTTCAAGACTGCGTGTTGAACATGAGCATCATTGATTTTGTGGTTCCTACGTTGACTCCCAGTAATGAAGAATAGCATAATGCAAAGAGTGTCATGGCAGATATCTGAATCTTTCAACTGCTCGAGCAGCAACCAGCGGGCTGAACCACCCTGTCTGCACCTTTCCAAACGCTACGAAAACCATACACAGCCGCTGGTCTCACAGAAGTTAGACGAAGGAGCATTTCTCAAAATCAGGTTCGTCGAGACAGATACCGTTCCTGACAAACAAATTGCTACATCGCTCCTCCCTTTTTCCAAACTGCTCACCAACATTGTGCCCGCTGCCCTGGTGATGGACGTCCCCCTTGCGCCAGTTGCGAGTGTCACGTGGCTCCACAAGCGCTTGGTAATTTGTGAGTGAAGACTTTCCCGCGCCTGCAGTGCCCCGAACAAGGCCTCTCTCCTCGGCCCCCAAGTCGCCCTTCAGAACGGCCTCGTACCGAGCTTGCAACGCCCCGATTTGTTTTGAGCGCTTTTGAGTAGCCGTCTCAGTCGCCACGTGCGCAAGCATGCGGACGAAACCCTTCAGAGCAGAGTGCTCCCCTTCCGGGGGGTCAACTTCAACTCCATTCTTGCCCCCCTGGTTCGCGTCAGCCGCACAGTCCGATTGATGACCGGCCCCAACTCCTGCCATGTGCGCCATTGGAACAGAAACATTCTTGGGCGACGATGCCGGTTTAGCGGCCCCCGGAAGATTCAAAGGCGAGGGTTTGAGGCTCTTTCCGCCGTTCAGCACGACTGGGAACTCGGTGACTTGGTCAAGATGTGACGTCAGAGTGCCCTCAGAATCGGCTTGCGACTTCTCGCTGGCCGCCTCAGTAGCCATTGCGTTGACACAAGCCGCAAGTTCCACTGCAGCACCAGGTTTCGCTTTTGTCGCCGGTGTCAGCTTCTCTGAAGCTACTGCGTTGCCACCATTCACGCCTCCCCCTTCAGTCCGCACTGTTGGTGTCAGCCTCCCATCCGCCACCTCTTTGACACCACCCGCGGCCCTAACTGTGCTCCCCGGTGCCGGAACCTTTGCCGGTGTCAGCTTTTCCGCTCCGCCAAACAGCGGCACCCGCCTCGCCCCTCCGTTTGGCGACTTGAGAGCAAACCGTGAAAGCGGCGTCCGGTTCGGCGTGCGAGCCGGCTCCTCCCCGTCCAAAAGGAGCCGCCGCGAGAGCCCGGGCGTCCGGATGACGTCAGGCGTGACGCGAGACGCGCTCCGCTGGACGCTCGGCATTTGGATCGCGGCTGGCGTGCTCTGGCCCGGCCCCGAGCCCGGCTCCTGCGGCCCATGCCCGCCCGCGTCCGGCTGCCACCCAAGCGGGGACACCGCTGGCGTCAGCATGAGGTCAGCGGCGGCCGGCGCTGCACCTCGGAACGCGGGGGTCCTGGGGGTGTGCGGGGAGCCCCCTGCTGGGTTGAAGTCGACGGCGTCGGGTCCCTCGGGAGTTTCGGGAGAGGACTGCGACCTTGGGAAGGACATCGGGCTCCCGGAAGCTTTAGGAGTCTGGAGGCGCGAGGGGGTGGGGGTTTGGAGAGCAGAGTAATCGGGGGTATGGAGACCGAAGGGTTTGAGAATCTGGAGACCGGAGACCTTGGGGGTTTGGAGAGCAGATGCTTTGGGGGTTTGGTGGCCGGAGGCTTTGGAAATCTTGAGGCCGGAGGTGGGGGTTTGGAAACCGGAGTTTTGGGGTTGGGTTAGCGGAAGCCCATTTTGCGGCAGCAGAGTCGTTGGGCTGCTCTCGCCTGGGGGGGAGGCGTAGATCGGGTTCGAGAAGGGGGGTAAGGGAGGGAGCTCGTCCGTTTTGTCGGTCTCGGTCTCGGGGCTGGTGGACCCATCTTGCTTGTCCGAGCGCGGGGCAGTGACGGTCGGGATGGAAGTGACGGGGTTCGGCTCCTGATGGGCGACACCTGCGTCCAATTGGCAGAAATGGATAGTGAGTGATAACTGTGAGATTTTTGTTTAGCTGCGTTTTGAACGGCATCTCGCAAGGGTGGCGAGCAAACATTCTGAAGCAACAGCGTATGTCCGTTCGACTCTTCTATACGCTTGTTGAACTGCCGAAATAATAAGGTCCTGCTGCCAAAGGCAATGGGTTGCAAAGGAGTACGTGTCTGCGGAAGGTTTCTGTCCGTCACAAAATCAAACGGCAGCTTTATGCTCAGGGTTTGCCCTGGATGATGAACCGACGGGAGCCCGCTCCTTTTGCCTATTTGAACAGCCACTTTGCTTTAGCAGGAGAACAAAAGTATAGCCGACGGACATCCCATCTCTCGAAAGGCCGTGCAAATCTGCAGGACATGCCAAGAGGACGAAGAGGAGCCTCGTCGGAGAGGCAAAACAGTCCAAGATCCATTGTCGAAGTTCAACCCTTCCCTGCTACCTGACTGAACAAATGGTCTCTATATCATTGGTCTGCAGACGAGGGGGGACCAGCTACGCTTTGTGGAACGCGTTAGAAAGAAGAAAGTGGCAAGGGGTGCACTCACCAATTTCTTCTGGACCTTCTGCTGCTTCTACCATGAGGGTCGCGCTTGCTGGGCTCTGACGTACGGGCGTCAGGTAGAACTGCAGATAAAAGCATGTAGAAAACTTCAGTACAGGCTTAAAGTACCATTCTTTGCTTGTAAGGGGGAGTGTTAACTTTGATATGGACGTGATTGCAGAGTTGCGAAAGTGACATAATCGTGACGGAAAGTGAACCAAGCAAAGACCCCGTTGATCACCACAACAAAATCCCGTTTGAACACTTGAGTACCATCTGGTCACATTTCTCACAGTCGTCATCTTCCTGAGAAAACCTCGAGTCCAATTTGCATCATCTTTCAAGTGCTGAATGTTCATGCAAGTGCCTCTCAAACCTAGTCACGTCACACACAGAGGACTCACAAAACTGCAATCTGGTTTTCTGCTGGACAGGAACCTATCCTCGGCAGTTCTTCGAAGGTTGAAACACTGGAGCGTACCTGGAAATCTTCTCCCTTCTCCTGGGCTGGAGGTGAGCCTTCCCGCTGGACTCCCCCCTTCGCCTGCCGCTCCCTCTCAGACGGACTGACAGGTGTCACGATTACCATTGTAAGAGGCGGAGAAGCAGCTCTCTGAACAACGGCGCCTGTACCACTGTCCCTGCTTCCATTTCCTTGGGCAACCTGCTTGTCCCCGGTCTCCTCAATCTGCCCAGAACCATCCACGGCTTTTTCAGGAGCCACAGCGGGCAGTAAAGCAGTGTCGAGCACGTTTGGTGCGGGTGTTCTCGTGACCGGACCCTCTGCTTTGGAGCCCTGTGCCTCCGCCCCTGGTTGGCTCCCCTGCCTCTGAGACAGTGTTGCGGTGGGGGTGTCAAAAGTTTGCCCCTTGGGCAGTCCTGTCTCCAGCTGGGAATCAGGCTGTGTTGAGCGCCCCCCCATGTGCTTTGCTCGGTACTGCTGGAGTGCTTTGACAAGGTCAACCGCAGGCTGCACAGGCAAACATGCTTTGAGCATGACGTTTGTAGAAGGGAAGGGGAGAGATTAGGAGCAGCAAGCAAGCAAGTCCCTGTTTGAGCATCAAGAAGCAGTATGCGGTCGCTTCCGCCTGAAAGGCATGGCCCATAGGCAACTTTGCATCAGTGCCTAGGAAAGAGAAGCCACTAGCCAATTCAGTCCTGCGATCAATCGTGGAGCTGAGAGGCATTGCCCTCACTTCAAACACACAGACAGCCTTCCAACCTTTGCCCTGCTTGTCCACTATAGTCGTATCTGTAACAGGGCCCCAGCCGCATGTCCTGCTTGAAAGAAAGCACCATCTGCATCTTTCATCGCAATGGCAACTTGGTAGAACCAAAACGAGGTTCAGGTCCCCCCACCTGGGCGTTGAACTCCACTGCCTGCTCAAAGAGAGTGATCACGGAACCATGGTCCCCCCGCACCTCCGCCTCCCGGATCCTCCCCAGCCAGTAGCTTGAGTGCGCCGCCTGCTCGACATCCACTCCTTCTACTTCATTCTTCATAGCCGGCAGTTGGCCCTTCCCCACACCTCTAGTTGCCCCAAGGCTTCCCTCACTGTCCAGAGCACTTGCAGGTTTGGCACTGGTTTCTCCTGCCTGTTTCCCCTTCCCTTGAGGAGTGAGCGAACCCTTCAGGGCAGCCACTCTCCCCGCAATGGCTTCAAGCGGCCCGGTCATCACTCCCTTGAAGGGCGTCCACTCCTTGGCCTTCTTCTGCTCAAATGATGGGGGGCACTTAAAGCCGTTGCTGGGCAGGGGGGTTCGAGGCAGGGCCACCCGGGCTGGTCTGGAACTCTCTACTGGGGCGGGAAGCGGCACTCGAGCAGCTTTTGGAGTCCCAACTTTAGAAGGCGTCCGCTGGGGGTAGCCCATCTTGACGGGGGACAGGATGCCTGCGGGCTTGGCTGAGGCGTTGTGGAGGTACTTGGCTGTCCGGTCTGCTTGCGGCGTGTTTGCTTCTGAGTTGACAAGTGCTGGGTTGTTGCCCAAAGGAGCCCCACTCGGTGCGGCTTTTGATGTGCTGGGGGTAATGAAAGGTTGGGAGGCTCTTGCTAAAGGAGTAACGGCCAATCTGCAACAAAAGTGTACAGTCAGCCGCCTGGCATCCAGTCGCCGGCCTTGGCACCAGCATGATTAAGGTCTGTCTCAGGATGAGCTTCAGTGTGCTCCAAACTGCATGTCTCCTTGATTGTCCTGAGGCGGCACTGGAAGTGGGTTGCAACATTGGAAGATCCAAAGGGCTGGTTCCACTCAGCAAACCGCAATCATCTGCAAACATTTGCCAAGAAGCAGATACTGGGCCTTCTTGTGAAGAATACAAACACCTTCCTTGTGATTCATGTTGCTGCTTCCTCAATCACCTGGTGCTATGCACAGCCCAAAGCAATCCTGATAATCTTCAGCTTCCCTTTCCATTGTGACGCTGTGCATACAACTATTCCAGAAGGCCAGAGGGTTACTCCAGCTTCTTCTATGCATGCAAGGTGTTGAAACGAACAGCCGTCCCAAGCGCTCACCTCACAGAAGTGGGGGTCTCCTTCACAGGTGTCCCCTTCATGATCTTGCTCGACTCCACGCTCATGCGCTTCTGTGCCTGCCATTGCTCGAGCTGTTGCTTTCTGGACAGCGGCGTGGGCGGGAGGTTCTGGTCTTGCTCCATTGGCCCTACAGGTTGACCAGGACTGATTTTGTTGGACTCGCTTGTTTGAGTCCCAGCTGCCTGGCTTGTGCACAAAACTTGAGAGGCTTTCACAGGAGCATATCAGGTAAGACTTTGTGAATCATACTGTAGGCAAGACATAGGTACAGCTCCTGGGCAATTGAGCATTCATGGCTCATTTTCAGGCTCTTTCAACACACTAAGACTCAGAGTATGCTGGCATTTCTTTTTGGCAAATTGGTCGTCACTTGTTTGACTATCAGGGCAAATACCACAAGGAAAGCAAGCAGCAGGCAATATACTGAAACCTGATCCGGCCTCCTACCTTTTCGACCTTCCTGCGCCATGGTTCAGGAATTTCAAACGGGCATCCAGGCTAAATTGCGTGACACCAGCAGGGAATGATAGATCTTATGGAAAACAAGCCTCCCGCTAGGAATCAACGAACTGATGGATTCAGCTAGGTATCGAGTTTCTCTTTAGGAGAAGCGCCACCAAGAAATCTCCCTAGATCTAAGATTACGGTATGGTGCCACAAAACAAGCTCTGCAGGATGTCTGCAAGGATGCACCGTCTGGTTCTGAATCTCATCCTGATTCCTGATGTCAGGAGATCTCTGATCAACAATGAATGAGCTTTGACATTTGTACTGCGCAGCTTCGTAATTTGAATTGCCACTGCTCGGGAGCGATTTTGTACCTCGGATCGTGAACAGGGTGGAGATCCAACGGTTCAAGGAACTGCTTTCTAGCAACTTCCCCGCGCTTTTGACTGCCGGCTCGGTCGCCCCCTTGCATGAATGGTGATCTGGTGCCAGCAGTTCTCTCCCACTGCCAGTGGCAGTGCTGCCAGTGCCACTGACTTTCTCTGTGTCCACTGAGCGACTCTGTCTCCTTCGACTTTGCTGACTCCCTGGACCCTGCAGCAAAGGTGGCAGCAAGTTTCTTCTTCAATTCTGTCCATCCTCAGCTCACATCCATTGACTCGAGCTTTTCAAAAGGCCAACCGTAGAGGGCCGCGGTATTTCAGTCAGGCACCTCTCAGAGCAGCACCACTCGTTTGTTGGCAAGGGCACGAGACTTGCTCCAGAATCCCAGTGTGCATCTGCAACTCGCGGGCTGGTGGCTGACGTTTTGTAGCATGGCTCTGCAAACTCTTTAGCTCGCTCCCTCTATCAACATCTAGCAACTTGAGCTTCGCGCACTCCAGACGCCATTTTCACCTCCCCACATTTTCAGTTCCGTGGGGCTTGCGTGGCCTTCACAGCAGCTACGCATGTGAAAAGGGCACAAAGTCCAGCTTGCAGCTCGCAGGGTGGGGGCTGGGTCATCCTACCATGGCCCATGCAGACTCTCTTTCCAGCTCGCTCCCTCTGATAGCGTCTGTAGCAGTTGTCAGTGGCGCCGCAGCCGCACTTGCTACCATCCTTGCGGTGAAAGTTGTGGGCGATGATCAAGTGCATGAGCAAGCACAAAAGTGGTCGAGATGGCTGGGCTTCCATTACTCACGGGTTGAAAAGGTGGGACTCTCGGTAGATGAAGAATTGGATCCTCCTTACGTATCAAGCTATGACAGCAAGCTCTAGGTTGAAAAATGGGACACGTGGTTGGCGTGAGACTGCAACCCGTGCTCGTTGCATTCTTGCTTCCTGACTGAGCAAAAATGTCTTACAACTATCAACATTATAGTAGGTCAGATTGTGCAATTGTAGGAGCACATGATTTCGGGGAACAGCCACTAAAAGCTTCACACCAGGAGTGTTAGAAGGTGCGAGCATGCATGAGCCCCCACAATGCTGCGGAATCTGAAGAGCCTATAATCACTTATCATCTGTGAGACACCATGTGAAAGGGTAAGCAAGCTTGTTCATTGATGCTCGCAGAGCTTCTTTTCCCTCACTGGATGCTGCGTACGTTGTTCTAGGTCTTCTTGCTGAGCTCAAACGGTTGAAGGGTTGTAAAGCAACCCATCGAAACAGAATGACCTTGGCATTGGGAAGGTGATATGGGGTCCAGATTGGGGACGCAAGCGACATTAAATCCTCCGGTCACATATCCATCCCGTCCCAATTCCTGCAGGCTGCAAGTGACTCTGCTCATCAATGTTGCTGCGGACATCAAAGATCATTGAACCAGCCCCAAAACCCTCCCAAACAGAAATTGAACGATCTGCCCTTGGAAAGCGGCTTCAAGGAGGCTGGCTCCTTAGGCAGTCACCATATCAAACCCCTGGCGACGGATCACATTGAAACCAAGTCTCTGGACCCCCCTAGAGAGCGGAATGCATGGAAGTCAAGCCAAGATCCTGAAACAGGAGTGTCCAGACGGCTGGATGAGCTTTTAGAGGGGGCAAAAGACTCAGGAGAAGCTTCCCCAAGCGGCCAATCTGCTGACATTAGCAGTATTGATTTGAGAACACCAGAGAAGCAGCCGCGATTGCTAGATCAGAGCCTTGGGGCAACTTCGCCGGCACTTCCAGGGAAGCCCGATCCAGAAGACCCTTCAAAACGGAAAGGGTGAGCGGTTCGGTGTTCGCAATCTGTTCCCAGTTGTCAGGCCTGCAGAGGCTGAGGTAGTCTGTATACAGGTAGTTGTGAAAGTGGCAACTTGGGCATCTCTTGAGTGACCTGGGGTTGTCAATCTTGTCTGAAGAGATTGGTCAGGGGGTTCTGTTTAGAATGTCATCATTCTTGCAGGGCAGATACAGGTTTGTGGCAGGTCTAAGCCGGTACTTGCGTCTTCAGACGCAGAGTCATAATCGGAACACTGTATCTGTAATTCCACACACAGCGTCAACAACAGCCTTGGAGATTCAAGCAGGCTGCCCAGCTGTCTTCCTCATCTTGTCTAAGAGGCGAAAGCACCTACAGATACCTGGACACTCGCAGCAGAGGCGTGTCAATCTGAAGAGCGTGTTCAGTCTTTCATTCAGCTGAACCGCTCGTTGTTTCCTTACAGATATCTTTCTTGGGACGACTACTTTATGGCGGTCGCTTTCCTGAGCGCCCAGAGATCAAAAGATCCAAACCGGCAAGTGAGTGCAGCTTGGTTTCTCTGCATGTGAAGTATGATGCTCTTGTTCGCTTCTTGGACTTGGAGTCAACTCATTTGGTTTTTATGCAGGGGTGCCCATATTGTTAAAGGTGTGCAGTAAACGACCTGGGCTTCCTTGTTGCCTTCTTATACATCCGAGCGCTGTATTTCTATCTCGTTCTCATCGTTCTTCAATACGAGTGACAATCTACAGGCAAGCTGCGGACTTTTCAAGTCGTATTCAGGCCGCTTGTAATTGGAGACTTTGGTAACTGCTTTGAACCCAGCTCGTTTTTTTCTTCCCAGGTTGGAGCGTGCATCGTAAGCCAGGAGCGCATCATCCTGGGTAAGTTCCAGATCCGAGCTATTAATCTCAGCTTCTTGACGTCTTATGCATAATTCCGAAGCTCTACCAAGGTTTAAGCCTGCAAACCTTAAAGAACGCTAGGCCATCCGATGCCGTACCTACTGGACATCTGTTTCGCGCGGACTGACTGTTAGTTCTGAGCATTTTAAGTTGATAAATCTGACCACGAACGATGGGGCTGACGGCGAGTTGGGCCAATTTAGTACTTCGAACAGACTTTCGAGAGGTTCTGCATTTTGGACACCACATTTCGAGGAGAAAGCGGGACGCAGAGAGTTTACCATGCAGCCAGATATTGTAGCGAGAAAACTGCACACTCGAAGAAGATTACTTAAGATTTTAGGGGGAAAGTTGTGCCCACATTGTGTGAATTATATTCGACCAGCATGTCCGTTCTTGAATCCGTTTCGGACCTCAACTGTGCTTGCAACTCTCTCAGCGAATGTCCCCTCAGCTCAAGTTACGCTCTCTACACGTCCCTTTCTGAGCGAAGACGTAAGGGAATGTCGTAGGGTCTATGGAGCGCTTGCCGTTCTCAAACTCGACGTGCGCTCTTGCTTGCGACAGTCATGACGTCACTGCTATTAAGCCCCCTGCTTTTCCCCCCAAAACCTTCCAGTCTCACAAGCACGTAAGCGAGCAGCTTTTGTTCCTGCTGCAGGGATCGCTTACAACGGCTTCCGGGGCGCTGCTTTGGGGACCGATGACGTCAGCTCGTGCTAACTTGCTCGTCGTATTTAACACCTCAGATTTTGCAAGTCATGAAACCTAAGTGATCAACCGAGAGTCTTCCGTTTTTCGCTACAGGCATCGGGTACAATGGTTTCCCCAGGGGCTGCTCGGACGACCAACTGCCATGGGCCAAGTCGTCGAAAGATGGCGACCTGCTCAAGACAAAATACCCGTAAGGCGTCGCTCTTGCTTCAATTCGTAGTCACGAGCTGGAGAGTTATGCTCTGCAAATAGGGCACGATCGTTTCGGGCGGGACCCGGAAGCTGCTTACATCGCCGCTCCTTCCGCAAAGAGTCATATGCAATGTTTATTTGAACGGTCAGGAAAAGGGCTATCATCCGAAATGGCTACGAGAAGCTGACGCATGGGAGAGGCGCTGGCAAGTTGAGTAGATCAAACGGAGATACTGAACTTCGAAAAGCTGAAGATTTGTAAAGCTTCTTGTGGACTCGTGACACGGAAGGCCAATCCCCCTAATCACTTCCTGATAAACTCGGGTCGATTGGCATAACGAGCACAATTCCCGGACGCCTGTCGAACAGTGGCATGAAAAACCCCGTCAGCCTTTCCTCCTCGGAGGGATCAGCTCCGGTATGTTGTTATTTTTGGTTGTCGCAGTGCGTAGCTTCGAAGTTAAAACTTCGATTGTCTTTTGAGCAAATGGCGCGTCCTTCTCCCTTCTAATTACGGTTCTATGGTTACCTCCTCTCATCAACGCAACGTCCGTCATTGTTCTCCGTTCCGCTCAGGTACGTGTGCCACGCGGAGCTGAACGCCATTCTGAACCGGAACCACGCGTCAGCCCCCGGCCAAAAGATGTACGTCACGATGTTTCCGTGCAACGAGTGCGCAAAGCTTATCATTCAGGTACGTCCACTCTCTTGCTGTCAGCCTTCGTTTTCCCTTATATTCTATCGTTTGAATGAGCCGCTCCATCTCGAGAGAAGCCACAGAAGGCTTACATGGGCTTCCACTAATTTCCAGCCTGGTTGAGCTTGTCAACTTCAGTTCTGGAACATTCGGTTGTCGTTTGCTGCTTTATTTTCCGTCGTTCCCTTTGTACTTTCTGTAACTGAAAGCGTCCATCCTTTCCATAAACTTGAACAAGCTGTACGCTCAGAAGCATCCTGGCCGATCCCGAGCCAACTCCAGCCGAAATTTCATGAAAGAGGGCCCTACACTGTTTCTGCGAGATACTAGCCATCCACTCGTCCGTTTCCACCCACCTTTTCGTCGAATGGTGCATACCTGGGTCACTGCTTTCGTGAGCAACTTCCACGCAAGCGGTTTCACATTTTGGGCGGCTGACGCTTCTGTCGTAGACCCGTGCTCGGGCATTCGTCCGGAATATAACGGATAAAACACGTGCCAGGTGTCACAGCCTCCTCTTATCCTGGCTTTGCAGTGATCAGCGGCTCGAAGGAAGTTCGCACAGGATTTTTTTTACGGAATTGTGTCCTGCGTTTCGATGTGAGCCGGGGAGAGAGCATTCAGAAACACATTACGCTTGGGGGCATTGCAAGTAGAATGAGGTTTAAGAAGTCAGACTCTCAAACCAAAAACTAATCCAGACCGTTTTCGTCTACAGTCGGGCATCTCGGAAGTGATCTACTACACGGACAAGGGCGGCCACGAGCGGGATATTGGACCGGGGGATCCCCGGCCGGAAATTGCGTACGCAGCATCGAAACGGTTGTTGAAACTGGCGGGAGTGAAGGTGAGCCGTTCAATCCAATTTGCGTTGCGCCTCTCCCATCTACCCTCTTTGCCGTTCGATTCATGATTTCGCACACCTCTGGAGTCCAGCTACTTTCTGTCAGCGAGGTTCCCTGCCCTGGTTGTGCCCTTACAAACAAATCTGAGGCCCGCAAATGTCTTCGCCAATCAGTTACCTTTCAGTCTCTTTTCTGAAAGGTTTGCCTTGATCGGTCCAGAGCTCTTTCACTGATTTTATGTACTGAAGTACGGATGAGCTGTGAAAAAGGATCATGATCTTTACCATCGTTTTTGCAGATGTGTCAACACAAGCCGGCTAAGGCTTCCATCACACTTGATTTCAGGTGACGTAAAGGAGTGGCGGTAGCACGCGACCAGAAAACGTAAGAGGAGAGTTCACATGTGGTCCACGGGTTTCCCTTTTCAAGGGTGCCACTGATTGATAACCCAATGCAGCCCTGGTATAACCGTGTGCCTACAGTGCTAAAGAAAGACATGTCAAACACGCAAATACTAAGCCTGCGTCAAGGAAAAAACGACTCGGCCAGTAGGACTGAATCGCGCTGACTAAAAGCGAACACGTTTGCGAGCGTCCAAACTAACTCGGTCAGTGCATGCATGATGTACCCGTGCACTTCTTTGGTCTCAAATTAGGCACGTTGCATCCATTTGTTATGGTTCAATCAGAAAGCACATATCAGGACAGTCGCTAGTCCGGGGACTCCATAGACATAAAATGTTTCGAAAGGCAATCGGCCCGGACTGTTGCATGTGCGCCGCCACCCAAGAGTCTACTTTACTCAATGCTCAAACGGCCTTTTGCGTTTTAGGTATTCCACCTATTGCGTGTGGTGGTTACAAATCTCGGGCCACGTTCGTGGCCCTCTGTGAACCGCGATTTGCATCGGATTGAGAGTTAGGGGACAGTCCTGAAGACCGCGAGTCCCGATCGTGGCCCTCAGTGCACGCGATCGAGCACTTATAAGAGCTTTCGGCCAGGTTCATCATTAATCCGCAGGCGATTTCGCACATGGCAGCTCATGCACAAAATTGAAACCGTCATACAGCATGTCATGTCACGCAGGAGATACAATGCAATTGCATGATCATTCAAATAATGTTCGAGCCATCAGGCTTGTGCTATACCAACGAGAAAATATAGGGTCATATCTAGTGACATAAGTACGATATTACTGCTATAAGGGCACCATCCATATCTAAAGCTTTCTATAAATGAAACCCACATGCACGGTCTCAAAATTTTATGCAGTGATACAAAATACTGCGTACGGTAACCTTCAATGTTAAGTATGAGTCCGTCTATGTGAGTCTACGCGAAGCCATATTTTTCCAAACTTACAGATCCTATACAGTTCAAGTCTATGCTGATCGAATTCATACATTGAGACGATTCATATGAACCTATACCGTACTGGTTGCCATTTCGTGACGTGCACATGTGGTCAAGCTTTAGCAATGCTAGGACCTAACAATGACACTGAAAGCATGGGACGTCTGTCCTAAACGAGGAAGCATGCGACACTTGGTGCCTAGAAGAAATCACTAAACTCACAGGTATCGACGGTGCATGGTTCGCTTTCCACTAATCAGCACTAGAGTCTAAACGTGAATGTTGTCACCCTTCTGCTCCTCATATTCATCAAGTTGGACGGGAATCTGGATCGCCCACGACCTGCCTACACAACGTATGCGTCTCCAGAGTACTGCTAAAGGGTTTTCCGAGACGACCATGGCACCCCACAACGTGTACACGAATTGGCTGAGTATGGATGCCGAAGACAGGGCAATAGATTGCAAGAAGATACCCTTGTCAATAAAGACATTTGGCGCCGTGTATTTCGTGCTACCCGCAATGAACACAACCGTCTGGAACCCAAGCTGCGGCACTGTTCGCAGTACGAGCTCAACTAAAGAGCGGGAGTCGAACCAGAGCTCCATGCCGTAAACACGTGCCCCCAGCTTAAGGTGGAAGCCAAGCTTGTCCAAAAACGCCACCACGTCGAGGAAGACAACCGCCGGGAGGAATAGCGGCCATACAACCAGCACTACCGCCCACCTCAGCGGGCTCATAGGAAGCCGTGGCAGGGCTGCGGCAGAGTCCATACGTGGAGGGGGCCAAATCCACCTCAACCCCGGCAAACGAGGTGGACGTACAAAGACGAAACCGCTGGCGACACAGCTTTCCGCAATAAACAGGGCCCCGACCAAGTATGGTGCGAGGATGGATCCTAGGATCACCCACTGAGGCCAGCCCCCCCAGACCTCAGCCAGGATGCGCAGGTCGGTGTAAAGATCCGCCCACACAACGGCTCCACCAACGACGCCACCTAGGTAGACCCCATACGTAACTAGCGGGTGCGGCTTGCCGAGTCCCCCACCAATCAGAGTCAACGCCTTCTTGAAACGCGTCATAGCCCAATAGGCAAAGCATAACGCGGCAGCCAAGGCGCCAAGGATGGAGTAGACGGTGATGACAGTCCTCGTGGCCCCCGGAGTTACACAGAACTCGCTTAAGGAGGTGGTGTTCGTAAAAATGTCGATATCGTGAAGGCAAATCTCTCGCCTTGTGTCACTAGTCAATGTTCCGATGTTGCAGCTCATATCCACCGCACAGGAGTACCCACCGTTTGTTTGGTCGAAGGCTGGCCCAAACTTGATGCTCGTAAGAGCGGAGCAGTTGCGAACCTCCACAAGACCGCTGCCACCCTCATTAATTTGGTTACAGAGACCCGCAGGCACAGTTGTCAGGTCGAGAACTCGAGTAGAGGCGTCTCCGAACCCTATAGTGAGTTTGATCAGAGCGAGTTGGTGCACCCAAGGTGGCGGGGAACAGGGAAGTCCCAGTTCTTGTACAGAGACTACTGGCCAGCTCACATAGCTGCATGAAATCGCTGTCGCCTCAAAGTTGAGGTAATACAGGACCCTCAAATTGCTGAACTCAGAGGGGATGAACCCCGAGAGGTAGTTGTTTCCAAGGGACAGATACTTGAGACGCGTAAGTCTGCTGAATGAAGGGGAGATGATTCCAACAAGGTTGTTGGACTGAAGGCCGAGTTTGGTGAGTTTGCGCAGGTTGCTGAGCTCTGGGAGAATGGGCCCCGACAGGCTATTGTTGCCCAAGTCAAGGGACGTAAGGTTGGTAAGATTGCTGAGCTGCGGAAGGATGGGGCCCGAGATCTGGTTGGAGGCGAGGGAGAGGCTTTCTAGGTGGATCAGGCTGCTAAGCTCTGAAGGGATTGGGCCAACGAGGCCATTATTGCTTAGGTCAAGTGTAGTAAGGTTGACCAGATTGCGAAGCGCGGCAGGAATGGGGCCTGAAAGCTTGTTCCAAGCCAACGAAAGGGACTTGAGCTTGGTTAGGTTACCAAGCTCGGCAGGGATGGGGCCAAAGAATTTGTTCTTGCCTAATGAAAGGGAGGTGAGCTCAGTCAGGCTGCCAAGGGGAGGGGGTATACTGCCCGAGAGGTTGTTATTTTCCAATGAAAGGTTGGCCAATCTGGTTAGGTTGCCTAGCTCCGGGGGGATCGGACCATCAAGCCAGTTATTGCCCAGGTCAAGGGAGGTTAACTTGGACAGCCTGCCAAGCGTTTCCGGAATACGTCCGGTAAGATACAAAGAGCTCAAGTTGAGGGTTGTCAGATGTACCTGGTCACCAAGCTCTGGGGGTATAGTAAGGCCATCGTTTAAATAGAAGTTCTTCTATCCCTTGGACAGCAGAATACCGACGGGGACAGGGCCAGATAGGTCGTTGTAATAGAGGTAGATCAATTGAAGATATAGAGTACCAAGCTCGGGGGGAATTGTACCAGATAGGCGGTTGGAAGCAAGGTCGAGGAACTGAAGGTATCGGGCACCAGCAAGCTCAGGTGGAATTGGACCCGATAGGCGGTTTGAAGAGAGGTAGAGATATGTAAGCTTTTGGAGACCCCCTAGCTCAGGAGGAATTGGACCGGAGAGTTGGTTTTCGAAGAGGCCAAGATATATGAGGTCAAGAAGATTGCCAATCTTTGACGGAATGGGGCCTGACAAGTCGTTATTATAGAGGCCGAGCTGTTGGAGCCTCCGCAACGCACCGAGCTCGGGGGGTATAGGGCCTGAAAGTGAATTTCTACCCAAATCGAGTAGAGTCAACTGGGTCAGTTTACCAAGCTCAGGGAGGAATGGGGCCTGAAAGGAAGTTGTTGGAAAGGTTAAGCCGAACGAGGTTGGTCAGGCCACCAAGTTCAGGAGGAATGGGGCCAGAGAGCAGATACTTAGAGCTCTCTATGGAGGTTACACTCGAGAGGGGAGCCTGAACAATGTTGGTCAGCTCCTCCATAGTGAAGGAGCACACCCCGCTTATAAACCCGCTTCCCCACAGGCTCACCAAGAGCAGCAGCCCAAGGCGCAACATAGTGGGCTCAGCTATTTCTCCTCCCGAAATCGTGGTACAGGCTGGTATAAGTTGGCACCTGCAAAATCATAGCATCATCATCATTCAGCATTGGCCTTGAAGAAATTCTGGAATGCAACAGCTTTGTGTGACTGGGGCAAAAAGCAGCAACAAGATTATAAAAGAAGAACCTACCTGCAAGCACAGGGCAGGCTAACCAGGAAAAACGTGACAAATGAAGCATTGAGGAGATCTTGCGTCCCCGTCGTTGATGCATTGTAACTTCATGTGCTGATCCAGGTTCTAGCTCAATCAAGCAGTTCTTCGTAATGATTCATGATAAGTTTCTGGTTGGTGTCCTGAAGAGACGCCCGAAATTTTGCCAACTTTTATCTGCGCTATCTGCACATCATGCAGACAGCTTTCGTTGTTGCAGTTGTGGGTTTTCCTAAGCAATGCCTAGTCAAGCAAAGCAACGTGGGTTGCTAGTCCCCCTCTCGTCTAAAGCTGACAACAATACATCAGAGTCGGAGTCCACGCAAAGTCCTACAATGGCCGGACGAGCCCTCTTTTGTTACAACCGAGTCTTTTGAGCTATGAGTGGTAGTTAGACGAGGCAAACTTTACGATGGTCATCAAGAGCGGTCAAGAGGTCAACAAAGAGAGGATTCTCACGCCAAGAAGCATTTCCCAGGAAAAGCGAAGGCGTGTGAGATGACCAGCCTCACCTCCACTGGCAATCAAGCTGCAAGCAAGCAATAGAAGGTGCTCTCTTCAAAAAGACGATCCCCGCAAAGACGATCTCGCCGCACACTCGCTGCCACCGTCCTTAATTCCGTGCCTGCATCCTATCCTAGCTACAGTGTCAGTAAATAGAATGCTTGCTTCCTGTGTGAAGCAGCGAAGGGGAGCTAGACAGCCTGAGCCTGAGGCGGCGGCTGACTGGACTCTTGGCGCGGCGTCTTGTTCAACTTCACGTATGTCGACATAGGTAAACAAGACGCAAATCAACATTGTGCCATGTGTCAGACAACTGGGCGCACCGAAAACTACCGGCGACGGGCCTGGCCGGCGGAAACGGCACCCCGGCCGGTGCCGAACTCGAAGGCACCCCGCCAGCTGGTTGGCCGGCAGGTAATGCACGCGCACTTGCTAGGTGCAGCCGGCCGGTGAAGCCAAGTACCGACTACCCTGGAGGCCTGAACTGCGCAGGGCGCATTGCATACAAAATCCAACCCGGGTTTTCCGGGTTGGTTTCTTGAAAACAAATCTACTTGCACATGGCACCTGCCAGTTGAAGTTTGGGTTTACCATGCAGTATTATTAATACTACCCAGGTTCGAGCCACTGAGCCCCCATTGAGCCCTCCCTGCTGCGGCCTGCCCCCCTGCACCGCTCTGCCGCTGCCCCACCTCATATAAATCTGGTTCGAAGCAAAGTTGTGGTGGCTGGGGGAGCCGCAGCCCTGAGGAAAGGTGGCCAATTTTTGGACCACTACAGTACGTCACTACTACAATATTTGTAGATCTACATTGAAGCTTCAAAACGAAGCAATTTTCTGAGCTTGAATGCTAATGGAATTTATCCGTTTCACTTTCTGATCTGGCTATTAAACCATGAGCAGAGCGTTGGCAAAAAGTGGCAGCATTGCAAAACCCTCCTCTTTTCCAATATCTGCCCGACATCAGCCCAATTATCAGTGTCGAAAGTCTCTATCGCTGGACCGTTTCTTCAGAACAGCAAACTCCACTTCTGTCAGAGCTACTCTCCCCTCCAGTTACCAAAGACAGGTGGTGGTTAGAAGCAACATGGCCGCTGAAGCTAAGACCCAACCGGAAACTTCCCACCCCGCAAAGAATGTCAACGAGGAAAGTTCAGAACCCACAGTGGCTGCAGGATCAGAATCTTCCCGCCCTGACGACCCGCAAGAGCGTCTCACACGGTGGGTGGCAGGCTGGGCAAAACCTCGGGACGCGCCGGGGAGGATCGCGTTCCATAAAGCGGACCCGAATCCGAACTTGCTGAAGAATCTAGAGAAGTTTCTGGGGCCAGAGCAAGAAGCGGGGGAGAACCGGCGGGTGCTTGTTCCGCTGTGCGGGAAGACAGTAGACATGCCATTTCTGAGTTCCAAGGTAAGTGCAATTTCTTTCTCTTATTCTTTTTGAAATTTTGACACATGAGGATGTCGCACGCTGGTCGATTGGGGGTGGTGTAAATAGGCAATGGGCAGCGCAGATTGAGTCTGATGCGCAGACATGGAATGCGAACGATTTCTACGTTATGTAAGCACTTTACTTATATTCAATATAGGTATCCCCCTTGATTCTCTCACATTTCTTCTGTACTTGATGTGGGCTTGCAGTTCGCTTGCCATCGAAAGCGGGTATTTTTGCAGCATTGATTAGCAGCCTCACAAAATCCCTTTCAGAGGCTCAAGCGCTCTCTACGCATTGAGCTTCTTTGTTTGAAAAGTCTTCCTCTCAGTCAGACGCAAAGCTGACTCCAGATGTGAGCTCAGGCTTGGTAGAAACACAGTGGACTTCATCTTAGTTTGACGGAACTTTGGACATTCGGCATTTAGTATTGGAGGCATTATTGAGTCGATTGGTGCAGAGGCTAGAAAGCTCAGGTTTTGTTAAGGACAAGATCTGATAGGTGACGACAAACTGCATGTCTCCGGCTGTGGTGGTCTACTTAGAGCGCTGTGTTAGGAACTGTTACGCTCTTCATCGTCAGCTAGTCCAAGACCCTGATCGTTCTCACAAGGTTCATCTATCAAGAATTTCTCAGTACTTGCCAAATGGTGCCGCTTACACTGGCGCCCGCCATTCAGGGCTTCTCTTTGATGCTGCACCACCTTTTATCATGTCGCTCCACAGCAACAGATGTGTAAGCTCATAGGTTTCAGCTGTTACCGTCTTGCTCAACTGTAGATTGAGTGCAGTCGAAAGGATGTATGTCACTGATAAGAAGTATTCTCCGCATATCAGCTGGCGTACATCAAATGCCTGTTTCTATCTTGTTTCCTACAAGCTTCAGCCCGCTTGTTGACTAGGTTTCCTTCTCATTCCCTGTCTCGAGTTGTCTTCCATGTTCACAACGCCCTCAAAACACTAAAGTCCTTTCACAGTCTCTTCTAATATAATCTAGCAAACATCAAAAAGCACATCTTTCTTGGGTTCAAGCAGCCAACAAAGCAGGCATGTCTCTTGCTAACCCTGTGGCTTTGGTGCAGGGTTTGGATGTGGTCGGGGTGGAAGGTATCCAAACCGCAATCGACGAGTTCAGGGAGGAGCATCCGGACATTCCTCTCGAAAGGCTGGACCGGACGTCCGAGGGCGGCTTCGAAGTGTACGCAGGGCCCGGGCTGAGCATCTTGCGGGGCGACTTCTTCGAGCTGACGTCAGCATCTGCGGGGACCTTCGACTTGGTGAGGCGTCTTCCTGGCACGTCGAAATCAATCGGTGAAAAGAACGGCGACCTTCAAAGGGTTGCATTCTGCCTGGTCGGAAAAGGGCGTAGTCAAAAGAATGCAAGGGGTGGAAGAGCGGCTATCATCGCCTCTTTGTGCGCGGTGCCTGCAAAAACGCCACGCCGGACATAATTTGCCCATGTTTGCCAAAAGCGTACCATGTCGGTGACAATACCATCTCAGATTTGTGTTCTAATACGCACCTGTCTTGGCACATCGATCCTGCTCAACATGATCCACCATGACTGCATTAAAACCTAAGCTGACTCGATTTCCAACGAAGCTTGGTTTTGGCAGTGCTTGGACCGTGCTGCATTGGTGGCGGTTCATCCTTCGTTGAGAGGAAAGTACGTCGCCGCTTTGGACGGAGTGCTCAAGCCGGGGGCGCGCATCCTGCTAGTGGGCATGAACTACAACCAGGTGGGAATGTTGTCCCCTCTTTCGGTCCTGACTATTCCCGCCTTTCTCGTTTCGAGTCCTGGGTTCTGGATTCTGTTTCTGGGTTCTGGGTTTGAGAGTTCTGAACTCGATCGTCTTGTATCAATATGAAGCAAGTCAAGGGAAAGTAAAGAGAATGAGGAGTCTCACAAAAGCACGTGCAGTCCCTGTGACGCCATCTTCTCTAAAGGAATGCCGTCACAGGAAAGCGTTTCGCTTTGATCCCGCTCGGGGGCCTGTCTGAGCTGTCAGTCTGGGAGCATCTGATTGGCTACAAACATTGCGAGAACTTCTCCTTGACTCGGTCGCACCCGCTTTTGCACGTTTCTTTTGATTATATCCTTCCAATGGGCTTTGTTACCAGCTTCGTAGTTTCGTGGCCTGTTGAAGTTGCTGACGTCGGCAGATGTTGATCAGTGTCCACGGAATGATGGCATCAGAGAGCTCGGAGCTTGGCACTTCGCCATCCGGATGTTTCCTTGTTCGTCAAACGATTATGAAGGCTGTTAGACCTCGTCTCCGTCGAACCCTGTGAAGCGGACGAATTTCGGTGTCCTTGTTTCCTGAAAGAGAAAGTCGCACCTCGTCTGTTCACCGGATGGAGAAGGCCGCTTATGCTCACGTTTTTTCCCGAACGTTTCTGCAGGAGGAGATGTCTGGGCCCCCGTATAGCATCGACATCAAGGAGGTAGATCGCCTGTTTGGGAACGGCTACGATGCCCAACTGCTAACAGCAAACGACGTTTTGAAGGATTACCCGAATTTTGTGGCGAAAGGATGCACGGCGCTGAAAGAGGATGCGTTCTTGCTGGTGAAGCGTTGATCTTAGTGGAGATCAGTGCGTGCTAGCGGTAGTGTATTATTGCGCCTTCGTTACTCCTATCGAGCCGCCCAGTGGCGGTTGACGAGACGGTCGGCTTGCTGTGCTTAGAGAAAGCCTCTTGAAGGTCGAAACCTGTATAGGCGCGCGATAACCCTGCACTTGAAGCTTGGTGCTAGGTTGGACTCTCATTCGACGGTCTACTTCAACATTTGACATGAACTGAAGGTGACGGTTGGCCTCACTTCACAATTCAACCGAACCTTCGTTTAGCACTGATTCGTTTGGAATGAATGCGGCTCGACGGTTGGATGCACCTACTGTCTGCGAGAGTGGCGCTCAAACGCGAGCCGCTATATTTCGGTCGATCGGCCCGGCCAATCGTCGAGGAAGATATTTTCAAGATAGATCCACGCACACATGCTTGCAAATGCATGAAAGTTTATCGTCCGGGATGCGACGATATCTCCTCCATACTATGCATGTAACGTCGGCGTCGGAAGCAGCCTATATGAACCCGATGACGGACGTATAAGCGGTGACTCATGCGTATACCATTAGTACGATCACTATTGAACACATTCCTTCGCTTTGATTCTCCGTCGAAATCTTCATTAATTGTCGGGTGCGCAACGTACGTCCAGCCTGCTCGTGCTCTGAAACAAGCTATTAGAGATTGCATGCTTCATCAACTTTGCGTTGCAAAGGTATCAAACTAGGCTGACTCGCGACACCGGGACATCATTATTTCGATCATAGATCCGCCTAGCTATCTTTAATCGCGAACAGTGGGCTCAAATATAGTCTCCTGCTTCTTTCGTATCCAGGAAACCCTTATTCAAACTCCTATCTCTCCTGTTTGATCCTTATGAACCGCTTTGATGTTTGCCCGTCGAAGTCAACCGAGCTGCCTCAATTAACGCGTTTCTTTCTCAAGCAGCATCGGCAACACCAAAACGTCAGCAGAACGGCGACCGCACCTGCCACCCCGTCACAGACGTTCTCGATTAGGGCCATCTTGACAGGTGTCCGTTCAAAGTAGTCGGGGCAAACTTTGAGCTGCGCTTTCCCGGGCGCCCGGTTCCCGTAGGGCTCGCCCAAACCGGCACAGCGAACCGGGCAGCTCACGTAAAAGGTCATGGTCTTCGTCGCACACAGGGTCAGGTTTAAACCTGTTCCCGAGTCATTAAGGAACCGGTTCAGGCCCCCTGCGGGGTCGGGAAGACCAATGGGACCTTTGGGCGTGACGTCATTTACTGACGTCTGGCATAGCATGGCGACAACGACGAAGCCGATGACGGCGAAAAGGCCGGCATAAGCGAGGATGCAGGCGCAAACCTCAGCTAAACATTGAGAAAGGTGCAGCTTCTCTGCAATGCAGAGGTCTTTTGTGCAGGAGCCGCGCGATTTGGCTCCGGGAAAGAGAAATCATTTGAAGGCGACCACGAACCGCCAAAGTCAGTGTCCCAGGTCGCCACGTCGTGTGTCTGGCTGAGTGGGTCCGCAGCTCGCTTCGCGTTCTTGTCGAGGCTCCACACGCCGTTGGTTTGCACATAGAAGGCGGCGCCAAAACTTTCTTGTATCACGAGACTGGTATTGTTCATGTTGGCTTCCGCTTCGGGAGAGACGCAAAGCTTTCCCGACAACCAGCATACGAGGCGACCAATACTCCTGACAAGGAACGCCCCCAGCGAGAAGACAATAGCCCACGTCGTTAAACCCGTAATTATCACCGAGGCCAAGAACGCGAGGAACAGCAGACCCCCCGGACCCTTCATTTCGCTACGCACGTTTGGCGACAAGTCGAATTCCAAAGGCGGGGGCGCCTTGCAAACCTGGCTGGGCGATTCCACTTGGTAAAAGTCAAAGGAAGAGTTTCCAGTTGAAAGGTTTCCAAAGGAATGGCACTTGACCACCTGTAGCTGCCGCGGAAACCGTAACCCTTCCTCGGCGGTCAGCCCGTTAACGCTTTCCCCGAACGCGGGGTTTCTCAGGTCCGAGTGGTTTGTTAGCAAAAACTGGTTAACAAGGCTGGGCTCAGGAAGCGGGTTGCAGCCGCTGGAGAGTTCTCCGCGTGCAGAGTGGGTGATACTGCTGAGAGCAAGCAGCAGAAACAGAGGGGAGCGCATCTTGAGAGATGGAAAGGGCGCCGCCATTCTTGAACTTTTGTTCAAAGAGCTTGGGGATTCGGAAGCTAAGATTCTCGCCATTGCCCCCGCTATTGTTCAAAGTCAAGGTGCTAAGCGGATGTGACAACAGTGCGTTCCACTCTGAACTCTGTCAGCGCTTCGCATCTGCCTGCCCTTCTGATATCGCCCCCGCTCTCTTTCAGCGAGCTTGAAAAAGCCGAAACTAAGATGCTCGCTTTTGTTCAAAAGCACGATGCAGACTCAGCAAATGTGTCCTCTGTATATTCCACTGCGCATCTGCCTGGCTTCCGCGAGGTCGCTACTTGTGATCGGACACGTCAACAGCATGTCTGAGACAGTGGACTTGAGTACGTCGTAGCTAGCTGATTGCTGACTGTCCGAGTCAGCTCGGCATGGTCGGGCACGCGAGACTCTGGCGCGGCTCGCGGGCGCGTCGAGTGTGTGCTATACCATAGGCGAGGGGCGGTTGCTCCCCGCTAAGGGATAGCGTATGGGGAGAAGCAACCGTCTCGACTGTTCAAAAGGATTCGGCCGACCACTTAGGCGCCAGCAAGACTTATCCTCAGACGATCGGGCGCTCGTTAATTCAGCGACGTGTGTGCTCTCCTGCGAGCTGCACTTGTAAGTGCTTGTTCACGGGTAGAGCAGACCTGAAATTCTCATAATGTTAGGTTTTGGGGTATATTGGCCGTTATGTGTCGGGGGCAAACTTCTAGCAGCCCGGTTAAATTGCAGATTATCAGACGTCACTGAGCAGCACAGGCTATGAAAGGCGGCCCGGCCGCCCGAACCGGCTAACGCGTTATTCATAAATCCTGCTTTGCGCGGCCCATCAAAATGGGTAGGTAACGGTGGTGTATATGTATATCCGGGGTCGACGAGACGCTATCTGAAGCTGATGATCGACGCAAACTGCATATATACATGCCGTCTTAGCACCAACTTTGATCAATCTCCTAGAGTGTATTATTTGTTGCACGTCGACTACGTACACGTCGACGGTTCATGCATACTCGCAGAGCATGGTTTTCTTTCCTTGTGACTCTTCTTCAGTAGGACAACTCCCGTTGCAAATCGCAAATCTTTGCATCAACGCCGCTAAAACTGTTGACCGTGTCTGCCTGCACTGTGAACAGTCAGTTCAATAGCTCGAGAGGAGCCTGCATGCCTTGTAAGAGCTTGCATCGCATGCATTCATGATCGGCAGTAGTCTCAGTTTGCAGTGCTTGCTTACTAAGCCGGCCTGCAACCCTGGTGCTTCTCGCAACCTGAGGGTTGCTATTTGCGTCCAGGTCAAAGAGTGCACAATCCCTCTCTCAGTATATTAAGGCTTGATGCTTATCAACACCCAACTCGCTCTTGTTAGATTGTCGCTTACAAAAGTGGGTAGCACTTCCGCTATGAGCCGCCGCGTAATTCTCTCGCCGAAGGCGCCCCGTCCTCCGCACCTAGCTGCGGCCAGTTCGCGCTCCGACTCGACCGCGCAAGTCCCCAGACCCTCCGCGTCTCAAGTGGACTAGTCGTCACTTTGAGGAGCGCGGTCGCTACTATCTGCTTCCGGAGACAGCCCACGACCCTCAACCCCGCCACTTTACTGCAACGTTCCTTTTCAAGCTCTCGCTCTGGATTCTGGGGCCTGCAAGCTTCTTTTCCCCGCTTGGACACCTGACACGTGTAGAGGAACGATCGGTCGCTCTGGCTTCCTTCCGCTCCCGGAAAGCTTTTTTGCACCCACAGACGAGCGGCACAGACCCTCGCTGCTATCAAATCCAATATCTTCCCGTCCGCTGGTTTTAAAACGACGATCGACCCGACACCCAAAACCCTGCAACCCTGCCGGGATTGAGCCGCCCGCCTTGGAAGCCCGCCGGTCCCGCCTTCGCCTCCGGGTTAACGGCCCTCAGGTAGTCCGATACCTTCCGGGTTGGTTCGGCCGTCGAGTGGCAATGTAGCAAGCCGGAGGGAAACTAGAGTGGCGCGGCGACCAGTCGGGAGAACAGACGCAGAGGCGGACCAACCCGGATCCTCTTCGACCCGGGTTGAGAACCGACAGGGCCCGGTTCGAAAGCAGGCAAAGCGGCCCTCGGCTCCAATCATGCGCTGACACAGTAACCCCTTCTTTAACTCCTCGGTCCTTGCGGTGATAATCTACACCAGAGCAATCATCGCCCCTTCCAATCACAGTCTGCCCCGCCGCAGACCGCTGCCGCAAATCTGCCCCCCCGTTCCCGGCTTGGCTCTCTAGAGTCCCGCCACCAGCTGACGTCGTTTCCACGTATGCTGGCGTCTCCTTCAAGCTCCCAACTGACGTCAGCCGCCGCACTTCCCCTTCCGGTACCGCCAGCTTCTCTCAGTCCATGTTCTCACCCGTTGCGTGGTGCCTTTTCACACCGTCCAAAGCCGCAAGCGCGTCCGCGAGCTCCCGCTGCAGCCCCGCGCGCGCTTGCTGCGACTCCACCAGCCGCGTGACAGCCGCCTCTAGTTCTGTGCGCGCACGCGCCCGCGCGCCCTCCGCCGTTTCCGCCTCCGCGATTGCCGTCTTTTTCGCACCTTCCACCCGCTCTAGTTCCTCCCAAAGAGCATCCGCTTCCTTTTCGAAGCTCTCGACGTCCTTTTGGACGCTCTCTGCGTCTTTTCGGAGTCTTTCGTTCTCTTTCCGGACGCTCTCGCTCTCTTTCCGGACGCTTTCGTTCTCTTTCCGGACGTTTTCGTTCTCTCTATGGACGCTTTCATTTTCTTTCCGGACGCTTTCGTTCTCTTTACGGACGCTTTCCACTTCCGCGCAACATATAGCCAGGCTCGTCCGTGGCGCCTCGAGGTCCGCTATCGTCACTCTCTTCAGACGCTGCTGCGCCCTCGCGAGGTCCACTTGCCAACCGCGCGCCTCTGCCCGGGCGGCATCCCGTTCTTTACGCAAGCTCCGCCCTTTCTTCCGCAGCTCTTTACGCTCCGTGTCCAATCCCCAGATCTCTTTCCAAACACCTTCCATGGCAACCTTCCAGCGCTGCGCCTCCGCTAGAGCGTCGCCATTTTGTTTGACCAGCGCCTCTTCGACTTTGTGATGCCTTTTAACGAGCTCTACCCGCTCAGAATCATGTTTTAGAAGGAGGCCTGCTAGTTTCGCTTCGTGCTCTTTGGCGTGCCTGGTGATCAGGTCAGCGAGGACCTCATTCTGACGCGTGAGACCGAGCTTCTCCAATCGCAGCTTTGCAACCTGGGTGAGAAGGGACGAACGAGGATTACGCATTGTCTGTCGAAAATCGTCCCACAATCATGTTTAAACGGGACCTGTCAGAACGGACTGGACACCTCAAGCTATATGAAACCAAGCGAAGTCGTTTGTTGCGATCAAGGCCCGCACAATCCATGTCGAAAACACTGTGAGAGCTTAGCCTCGGTTTCAGCTGGAACATTAGCTGAGAACGCATCGGCTCTCGGACTCCGGTCTTTCAAATGTCTAATAGCGATTTCAAGACCCACAATCGAACACTATTCACGTCTGCTGTAGAGCACAGGACGCACACAACCTCTTGAGACCAGCTGAAGTGGCAGCTGAATTATGTACTTGTCTAGAGAACTCAAAATCCAAGCTAAGGAAGGAACAAGCAAGAAGAAGGAAAGAGAAGGTGCAAAAATGATATCTGGAAGAAAAAAGAGTAGAAACTGCACTAGAAGGATGCAAAGGCAAGAACCCGTACCTCGCTCTGATTTTCGCTGCTCTCTGCATGTCTGCACTCTGTGGTATTTGCCAGCTGTCCCTGCTTCGCACTGGCGCAGCATATGTAGACCCCAGTGCCTCTAAAGGGCTAGAAACGGAGCCAGAAGCTTCTGGATTATATATTAGCAAAATTGGGTCGCATGGTCTGTCCAAAGAGGTAACTAAAACCACGCAGCTCTCACCTGGCTCTCAAGGTGCGCGGCGCGCGCGCGTGCGCACACCTGCTGAGCGCGGGCCCCTTGTAACAACGCGACCTGCTGCTCCTCAGCGTCTCCAGCGCCCACTGGAGGCAATCTAGGCGGCGTTCCCGCGAGCGCGATTTGAGGAATTTCAGCGGCTTGGGGCTTGCCTGGAGAGAAGCAGGATTGAGTGAGATATGCAATCTACTAGAAAGGGGTTTGTCATGAAATCACAACTTGGGTTCAGGCTGCGATTGGAAACTTTTCCAGCAATTTCTACTTCTCACCTGAGGCTTCTTGTTGCCGAATCGATTGGACAACGCACCTAAAGGTGGATTGGGCTTCGCAACACTTAGGAGGTTTTTGCCCTGGCTCGAGCTTTCTGCTCAAGACCGAAGAAACACTGGAAGGCAATGAAGAGTCTGGAAACCGGACGTGCATGTGATGTGTGATTCTCACAAAATGCCGATTAAGCTGGTCCAAGAAAGAGACAGCTGCTTGCAGCATTTCAACAGGTCTCCTGTTCCAGCTCTTGCAGACACGCTTCAGACCGCCCCATGGGATTTTCCCACCATCAAAAGAAGTGAATGATTTTTATCGAAGACTGTTAGCTGTAGCCCATGCATTGTGCTTGGGCATCAGCTCACAGCTGTCAAGACAAGAGTGTTTGGGGACTGAACAGGTGTTACAGAGTTTCTTATAGATACTTCGATCACAGAACTCACGAACTTCTTCTCCAAGTGTATCTTGTTTGAAAAGAGTCCAGCTTCTTGAGAATTGATGTTCTCACCATAGTATGCGCTTTGCTTTTATCAGCGCTCCAGTTCTCTTCCAGCTCCCGAAAAGGGTCCTCTGGCAGAGCGATTTGGAACCTGAGCTTGACCATGTTGACAGAAAGGTCTGGCGCTCTCAGAATCAAAGCTTACATCTTTGGTCCGGCTAAGTTTGCCTTTTCGAGGCCTGCATACGAGTATGAGCTGCCTGCAGAAAGGCGATCGAGCACAACGTTCACGTATTGCACAAACTAGTCTCTCTTTCTTGCTTCTGCCAGCGGTTTGCAACAGCCTTTTTACATCCAGCTCACTGCTGCATTCCGGGCACTTTGAACCAGGATTGGCGCACATAGGAATGGACAGAGATCCTCCCCGGTGATTGCGTCTACCACCTGCCAAAGGCTGACCGGCGAGTTTCACCCTCCAGCGCCACAAAATTTCAAACCCTAGATTTTCTGTATGTCATCATGTTGCCAAACTGATTAGCGATTCAGCCGCTACATTTTACCAAGCTATTGCATGACGGCCTATTAGAGAATCGCAAGTCGACGGTCGAATATCTTCGTTGAACGATCTTCCGAAATCCTACGGCCGAGAGTTCTGCTGAGTTATCGACGAGGGCAACATTATACCAAATTGCAGAGGATCTGGCGGCATGCATTTCGATGTATAGCTGCAAGCTGGAAGCAGCGCCATCTCGGCCTATAGCAGTGTGGGGAGCTGCGTCCGGGTCTCGAAACCGTGGGAGGAATCTAGCGCCAGTAGCTGCTGGCATTCGTTCTCATTCACAGAGAGCAGAATATCAGAAGATGACATCTTCTAATAGTAATAAAGGTGGTTGGGTTGTCGTCGCGGCTCCTCCATTACAGTACTGGGGCATGTCGCGGCACGTACCTTTAAAGTGTACTCATATGCTCGCGTACTCTCCTCGTCATCGTGTCCCGACCTGCTTCGGTACGTCATTAACTCGACAGCCGCATGGCGAGCCAGTAACTCGTGAGTCGCACTTCCGCCAATCATCATTGCGTCTCCGCGCCTTGCCAGGATCAGCCGGGCGTCGGCCGCGCGGCGTGTTTCAAACGACTCATGATGACTATTGCAGGTCTTAACGGATAGCACAGGATATGTCCGAGCAGCGATGGTGTGGCACACCTCTATATATAGAGCATCAGTGTTGCAAAACGGGCACAAATATTGCTCTTAAAACAACTGAAGATGATCGTGCATGAGAAAAACGTTTACTAGGAATGTAGAAGACACCACCGAATTTGACCGGACTGACTATCTCTATGTACAGCTTCTTCCCAGTACTGCGCATCTGCATCCCGGCCCCTTGAAACATTCCTCAAATTGTCTGCACAAGCCCGAAGCTACCGCCTGTTTTGGTCCGACTATGCATATACCTTCCTTGCTAAATCCAAGTTCCAGCAAAGTCTGAGTCCAATAATAAGGGTACACGTTCGACATCCGCGGGGCAAGTTGCGCGCCATCAATGTCAGGACGTGAGCTTGCAGCCGTCTCTTAGCTTGCATCTTCAATCCCTGTACACAGTACAATATCTCACCGACTCGCTGCCAATCAACTCATTTCTCCCCGTTCTCCCTCAAACCTCAATCCTTTAGCCAGCTTTCACTTGAACGGCGAGTCGAAAGGCGATCGGGGGCTGGTCGCCGTGCGCGGCTTCAGCTTCAGCTTGGCGCATATCTTATTGCACTTGTGCGCGGCGAAAAACATGGCGAAGCCCTCCTCGCCCCAGTTGAGCCGCGAAAAGTGGTCCAAGTCGCGGCAGTGGATCGCCGGATCCGTGAGGTAGTACGTGTCTTCATCTGGGCCCTTGATCCCCTGGAGGTCGGTGATCATAAGCTCTCCCCCCGAGAACTCGTACGTCCAGTGGGTGAACGCCTGGAGGATGTCCGAATACTCGGGCGAGAAGTCGCCCACGTTGCACGAGAACTTCTTGTAGTGGCCGTCGAGGAAGTCCTCTACCGTATACCACTGATGCCTCATAGCCCTGCAGGGAAGTGAAGCTCGTTTTGATCTTCAGAAAAGGAGGCTTAAACGGAAGCGGGGCCGTGAAGGTGCTAAGAACGAACTCGGAGAAAGTGTGAATTGATACCACAGTCCCAACCACGTGAATTCAGAAGCCAGAATCAGGACTTGTACCAAGATTGCCTCAATGTAAGAAACGAATGTCCCGTCGGGGTGGATTTCTGACGTCACCTTTTTTGGGCCTGGCTAACGTTAGCACAGTTCTCCGAAGCATCGGATGGTAGCGAGCTAGAAGCGTTCCCTCCATATCAAAATAGAAAAGATTAACAGTTTTCCGTGTCGCTTCGCCGCTCCTCTTTTCAACGGAATCGAATAGTTCGAGACCCAGGAACAATTTGCGGTTCCCTTTATCAACACCAGACTTGAGTTTGTCTCAAGGTCCGCACACTAGGAGATGGTGCCCGCACACGCAAAAAACTCACGTTCCCAGTTGCCACCTTGACCAGATTCAGTTGCAGAAGGACTACCCGCTTGCGCACCGCGCGCGCAAGGGCTGCACAGGCAATCAGTACAGGGAAAGGTTCGGAAAACGGAAGAAGGCGCGCGGGCCCGTGCGAAGACTTACGCTTCCCCGAACGCCACCTTGACCAGGTTGAGAGGCAGGAAAGACGAGCCGCACCGAGGGCACAGATTAGTACGGCACCGCAAAATGTCAAAGCAGAAAATGGATGGAGACGCGCGCGCACGCGCGAGCGAAGACTCACGATTCTCCGAACGCCACCTTGACCAGGTTCAGCTGCAGGAAGACGAGGCGCTCGCGCACCGCACCGGGGTACAGCTGGTTGAAGCGCTCCACCAGAACCGACGCCACAAACTGCTCCTCGGCCTGTGGTGACGTCAATGACGGTCAGTAAACAACATCAGCCTTCTCCTGAACCGGAAAGCAGAGAGGTACCATAATAACGAGCCGTTATTCTTTGTCGTATCCCCCGGGGGGAGTGTGCGTGGGCGTTTCAGCTAGCGCGCGGGGCCAGACTATGGTGACTCGAACGGCACAGACTTGGGGAAATTCCTAATCCGTGCGCCTGAAAGTTTGTATTGCAAGCCGTCGAAGCCAAAACCTCTAAGCAATATTCAGACGAGATACGAAGCGGTGCAGATGAGCCCACAACAACATCTACAGTGTCTGCCATCGGAAATGATCCAACTTCTGATCTTGGCGTAATTTGTGTCGATCGTGGGACGATCCGCATCCGCCCACCTGCTCCTTATAGCTCGCCTCAGATTGCCGCAGTGCCGCGACTCGGGCGTCCAGCGGCGTCTTGAAGCGCTTGAGGACGCGCTTCGTGGTCGCCGCGCGCGCGCCGTCCTCCGGGTCGTCTTCCGCGCCGTCTTCCGGGCCAATCAGCGTGTAGTACGGCCAACGGAGGGCGCCGTCGGCGCTGAACGGCGCGGGCGCGATCTTGAGAGCACGCGCGCCCTGGGTCGCGAACTTGAGACGCTTGCCGAACTTGACGCGTTCGACAACGTCTTCCGCGGACATAGGCCTGGAGACATGGTTGAGACGGTTTGTTTTTAACAAAGTTCAAAACTTCTGAGTGAGTAATCCCTTCTTAAAGTGGGCTTACAACGGTGAAAAGGGGGTTAATATTGCTCGACTAGAGGGGGAATTGGGAAAGGTCAAGCGAAGCCTAGCAAGTGGGAGGCCTAGAGATTGTACGAAATAACGAGTTTCACGGTACGGCAAATCCTATGGCGTCACCCGGAGCCTTATTTCCAATTAAGCGTTTCAGTCCTGTGGTTTCGGCATCAGCTTTAGTGCAATGACTGCAACGAAGGAAACTTCATGAGAAGTACTGGCGGCAAGCCGCTTACATGATCGCGTACTCCTCCGCTTTCCGCTCGCCAATTCCGTCCCAGTCCGGTTCCGCTGTGTCCACTGCCAGAGCGGCAAAGCCCTCGCTGCTGCCGCCGCTCTCGCGCAACAGGCTAGAACTGATCGCGGTTTGCGAGTGCTGGCTGATGCGGGAAGGGATGCCTTCGATGTTCGAAAAGGTGTCCTCCTGGAAAAGAAAGTCAAAAGCCCATCAGTCTGCGTACAGATCCCGATCCTCGGCAGTGGACCCGAGAAGCTTGAAAGGTGTTCATTCTACAGAAAATGTCTGAAGCTCGCTTATTTTGAGCCGGGCCAGAAGACATCGAATTCTGGTTGTATGTAAAAATGTATGTGCGGTATCTAGGAGCAAGCATGAAGAGCCGAGCACATTTGTGCTTTGTGTGTTTGTTCTGGTCGTTCGATTCATCACTTGCAAAGACAAGTTGATATTTGAGGCTTCCCCCGAAGGTCTTGCCCAAAGCAAGGATACGCAATGTGGCGTCATTCTTGGACCGGAAGACGAGAAGCCTGTAGCACATCCGCAGGGCGTTTCGCTCACCTGTATCCAGCCCGCCGGAACGCCCGTCGCCTGCCGGAACTGCGCCAACATCTGCTTGGTGTAGTCGTTGAGGTGGTAAAAGTGGTACGTCTGCACGCGCGCGCCCGCGTGCAGCGCGCGCAGAACCGTTGCGAGCTCGCGCTTGTGCTTGTCGCCGTCGGGGTACTTGTCGTCGATGTTGGTGTGCTTTGCCCGGTCGTAAAACTCGCGGCCGTGGCACGGGGCGTCCGCGATGTGGATGACCAGACGAACTGCGGGTTTCCAATACGGGGTTAATCCAGGGTTTCAGGATTGTAGCGTCGAAGGGATTCAGAGATTCGAATTTTTGGGGCTTTTGATTTTGGGTCCGAAGTTAAGCTGGTCCACAGATTGCCGTTTGACCTGCTTTTGGTTGACTGGAATTGAATAGTTTGATGGTGAGATGGACAACAAAGACAAGGATCAGGCGGTGTTTTCAGTCCTTGATCGATCTCCTTTGCGTGTCTTCTAGAGACGCACCGGGTCGACGATTCATTTGAGAACCAAGGACGGTCCTTCAGAACGGTGCTTGTCTGCGCGAAAGCATATCTGTACATGTCGTTGCGGTGGAAGCTGAGACGAGGCGCTTAGATGTTCTTAGAAAAGCTTCGAAAGCAAGGCAGAACGACGAGAGCTGCTGCTCAGAAGAAGGATCGTCGGGGAATGTTTTGTTGCCAGACTCGTTTCTTTGTCTCGTCGGAAAGTTGCGAAGCATGATACTTCCATGATTCAGGCACAAGCGGCGCATCAGCCTGAACGTTCGAAACCAGCAACGCCCGTTGCAACTTGATTCCGCAGTGTACTGACTCACCTGCGGAACTCCACTCCAGCTTTGCCGCCGCCTCCAGTCCGGAGAAGACGTCCTCCGGAAGGTCACCTCCCCCGCTGACCTTAACCCGCGCTAACGCGGTTTCAAACGCCTTCACATCAGCTGTAAACCCAATCTTGTTGATCGTCTCCCCGTAATCGCGGTACCCAATGAAGGCGACCCGGACCTTCGCCGACGGGAAGCGCGCTTTCACCGCTGCGATCGTCGCGCTGATCTTCTCCTTTACGAGCGCCACGTGGCAGCCCATACTGCCGGTCGCGTCGACGACGAAAGCGACGTCGAGCTCCTGCGCGCTCCGTAGCGCGCTCAGGCGCGGCGCGCTGCGGCGGTCGCGCGCGCGCGCGTACTCCTGCCAGGCCTGCTGGGCCTTCTTCTTGGCGGTGGAAACGGAGTCCAGGGAGTCGCTCCTGCATCGGAAAAATCGAGCTGTCCATTGGGTGTCTGTCAGATTTATCGAGGGCCACCGAACGGTCCTAATTCTCTTAGACCTGCAGTTGCGCCAAAGGGGCTAGCTGCGAACCTCCAAGCTCTCGCAGCTTCTTTTCTGATCGCGTGAAGGTCCGCGTCGCGTCTTCTGATCAACGTGAAAGTCCCAGCCCTTTGCGTTAGTAAGCTTATCTTGGGTGCGTTGACGGACTGAAAGGCCCGGCCTGAGGTAGACGTGGCGGCCTGTGGTGGTGCAGGAGAACATATACGGCACCTCCCACAGAAAATTTTGGCTGCTAACCAGGCTGATTACCAGACCGACTCTCTGGTTATTAGACAAATAACTGGGCTTTAACCTGTTTCCGAGGCTGCTTACCGCCCAATCCTGGTTAACGGAACAATCAACCAGTTTTAAACCAGCCCATAGCCAGCCCATAACCTTCCATGGTTACAGGCCAAACTCTCCTGTGTCCGTGGTATTCTCAACAGAGTGACATGGGATGAAGCATAACGTAGAAAGTTGTCTGACTTGCTGGTTACGGCGATGAGATCGACATCATGTCATGGGTTATCACAAGAGAACTTGTCCGGTCTAAACTTCTTACAGACAAAGGTGCAAGCCAGGCGAATTTGAGAATTTTTGACCTCAATTAGCTGTCGCGGACTGGGGCAGCTTGAAGCAGGCTGTGTTGGAAACAGATTGGCACATCTTCGACGGACTGGATGGTCCAAAATGGGACGAACAGTTTCGATATTGTACGCACTTGCAGAACTCAAGTAGTTCTCCATTAAACCTCAGCAAAATCAACTATATTGGAAGGAAATGATCGAGTTGCTTACGGGAGTGGTGCCAGAGTGTCTTCCTCTTCGACGATCTTCTCCAACGTCGCTCCATCCTTCTTCCCTTCTGGGGTTGAGCCGCTCTTACGATCGGCGGCAGCAGGCTTGGCCAAGCAAGCACCCATCGTGAGGACTTTCGAGTCTCAGTTTCTTGCCTGCAAAAGAAACAGAATTTGACTTGTCCCACAACTGATGAGAAGCTACGGAAGGTTATAACATACTTGTCGAACCTCTTCAGTGCTTACTTCGACACGCGTGACTAATGAACGGGTCTAACCTAGATAATCAACAGCTCCTCATTCCGTGAGCCAAAAGGTCAATCGCCATGCAGGTAGTGCTACAAAACAAACTACTCGATTGAACAAGGGGCTTGCAAGCATACTAACACCGACAGCCTGCTTGTGCTGAAAAAATCTTTGCAGAGAAAAACCAGAGACAACCAGGTTGTCGACGTTGGTGCTGCATGACAATTAAGAGCAAGTGAACAACACCTTGTCACCAGAACCTGAATATTCCGACCCGTCAGTGTTCGTAGGGCAACCCTCAAACTTTACCACTTAGTACTGAGATGTGGTTTGGTGTGATTGTATTATTTTCTTGGTGAACAGGTGATGCAAAGCTGTAAGAGTAAAAGTCAATCAAAAGCCTTCAGACTCTGCAAGAGAGGCCTGAAAGGAAGCAGGGTGACTGCTTTTCCTTTCAAAATCTGAGAATTCCAGAACAAGCTATTCAGAGATGCCAAGTACGGATTCTATCCAACTGAACCAAGGAGTGAGACAAATATTCACAGCTTACAAATCTCAAAAATTGCATTTGTGTTACATGTTTACAGAGATTCTGGGATGGCACTCAAGAACTTTTTCCGGATTTCCACCTTGGAGCTCCCTTCGTATATAGATAGCTCAGTACATCCAAGCAAGAAGTAATTGCAGACAAAGAAACTCGTGATCCTTATATCTAAACAACCTTGCTGAAGAACCTTGCTGAACCAAGTCAAACCAAGGCCCTAGTGAATGTCGTCACCTTCTACACACCTTCTTGCAGACGAATTTTTCATCCTTTTGCACTGGTTCTGGTCATGTGTTGATACTGAGTATCCTTAACCTCGTCAGTTGTTCTTGCGCAGCAGATAGTTAGTATGGAAAGTATGGAACTAACACCTTATCTTTCATTTGTCTGACCACTTTCTTCAAAACATAATCGGACCAGAATTCTCAAGCATCAAGACAAGCTTTCGGATGTTGAGCTTACCAGTAGGTGAGCGGCGTCCAGACAAACTCAGAGAGTGAAGCCAAGGGAAGTCGAGTCCGAAGATGAAGATGCCGTCTTCTGGAGACACGCTGTAAGCGGAGTACTGGGGGAAGTTGCACTAGAACAGCCAGGTCCCCAGATCACCCTTCGGAAGTGGTTGGAGCTTGACTTGAGCTTGGCTCCGCCCTTCCTTCCTCCCCTTCACGGTTCAGGATCCAAGGATTGACCCGTATGGATTGACCAGAGAGCTAGTAGCGGCGGCCCCTGCGCCCTGCCGCACTTAGAAAGGGACAATGAGCGCGGATCGGTTGCTTTGGTCCTGGTCCACAGCGGAATGTCAGCGTCTGAACGCAGCAAGTCAAGCCTCCTTTTGAAATGGCAGACCGTAGAAGTAGGTTTTAGTACTGGTACAGTAGAGCCTAAAGGCTCCCTAGCACCAGCCAAGTAGGTACTTGGGGGTTCCCTTGATTGATCCTGTGCCAGGTACTGAACAAAGCCAGCCTTGCATCAGTAACGTTCCCCGCAGCCAACCTCTACCAACCTGCTGAACCTTTGATAGCGTTACTGAACGCAATTGGTTGGGACGCCCAGAATGGGAGATCCCCTTGTTCCGCACGTGACCTCACTGGAGTCATGTTGGCGCTCGAGTACGGTAATATTACCCAGATGACTGACTACATAAGAATCCCCAGTCGACGGTCCAAATGTCTTCGTAGAAGGCAACCTGCTGAATCCTACGGCTGTGAGTATTACCGCATGATCGACGGCCAGACACCATTGGGGCTGTATTCGTGACACTTGGCCGCAGCAGAGTGCATGAAGTCGAAATGCGAGCTCGAGCCTGAAGGTGTGCCCCTTGCTCCTTGCTCCTCGCCCCTTGCTCCTTGCTCCTACATCCTTGCTCCTTCCCTCAAACTCCTCGCATGTGCTGCAGCCTGCTGTCACACTGCATTCAGCCTCAGTTTCATGTATCAACTGTCACAGAAGCTAAGTTCGAACCTTCAATCCGACCGGCTTTGCTGTCCGCTGTAAGAGCTTGCCAATCTGAAAAGTTCAGAATGCTGTCGTAGCTTCTCCTGCGTTTCAAAGGGTGTCCTACGTCATCGATTGTTGATCTCGAAGCACTGCTGGAAGTTAAGCTTAGTGGTGACAATGGCGTCGTCCCAGGTAATCAGAGGTCTTACCCAAAGCGCAGCATTGCCCTTGAGCAGCTGCTCAGCTCAGTCAGCTGCCTCCGCGCACGTACAGCTGTCACCGCTGCCTGTACAGCTGTCAGCACTGCCCAGGGATCGAACCGTGAAACAGCATGTGAGCTCCAAAGTTTTGGCGTCTGAGTTCTCCGGTTTGCGCTTGGATTCTTCGGCGGGGTGTTCCACAAGCGGTGCGCAGCCGCCCAGATCAGAGAGAAGGAACAGAAACGGGGCAGCGCGAGCGACTGCAACGGTCGGGACTGATGCGCAGACGCTGAAGAAGGTCGATCCGAAGTTATCACAGCGGTGCATAACGGCGATCAGGACGCTTACTGTGGACTCCGTCGAAAACGCACAGGTGAGGAAGGGGAGTAATGTGGGTCAGCTGGGGTGGTCGGCTCATCAATCTATGCGGAGTGTCGCTAAAGAGGTGGAGCCATGGAAGATCTAGCTGCATGCATTGATCAAGCGGGGGACAGAGGCAGCCTGGTTCCAACTTCAGCTTGCGGTTGGCTTCTAGCGTGGTATAGATGCGGATTGTGGCGCTTATGTGGGCAACCAGGGCATGTGAGGAAACGCACTATCAGTGGGATAGATGCAAGGAGGATTCCCCATGTAAATGCTCAAGAGGATGCTGCATGCATCAGTGGTTCAGTTGCTGATATGGCACAAAGGTTGGTGAGATCAAAGTCAGAGGTCAAAGTCAGGCACCTAGATTGAATTTTTCAGTAGTGCAATTATTTCTTAATGGTGGTTAACACGGGACTCATGACAGTTGAGATCGTGAAAGCTGTCCTTTTTTTCCTTTGTGTCTGATCTAAACAAGATAAGCCTGTGTTGCTACTTTTCCATGATGTGAGGGCTTCGAGCAATAGACTGTCGGCCAGAATCAGGGTCTTGAAAGAAGTCCAAATGAAGTGATACCTACAGCCTAAGATATATCTCGCCGGCCACATGCCTCTTGGTGCAAAAGCCTAAGTGCTCTATAATAGAAGCTGACTCTTTGAGTCGAACAATCTATGCGGTCTTTTCTGAACTGATGGGCCATTCGGACATCCTCATGGGCTAAATGCCAATCACACCGAACCTGTTTGACGAAATTTTGAACTTTGACAAACTCATTGACAGCTTATGTGATTCTTACAAATCCACAGGCTGGCCACCCAGGCCTCCCTATGGGCTGTGCGCCAATCGGCTATGTGCTGTTTGACGAGGTCATGAAGTACAACCCCAAGAACCCGCAGTGGTTCAACCGCGACCGCTTTGTGCTCAGCGCGGGGCACGGCGTGCTGCTGCAGTACATCCTGCTGCACCTGGTGGGCTACGACAGTGTGCAGGTGAGAAGAAAAACAGTTATGTAGTAAAGTCGGTATAATAGGCACTAAGTATGGTAGACTTAGACAGTATGGGACGGTTGGGGTTGGCTTGGGAGCTCAAAGTATGTGCAATTGCGGAGCAGGCGGTCGAGGGTTAATGTCTTAGCATTGTACGTATCTTACCATAAGCTTACATAATCGAAACCTATGGTGAGAGGATCATTGGTAGCGGTGCCAACAACCAGTTGGCAAGATTTGAAGCCAGAATGCTTTGTTTCACAAAAGCGGCCCTGGACTGGTCAGCGGGCCATGAAGAAGTCAAGGGGGAGGGCTTGCATTGCAAACACAGTCGGTGTTCCTCGAGACTTGTTCTGAGCGCACCCTGCTCTGCAGAATTCTCTTTCATGAGTTGGACCTTGCAACGGCGGTTTTTTGACGTAAAATTAGGCCAGAGTTGGTTGCTGATTGAGTTGCTTAGACCCTTTCATCATCTTTGAGGGGATGCTCAAGGCTTGCCAGCAAATGCCTCAAGGCTCTCGTTCGTGCAGGATTCAGGTCCCAAATCACTTCCCTTTCTTTTCACCATTTTTGAAATCCAGGATGAGTAGGCCAGATAATTTCGGCCCTTTGAAGATGTGATCAACCGCTAGCTTTGAAAAATCTCTCTGAAGCGAAGCAATGTTCGAGCCACATATATGACGACCTTTGCCAGGCCAACGCCCATCATCTGACGGTGTACTGTCAGGTTACACTGAACAGTTCCGCCAATGTTGTTAGGAAGCAATCTGGAAGAAGCAAAATGGAAGAAAGCAAAGTGGACGAAGATGTTGGTGGCTCCTTGAGACTAATTACGTTGGACCCAGTTCTTTGCTCAGTCGAACCCGTTTTTCTTGTTGGCTCAGGTTGACGACTTGAAGAGCCTCTGCAAGTGGGGCTCCCGCTGCCCTGGTCACCCGGAGAATCTGCTGACCGGGGGCATCGAGCTCACCACTGGTACGTACAGCCGATATCATAGAATGGACAGGAGTACGGAGCAGGGATGTTCCCTTTTTAAGTGTTTGTTGAGGCTTTTGTTTTTTCTTGGGTGAGTGTGCTTATTCTTGTAGACTAGCCGAGTGCGGCTTGCAGAGGCACTCAACTGCTGGATCTTTTCCCTTTGCTTAGTCTGGAAGCGATAACACCTGCTTCCAGCCACACTTGTTCGGCTGTCCCGTTTATCCCCCGGTCCTCTGCCAAACTTGTGACCGCTTGAACTCGCTTGAACTTGAACACCGCTTGAGAAGATAATTGATTGTCTGTAGTTGAGCACCTACTTGAACAAGCAAATACTGACGCCACTTTCAGCGGAGTCTCAGTCATCGGCAATTGAAGCTACGTCTTCCCTGTCTGGTCTTGAGCTCATTCTCTGTCGTTTTTTCTGTCTTTAGAACCGTGTACTTAACGAGCGAATACGAACGAATAGATCACACTTCGAAAATTCGCATAGGAAACTCTTGACGAAGATTTGTATGATGATGATGAATGTTCGTGTGCAGGTCCCCTCGGCCAAGGAACCGCCAACGCCGTCGGTTTCGCCATGGCCGAGAAGCACCTCGCCGCCCGGTTCAATCGCCCGGGGCACGAGATCGTGAACCACTACACGTGAGCCTTCATTGGCCACCCTTTGCAGAAAAAGTTATGCAAATGCAGGGAACACATTGAAATGGCGTTGCTTAAAACTACCTCTCACGTCAGGTGCGCACTTTTCAGCCTGGCTGGGAGGCGGTGGTCGCATGGTGTGGGGCGTTGGTAATCGGACATCCATTCTATACTCCCAAGAGGCTTTTGACATGAGGTTGGAGAGCGTCGCAACCTCTTGAGCGCTTTCCGAACCTCAAGCAATCCAGATCTCTTTTACTTCGATCTCTTCTGCAATTGCGGGCTCGTTTTGAAGGGCAGAGGGATCAGGGGCGTCATTTCACTGCACCGTCTAGCTGCGGACCATTGCTCCGACAGAATGATGGACGGCAATAGGGAAACCCAATTTCTCACTGGCTCCTGTGGGAAGAAACGATTTGACAGTTTGAGGTAACAAGGGATGCTAACGGGCGGCTTTACTGACTTCCCCTGTTGTATTCAGGTACTGCTTGGCTGGCGACGGCTGTTTGATGGAGGGCATTAGCAACGAGGCGGGTTCGATGGCCGGTCACTTGGGGCTAGGCAAGCTCATCATGTTCTACGACAACAACAACAACAGCATCGACGGGCCCACGTCCATCACTTTCGATGAGGACGTCTGCAAAAGGTGGGACTTCGATAAAACCCGCTGTAAACTTTTCTTGATTGTGTTCTCGTTCCCCCAAACTTTCAAACTCCAAAGTCAATGTGATGTTCTACGACAACAACAATAACGGCCTCGACGGGCCCACGTGCATCACCTTTGACGAGGACGTCTGCAAAAGGTGAGCATCAGAAGTGTCGAAGTGCGTTCATCCTAAGTGTGTGGTTGCTTCCCAACCTTTCAACTCAATTACAAGTTTCGAAAGAAGCATAAGAATCATGACGGGTCGACGTCCATCACCTTTGATGAGGACGTCTGCAAAGGGTGAGGGGCCGAGGATTTTCTAGATCGATCTGGAGTGTGGTTTTAGTTGCATCCGAAAAAGCGCGCTTCATTGTTCCCATAGAACGGGACTACTGTGCCACGTCGATCGGTTGGTGACGAAAGCCGATTCGGATGTGCTTTTGATGTGTCGGTAACGTGTCCTCACGATCCAGGATGACCGCAGACCACATTGCTGGCACCACCGTCCGTCGATGTTGATGTTGACAGATCGGACGGTCCCGATTGCTTATCCTGCTGAACTTCGAAGCGGAGGTCCCGGAGGCCGCAGCTAAATCAAGCACGTTCAGACTGCTTTTGTTGACGGTGCATAGACAACTGTAACAACTTTAGGGCCATCGCAGCACGTGTGCCGGCCGCTTGATATCGTTCATTCTTGGTGTTCGAGTCCAAAGTCAAATTTGTACAAACCGCACGGTTTTGACAACTCACGCTACAAATCCGTCAGATCCGTCTTCACTTCCTGAGGAACCAAGCATCCTTGCAGGCCCCGATATGGCAATGTGCAGCCATGGGAAAACACCTGAAGCACCTTAACCCACGAGTTTCAAAATCCCTCGGAGCTCCGCTATCCGCACTTGCAGGAAAGCGGATACCAACTGCGAGGCCCTGGGGTGGCAAGTACAGGGCAAGGACAAAATCAGAAGTCCAAAAAGGGCAAACTCAAAAAACCGAAACGCAAAGGTTGCAACTCTCACTTTTGCATCTGCTGCTCTGCCATCCACTGCGCTCATTGACGATACAGATCTGTATACGCAGGTACGAGGCCCTCGGCTGGCATGTCCAGAGGGTGGGTGATCCGGACAGCCATTTGGACGATCTGCGCCAGGCGATCGTTCGCGCCAAGAGCGTCACGGACAAGCCGTCCTTCATCCAGGTGACCGCCGGACGTCCGCAATATTTCGTTCGGGGCTGCAGGACCGAAGTTTGAAGCGTCGCTTGCTGATGAACCCGTTGCAAGACGAGTTTGCCAAGGCGTTCATGCCGCCGTTGCACGGACGTCGAAGTTTGGAGGTCCTCTTTTGAAGCAAGAAGGTCTACAACAACGTGAACTACTTTACTGGAAAACTAGATGACAACGTGCATCAATCCCGATTTGCGGACACTACAAGATTGGCCCAGAAGCTTCGGAGGGTAAGTTAGAAGCGGAAAGCAGCATACGTCAGCTGCGGATCAACGAAAAAGAGAAGAGGCAAGGACCAGGTACAAAGCGGACACCCTATGTTTCGTCGGCAGAGTGACGAAATGGGGCAACAGGACAGTCAGAAAAGGGGAAAAGATGATATCGGACGGCGAGGTTTAAGGCCAACAGAAACTGGCCGATTTGTCTGCTGATTGACGATTGAACACGGGAACGACAACACCGTACGAAGGAAGCGCTAATGAAGAGTGCTTGGGTTCTTTCTTCTCAGGTGGACACGACGATCGGGTACGGATCCCCAAGCAAGCAGGGCACCGCTAAGGCGCACCACGGCACGTTCGGCCCGGAGGAGGTCGAGAAGATCCGCGAGACGCTGCACGCCGATTACAAGGAGCCCTTCACCGTCCCACAGGACGTGCTCGAGTGAGTGCCGCTTCTGACGTAGCGAGTTATGATGATGACGTGGTTTTAAGCTAGTGCAAGATGCTATTTCAAAGGAAGGAACCAACCTCTTTCTCCATCCAGTTCTCCAATCACCGTGTGCGGGTTGGCATAGCGACGTCCAGCTTGTCAGTGCACCTTTGTCGTTCGTTTAACACAATCCTCTGTTGAATGAGCTTGATTCTAGCCTTTCACTGGAGGGACGATGATCGAGAAGATCCTCATTTGACAACCAGACCGCAATGGATGGCAAGCAAGGATTCGGCGACATGCAGATGTTAGCAGCTTTTGAAGTTTTCTTCTATTCTCATTGGTGGTTGAATCCGAATGACTGGATATGCGAGTTCATTGCGTGCCGGGTGCAAGGATCCCCTTACCGGTTTTCAAAATGTGCACGAGTAGGATTGTCCTTTCTAATTGTCTGACCCCCCTTTTACGGGCCTGTTCTTCGGCTTTCCGTTTTGGCTTGCAGTTTCAATGAAGGAGAGAGTCTGGTTTTTGCGAGCAGTGCTTTAGTTTCCTTATGTCCTACAAGTCTGACTTTTTTCTCAGAGGTTTCGTAAAGGGTCGAAGAGTGGAAAGCAATCTGGCTCTTGTCGGCCGGCATTTGCGCACCACTCGCAACCGAGCCCCATATCCATTCCTTCAGTAAAGGTCGCTTCTCCTCGACTCCAAGCGCTTTCTTTATCCGGATACAGCTTGCGTGTCATCGCCATTCAATCAGGGCCAAATCTGTTTTTGAGTTACTTCCACTGATCGACACGTGGCTGCTTGTGAAAGCTTCGAGATCGGGTCAGTGTTACCCAAAGTACTGCCTCGGAAAAAGTACTGCTCCCCAGCATTTAAGCAAGGATTGGGACACACTTTGATGCTTATCGGTTCCCTTTTTGTGCAGCCACTGGCGCCAGAACGTGACACGTGGCGAGCAGGCAGAGGGCGAATGGAAGCAGGAGTGGGAGCGGTATCAGCGGGAGTACCCCGAGGAGGCCCGGGAGCTGGACAACCTCGTCAACCAGAGACTGCCGGATGACTGGGAGAGCGTCATCCCGGTGAGGAACAGGGCCTCTTGTTTCTCGTGCTTCTGTTGGTGGTTTGTTTTAGTCCTTGCAAATTACACAAGGAGATTATCTTTGCGGTTCAGGGGTCGGAAGGGGAACTGGAAGGAGCTTGTTACTAGGGGTCAGGATCACAGAGTTGAGAGGTATGAAAAGGATATAGTGACATGTTTCTTGGGTTGAAAATTACGAATTGTCGGTGTTCCATTCTCCTTGCCGCCAGCTGTTTTCCAAGGATCCAAAATACAAAAGCAAAGGCAGTCCTACCTACTCGAAGATTCCAGCAGTCGCTGGTATGTTCAAAATCACTCCCGTCCTTGAAAGCGACTCGCAGTCGAAACAGAAGTCAGCGGGGCTTTGGCAGAAACCATTCCGCTGTTTCGCTCCAGGACTTTTCCGGCGAGACCAAGGGCGACGCGACGCGCGGCTGGAGCGAGAAGGTGATCAACGCGCTGGCCGGCCGCGTGCCGGGGCTCATCGGCGGCAGCGCCGACCTGGCGACGTCGAACAAGCTGTACCTCAAGGCGTGGGGCGACTTTGAGAAAGACGCGCCCGCCGAAAGAAACATCCGATACGGTGAGCGAATTTTGTCTGGACTTTGATCTGGGTTTTAAATTTGGTCTGGGCTTTAATCTGGGCTTTACATTTGGGGTTCGGAAATACGAAGCGAAAGGGTACCCTCGTTTCTTGGAGCAGGTGTGCGCGAGCATGCGCTGGCCGCCATCTTCGACGGCCTCACGTAGCTGGTTCGCAACTAGGAATGCAAGGCAGAGAAGCGCAGAGGAAACCTCTCGTACAAAGCTTCTTGAACTTCGGAATACGGGCGCAGGTGTGCGCGAGCACGCGTTGACGGCGCGCTCTCAATGACCTTGCGCTGCACCGCAGGAATCCATGCAGATCGGAAAGAGGAAGTGGCATAGAAAGTGGAAAACAATGACGAAGAATGTTTAAAACTCGAAGATTAAAACTCTGGAAACCCTGGCGCAGGTGTGCGTGAGCATGATGGCCGCCAGTTCAACGGCCTCGCGCTGCACCACAGCGGAGCCTGCAAAACTATAAAGGGAAAATGCTTAGAAATTTCAGAAGAAAAAAAAAGAGAGAACGAAAAAGGACAGGATGAAAACTAGAGAAACCAGATCTGTAAGAATCTCTCGCGCAGGTGTGCGCGAGCACGCAATGGCCGCCATCTCCAACGGCCTCGCGCTCCACCTGCGCGCGCTCTTTTCTTAAGCTCCAAATTCCCCTAAACCTGCGAATAATGTGACGTCAGTCAAATATACGTAACCCTCAAAAATCGTTATGCCTGGCGCAGGGATGCGCGAGCACGCGATGGCCCTAATTTCCGCCGGCCTGTGCGCGCTCATTTTTACACATTAACCTCACCCTAAACCTTCAAAATCCTCCTGCGAAACCTTTTGAAGTTAGTCAGTAATGCGAAAGTGTGCAGCGGAGCCTGCAAACATTTAGGGAAAAGTGCATAGAGAACGCAGAAAAACAAGAGATTAAATATTGGAAGATTGGAATTGAAGCAAGGGAAACTTGAAATTCTCTGTCGCAGGTGTGCGCGAGCACGCAATGGCTGCGATCTCCAACGGCCTCGCGCTGCACCGCAGCGGGCTTATCCCCTTCGCCGGCACGTTCTTCGTCTTCACGGACTACATGCGCGGGGCGGTGAGAATAAGCGCGCTGAGCGACGCTGGCGTCATTTATGTCGTCACCCATGATTCCATCGGCCTCGGAGAAGACGGCCCGACCCACCAACCGGTGGAACACCTGGCGAGTCTGAGGGCTATGCCCAACATGACGGTGGTGCGACCGGGGGATGCCATTGAGGTGGCCGGGGCATACAAGGTGGGTTTACGTAACGAGCATTTCGCTTGTTCTGGTTGCTTGATGGTCGTGGTGATATATGAGGGCACGAGAAGAGGTTGTGACGCCTTGAATTGTCCCTTAACTAACATACTCCCTCAGCGTTCTCAGAACGTGGATCTCGAATATGATTGTTAGACGTTGAGAAGGACTTCATCGGCTTCAATGTTTCGTCGGCGGGTTGATACCAGGTCTGAAGACCCAAACGAGTTGAAAAAACATCGATAGACTTTTGTTTTTGCTCGTCTTTTGCTCGTCGAGCGTGTCTTTGCGTTTGTCAGACGGTAATCCTCGCTTTTCGTCCAGCGGGTTGCTTTATTTATCTTGTTGTGCCCCTCAATTAATACTCCTCTGGTTGAATGTCAGAGCAGGTGATTTGAGAATATTTAGCAAACAATCTGGGCACAAAAGCCATGAATGCTTTTCAGTCCAAGCACTCGCCGCACGCCTCGTAACGATGCAGAGCATCTGCGTTTAAGTCTCTTTGTTTGTGGAGATTCGAAAAGGCTCAAGTCGAAAGAAGCTTGGAGGCAGAAAGAATAGGTGTCATCAAGTGATCCAGTATGCAGCCTTCATAAATTGTGTGAACCAATCTTTGCCGCCCAATTGTCAAGCTGGTCTTCTGAAGGCATTTGGTCCGCAAGGTGCCGATTCAACGCGTTTCCTCCGCAAATTGAATCTTTGTTTAGTTGTCTTACTCGCTTTATTGAGCGAGCGGTCTAGAGATTTCGTCCTTTATGCTTACGCATCCGTGACGTCATTCCTGCAGGTGGCCATCAAGAACCGCAGCGGCCCCACCATGATCGTCCTCTCGCGCCAGAAGCTGTCGAGCGCTGTCGTCAGCGGCACGTCAGCGGACAACGTGGAGAAGGGCGGGTATGTCGTCAGCGACAACTCGGAGCCGGGCAAGGTCCCCGACCTGATCCTTCTGGCGACCGGCGCAGAGCTGGAGCTGAGTGAGAAGGCCGCCACGAAAATGCGCGAGGAGGCCGGCTTTAAGGTGCGTGGCTGTTGAATTTATCCTTGTTATGCTTCTTGATTTGACTGGTTGAGGCGGGTGTCAATGTTTATTCACAATGGGGAGTTGGGGGCAGTATGAGGAGCTTGGAGTTAGAGGTGCGAGATTGTGAGCTTTCTTTAGTTTAAGGCTCTGTTTGAGTCTTTGCTTAGGAAGTTTTGTGGACTGACAATGTAGCTGCTTACTTCTTCTTACACACGAGGGGCAGATTTTGAGGAGCGCACGCATGTAGGAGTCTCTGTGCGATGTTCCATCCGCTATTCCTTTTTATTGTTCATTAAATGTAGCTTGTGACAGTTCTCGTGCGGTTCAGCGAAGGACAGAATTCACAGGTTCTTGACGATATGCTCTTCAGTAGCCGAGGCACTTGACCTGTCACGAAGAGAAGGTCGGTAGTGGAGGTATCGACAGATACAAACTGATACAGAAAAGCCACAGAAAAGATAATCTCGTGGTCCTTCGAATCTCAAACTTCAAGTCCGTGGTTTTGTTGGAACGACAAAAGAAATAGTCATTCTGGAAGCGCTTATTTGCTTTGAAAGCGTTGATTTGTTCATTTTTTAAAGATTCACGAATCAAAAGCGCACAGATCTCTGACAACGAGGTTGCAGCTTCAAACGTGAAACTTCGTTGTTTGTCAATTCCGCTACAAAAACATAGGGAAGTTCGAGTCACATCTGATCTGTATCGAGAAACAAAGGGCAATAAATACTACGGTGGGCTTTACTTTTGTTGGTTTCACGACCGTTGTTTACACCGGCCCTATGTTTTGCAGGTCCGTTTGGTTTCCATGGTGTGCTGGGAGCTGTTCGAAGCTCAGCCCGAGTCCTACCGGAACGACGTTCTTCCTCTCGAGTGCCAAGCCCGGGTCTCAGTCGAGGCCGGGAGCAAACTAGGATGGCGGGAGTGGGTCGGCCCCCGGGGCAAGATTATCGCAGTCGACAGATTTGGCGCAAGCGCAGACTATGATACGCTGTTTGCCAAGTTCGGGTTCTCGGTGGATAACATTGTCAGCGTGTCGAAGCAGGCGATCGCAGAGGCAGTGCCGGTCTAAAGAGCGAAGATTTCGTTCCTTTTCCGGCGGTTCAGAGGTTCAAAGGGGCTTGAACGTGGTGGGAAATTGGCGGGTTGGAAAGGGATCTCTCCTATGAAGTGGTACTGTTGTTCTGAATGGAAAGCCAACGTTGGGTACAGATCAGGATTGATCCTTTGGCACCATTGTGGCATTGGACGAAGCGTCAGCAGTCAGGTAGAGCGAGGCTGACAGGCGGAAAATAGGGAGTGTACAAGTTCTCGTTTCCTTGATGAATGTTCGAGTCAGTGAACGCGGTCCAAATGTGATGCTAGTTTTGCAGTTTTGTAACAGTACTAAATTTGAATCATACCATCGAAGTTTTGTGAGAAATAGTGCACGCATCAAAAAGTTGATTGCAAATTTTTGGAGATATAAACAGAACCAATAAGATCTGAAAACACTTTTGTCCTCAACATGTCCCTAATAGGCATTGCCAGTTGTACGTTGTGCGATTCAGTCATCTTCGATCGTCAATTGCTGGCCCATTCTTGACGACATACAATGATGTACATTGTTGTCGCGATATCAGGATCATGATGGACGTACGGTAGACTCCCGTACTGCATTAATTTTGACATCGTTTCTCTTTCAAGCAATCATGCATGACAGTTATCTTTTAGAAAGCTCAGCGCACTTCGTTTGTAATATCCTTGAACTGAACTTACGTATTTCAAGTCTGGCAGACTGCAGCGGGCAGGCTTCCGGAAACGAAGGTGTTCTGGACGCATCTGGGGCTTTTCAACAATGGTTTGATCATAGAAGTACGGTTCCATTGAAATGCCGGCCGATCGATATCGGAGCCTCAGGTGTTGCTCCTTCGGGCGGCTGCGTTCGGGGCGCAGTGATCCAGAAACTAGTTCAACATGCACACATGATCAGGTTGTGTCGGGAAGACCTGTACTGATACCTTCAAGCCTTGGACAGGCGCTTGGCGCTTTAGCCAGATTCGGTCGGGAGGCGGAGAGAGGCGTGCAGGAGAGGCTGACTGCAGCCATCGAGCTGGGAGCGGTGCAGGGGCTCCGAGACCAGACGGGGGACCCCGCTCAGCGAGCGCGGCTGGTGAGCGAGACCGGGCCGGGGGCGGCAGCCTGGCTGTCGACGGCCCCGCTGTTTCAGGCACTGACGATTGAGGATGAGTGCTTCCGGACGGCTTTGCGGAGTTGGCTTGGTTTGCGGCACCCGATGGTAGCGGGCATTGCGTTGTGCGAGTGCGGGCAGTCCCTTCAGGGTCCTTTGGGGGGACAGCACCTGTTGCGTTGCGCTCGCGGGAGCGAGCGCAACGACACGCACGACAGCCTCAGGGACACGGTAGCCGGCATCATGCGGGAGTCTGGGTATAGTGTGCGCATGGAGCAGTACGGGGTGATGCCCATTCGTGAGGGAGACGCCGAGGGCCGGCGGATGGATTTAGTCGGAGCAGACCCCCGGGGTGGTTCCCGGATTCTAGCCGACGTGACGGTCGCGGACCCTTTGAGAGACGGGATGCTTCCGGAGGCCGCGGTTGAGCGCGGGCGGGCAGCACGGGATGCGGCGCAAGCGAAGACGGTGAAGTACGGCGATCACCCCGCTGACGACACCTTCATCCCCCTTGCGGTCGAGACATACGGGTGTTTGGACTCCTCCTTCGATGAGTTCCTAGGCACTTGTGCTAGACGTGCAGCAGAGCTTAGGATGGGTGGCCTAGATTCGGCACCCATGGCATCTAGGTTACTCTGCTACTTCCGTCAGCGAGTTTCGGTTAGCCTCCAGCGTAGCCAGGCCCGGGCAGTTCACCATAGAGCGGCCCGCGCGATTGAGAGGTCGGTAGGTCTCAGAGCTCAGGTAGTCCAGGACGCCCGAGTTCGCAGTGCAGACTTGCATACTCTTTCTAGGGTAGGAGGATCCTAGAGACCGAGATCGAGGCTCGACTTGTATATTTTCGGACTGTTGGCTTTGCCGACCCATTTATACCGGGCTCGTGTGTGTGAGCCACTGCCCAACCCATCCGCCTGCATGATACTGTGATCTAGGATTTGTGTCCTATACCTAGTCTGCTGGGTAGAAATATCATGCAACTTTACACACGTGTGACAAGGACTTTCAGATCTCATGGCGCTGACATCAGCAGGGGAGTTGCGAACTGCCGCGGTTTGAACAGTTGACCTCTGACAGTTGCCACTCAGATTCTGCCACGTAAACCCCCTGATGTCCCCTCCAAGGCTCCAACTATGTCCGCGCGCTGACACGCATGCTACATCCACATCGGACGGTCCAGATGACGCGTCACGAACTGCAGTCTTGCAAGATGCAGGTTGGATGCGGAATGTATTCACATGTCCAGTCATGTTCAAGCACACTCAGCCTTGCTTGACATGAAAGCCCTCCGATCAGAAGATCGGACGGCTCAGATGCGGTCAGCGTGTACTTCGGCGCTTTCGAGAAGCAGGGCTAGAGAAACAGTCAGAGGGTGTGAACGAGCACTAGACCAACTTGGATCATGGCGGTCATCATTTCCCAATCCAATGCAGCCACAGCTTTGCTTGGGAGAGAAGTTTCTTCTCCTGAAGGAGAGGGTTCAACTCGCGCCTTTGGAAGGGGTGGAAGAAGGACTGCCTTCACCTTCTGATCTCCTCACCTTTTGATCAGGCATGGCGGTTGGAGGGTGCAAGTCTGTATCCTGAACAGACAGATGTTGGGATAGAAGGAGATGGTGGACAGAGGGTTCTGAACCCCGTCAGAATGATGGGCCCTCTCTCAGAAACTGACGCTAAAAACCAAGGCCGTCAGAGTCAAGGGACCAGGCAAGTCAAGGTTTCACACAGCGTCTTTGTTGAACCGGCGTCCATTGCAGACCCTTCTCTGCGTGAGAATGATGGAGGGGAGGGGTTCAAGGCAGGATCTCGTGAGCATCAGGACAGACCTGCGTTCAACAACGTGACCAATGTTGTCCAAGGCTCCGCGCATTCGGGGGGCAGTTTGAGAGGGGTTGAACGCACTGTGGCGTCTGGACCTCAGTCAAGAACACATGCCAAAGGTGGGGTTGGTCCGGGGTTGGAAGGGACGAAAACCCCCAGTCTGTTGTCACTTGGATCATCAGATGGGGGGATCGGAGAGGGTGGGTTTGTGCCAGGAAGCCCCGTCTCATCCAGTGAGGCAGTCTGGGGAGGGCTGGAGAGGACATTGTACAGTGAAGGTCAGCGCGCAGTTTTTGGGGGGTTCCAGGCAGCTGTCTCGGACAAACCCTCGGAGCTCGTCAGCAGTGCACCTTTTGGGGAGGTTGCACCGGCAGACAGGGCAAGGATTGCCCGCACCGTGAGCGGGTTTCACTGCGAGACGCCCGCGATCAAACAGACGGTGGGGGCAGAGAGGGAGCTTTTGAGGACCATGCGCAGCATCCAGCTGAGCGGGTTTCTGGTGGATGATGTAGAGGAGGCGGGGTTTCTCGATGCTCGCAGGCCGGAGGCGGGGTTGGACGCCTCTCAAACTCTGTCGGATACTTTCCAATCGCCGTCAGATGGTGTATGGACACCGTCAGACAGCTCTGAGTGCTCATTAGGGCCATTGGATAGCATCGAAATGCCGCTGCAGGCTGGGGGCCTACTGCGGAGTACGACCTCAGTGTTTGAAGAGCTGCGCCGCAATAATTCGAAGCAGGATGCTCCTCTCCACAATTTAGGAAGCTCGCGACTGACAGAGCCGTTCCCATTCAGCACACCGTCATATACTGCCACCACTGATCATGGGGCCGTGCTGTCGCCCCCCCCCAAACTGTGCTTAGACCGCATCAGAAGCCTGCCAAAGGTCACTGTACTCCCCATCACCGCCAATTTTGACACCGCTGCTAGTTACAGCCCCCACCCTCCGCTCCTGCGCCGACAGCTGTCCGAGATCCCCGAGGACCCTGCCAGCTGTCCAAACAGTCCAAAAACCCATCTCCATCCGGGCTTACAGCAGCAAACCTCCCCCCTGCGCCGTAGGCACTCCCTGTCCGACACCCCCCGGCCATCAAACCTACTCAGGAGGTCGTTTAGCGAGGCGCCGACGTTTGCAAGAGAGCTGCTGAGGGCGACCAGTTTGTCAGCGTGTCAGGAGCCGCATGAGGGGCCGTGCTTCTCGTCACAAATGATCGACGCGCTTGTGCTGTCAAGGGCGGTGTATGAGACCAAGCTGGCGGTGAGTTGCGCCGCTTGCTCTCCTCCGTGTTCATATCCTGTCTCACTTGCTTCTCTTCTTGATATAAGGAATTTAACGCAAACCCTTCACTCGATCGTGTTGATAAAGCCGCCAAAGAGGTTGTGCCTTATTTTGGCAGTAGTCGAGGCATATTATGCAGTGGTTATTTATGAGGACGGACATCATTCAATGCTGATCAAGCCCAGTTTAACAGATTGTGATCAGAGAAGGTCATAAATAGTCTTATACATCTACACATTTCTTGACGTTTGTTCACCATATGCGGTGCTAATAGCTGGATCATTTACGAGACTATCATTCGTGGGTTTCCAATTGGAGTTGTTTGTTTCGCTTCTGGCTAGGGGCAGTGTGATCCTGTGGATGCTTCAATGTCCCCTCAGGTCTTTGGGTTGTCGCCAAGTGTGTGGAGCTTTTCAAGCGTTGATTCCGGCAGGGAGTCTGAGGTGCATGCATCAAGCACGTAGTTGCATGAAAGCGCCAGCTTGTTGGCCAAGGGTTTCCTCTTTCGTCTTCCTGCTTCTAAGTGAGCCTAGCTACAGCTTTGGTGTCTAATATGATTGGGAGTTCAGAAGGTTTTTGGTGATTTGTCTTGTTTCTGTCCTCTCTGTCTTTCTCAAGACCTCAGGGTTTAGTGGACAGTTCCTTCTGGTCTAGATCAGGCAGGCATGTGGCTAGAAGTGGACACAAGAATGGCTCTGTATTCCTTTTTCGAATCTTCGCACACCACCCTGGTCCAGCTGATGCAAGATCTCCCACTCAAGCGCGCATGCAAACCTTGCGTGACCGATGCTTTGGATTTGTGTTGCTCTGCAAGCTCGTTTCAAAGAGCAGGAATGGACAGTCCATGATGCTGGATGTTTCATGTAGTGCAGAGTGTGCTTTTATTACTCTGTCTGACGTTCCAATTTGCCAGCTCTATGCACGGGCATATGAAGTTCCAATTTGCCAGCTCTATGCACGGGCATATGAATCCAGAGATGCTAACAAGGACAGAAGCATGCTATCAAATGTGATTGGCAGGCTCTGTTCTTTCTCTTGCTGAGACAGAACGGGGTCATTTATCATGCTTCGTCATGCTTTCTTACATGGAGCTGACCCGTGTCATGTTTAGCCGCACTGAGCTCAACCAGGTGCTGATCTGACATTATTCTCCCTCATACTAATCCATATTTTCATGTAGGATTTTTGAGCAATCTTCTGACCCTTTCCAAGAACCCTTTTCCAACAGGACATGTTGTTCTACATGGAGCTGAGCCGCGCGGAGCTTCCGTGCGGTTCTGTTGAGGTGGTGAAGCACGGGAACATGGAGAAAGTGCGCGACGGGAAGAAGGTGCGCCGGAGGCTGTCGGCGCAACCGTACGTGATTGTGAAGAGCAGTCACGGGCACTACTTGGTGGCCTGCCGGGGGACGGACTGCTTCCAGGATATGATCCAGGTGGGTTTAAAAAGGGGTTTAAGGACTGGTTTGAGAGCGGGTTTTCCTGATGGGTGTGAAAACGGGTTTGGGCAAGCAGGTGAGTGAAAAAAGGTTGAGCAAGTGTTTCGGCATGCAGGTGGGTTTGAGGAAGGGTTTGAGTAGTCCTTGTGGGATGGCTGCGAAGTGGAAGCGTTTGAGAGCAACTGACGGCATTCAAGCAGTGAACAGTGCTACTCCTTCTATTCTTCAGAGATTGGTGTTTTCTTGAGAATGGATGTGGTTGCATTCCTTAAAACTTGACCCGGTACCAATCTGGATATGGCACGCGGCTCGGAGATATTGCCTTCTAAGCACTATCTGCCAGTCAGAGTTTCTTCAGATGCCCATGGCATGTGTTTCAAGTCACTCACTAGGTGCCGTTGGAGCTGGTTTGTCTTAGGTGCCGACGAGTTCACACATATTACCTGCCTCCTTCATCTGTTTGCAAGATCCTCGTTTGATCTGATTGTCAAGCCATTCCAGCCCAGTATATTCGTCAAGACAGATTATCCCAATCCCTTGACCAGAATTTGCAACTCGCCAACGAGCCCTTTCTGGAATGGCGCCAGACACTCGGGCTTCGTGCGAGGCACGCATTCCCTCCTTCTTCTTTGTGGCTGTCTGAGTGCTCCGATCCTTTTCCTGTCATCTTAAATTCAGCAGGCATAACGAACATCATTCGAGTTTCTTGACGCAAGTTCGCAGGACCTGCAACTCGTCCACAAGCGCTTCCTGGGTCTCGGCGCCGCACCCTGGCTGCGCACACATTCTACTGGTACCTTCTCTGTCTCTCTGTTGCCCGTTCTCCCTCCTCGATGAATGAGTTTCAGAAGTACTGACTCAGATCCCAATTTAATGCTCGCAGGATTCGCAACTCGTCCACAAGCGCTTTCTCGGTCTCGGCTTCTCGCACTGGGGCTTTGTGCAGCTCACACATTTCAATCTTCACTTTCTCTCCTGTCGACCGTTCTCTCCTCATGTCATAGACTGACTTCAGGAGTGCTAACCCAAATCCCAACCCAATCTTTGCAGGACTTGCAACTCGTCCACAAGCGCTTTCTCGGACTCGGCGCCGCGCACTGGGGCTTCGTGCAGCGCGCGCACTCGATCGACATTCAGCCGATGCTCGATCTGCTGGCGGCGGGGGAGCACATCGTTCTGACGGGCCACTCGATGGGGGGGGCGGTCGCGGCGCTTCTTACGCTGCGCGTGATGGAGGCGACGCACGGGGAGGTCCGCTCGCAGCTGCAGTGCATCACGTTCGGGTGCCCGCTGTTCGCCAACGGTGAGCTTTGAATCGAAGTTTGTCCGTCACGTTGCATGTGTTCCGGGGTCCCCTCCTGATTTGGGGGCAAAATCCAGATGGTCTGAAGAATCCCTCTCAGTTGGCGGGTTGGCAGCGCGCTTTGCAGTAGGAGTACTGCTTGTGTGGACGAGAGATTGATCTTCACAAGCAAACATCACGCTCGAGTTTGTCAGCACTCTGTAATATCCTTGCTGTTAAAGGGTTTTTACATCTGCTCTTGATTGTAATGCGGGTGCGATGCAATGCCAGGCACGTTGCTTGCCAGGTATTAAGTTGTTCCATGCGTCACTGTTGTCAACATTCTGATGGTGTCAATTTCTTGTGCAGGCGACCTGGCCGACCACATTAACACCGAGTACAAGGAGCTGTTTGTGCACATCCTATCCAAGCACGACGCTGTCCCGCGCATGGTTCCGCTTGTCGCTGGCCTCTTCAACCTCGCCATGGGCTCGACACGTGGCGACCACCCGTTGGACGCGCTCGCGGCCGTCGATCTCGCCGCGCGCTTCCTCCGTCCCTCTCCCCTCGGGCCCCTCGTCCTTGGCGCAAAAGCTTTGCTCAGCGGCGCGGGGGGTTTGATTCCGCCCCGTCTCAGGGGGGTGCTGAAGGGGCTCATCCGGGTGGCGTTTCCCCCCTTCTCCGCAATTTACGCGGCGGCCGGGCATATGGTGGTTTTGGACAGGGACTCCAAGGCGTTTCTCCCCTTCTACAGCGAGCTCAAGTCGATCAAGTGTCAGCTCGGATTTGCGCTTGGGATGACCAACCCGGGTTTGTTGCGGGAGCACGAGATCAGTTACTACGTAACCCACGTGGGTCAATCCACGCAGCCGTGGCTTGAGAAGTTTGGGTGCGTCTCAGCGGGGGTGGGAACACGCCCCTCGGCGGGGGTGGGAATACGCCCCTTGAACCGGGTGGGGTCGATCGAGGCGTCGGTGGGCATCGGGAGTGCGGGCGCGCACTCCCCCGGGATGGGTTTCGGAATGGGGTTAAGAACCGGGTCACGGATTCCCGGGTGTGAGTTGGGTCTCGACTTGGACTGCCGGGTTCAGATGCAACGGCCGAAGCTCAAGCCGAGCAACAGCAGCCTGTGTCTCGAACGGTTGTTTGATACCGAGGAGGAGCTGGACGGAATGGTGCATGCGATGTCAGACTTTGACGCCCTCCCGGTCATGACTCCGAGCCCCCGGGTTAAGGTCGTAACCCCAGCGACCCGCCGGAAAATGCGCCTTCGTGCCACGTGTACGGTCAGCTTCAAGTGCCGGGGGCTGGTCGGGTTGCCGTCGGAAGATGTGAGCGCGAAACCGCGGAAGAAGCGGGGCATCATGCGGTGCTTCGGGTTCCTGCGGCACGTGGGGCGGATCACGCGCGTGGCAAAGTCGGTGGAGGACGTGTGTCTCGCATACACGTCGGTTCGGCTGATCACCTTGGTCGTCACGCATTTCATGTGAGGGGGTTGAGCGACAACTGCCCGTTTGTATATGATTAGCGGGGGGCTCTGGCGACACCCCATTTGATTCGTAGGTTGCTGGTGCGCATTGGCGCAGCGATTGCTAGCCATTGTAGAATACTCTCATTGGAGGGCCTTATTGCCCGCTTGATGTATGGTAGCTTTAGACACGGGGACCTGTAGGTTGTGTTGACGCGGGAGGGTTGCAGCTGCGGGTTGCCCCGGCACGGCTTTGTTCCATGTAAGAAGAGAGACTGCTTTGTGTGTACATGTAGTCACCCCCGGAAGGAAATATAGCATTGACGCCCTCCAGAATTGTGCACCTGTGAAACGAACCGTACATTAGACTGAGCCTTGAAGTAAAGCTAGTGCCAGTAGTCCCGGAAGGTACGGAGTGAAAACGTAGCCAAATTTGACTCATCGTGGCATTGAAGTGAATGAATCTAGTGACCGCTCTTTTGATGGGCACATTTTTAAATCTTGTCCTGGCAGCTTCTTCTTACTTGCGAATGTACCTTGATTTGCAAGTGATAGAAAAGCGGTATAGCTTCATTCTGGCTAGGCAGCCGACTGTCCCATGTCGCAGGTCACTTGCAAATCATGAGCCAAAGATAATGCTTCGTCATGTTAACCAGGCTCTTGGTTGACCTGGACTCTGAGCCGCCTGCACTCAGAGTCGGCTGTCTTGACAGGAAAACAAGATCGATCCGCCATATATGTGCACTGGGCTATTTGGCATGATTATATGTATATCCGGACGGGCATAGCCCATGGCACATGTACATATAGCCGGACGATTCTTCCTTTTTGGCTGATATAGCTAGCTAGTTATCATGTTGCATGCGGTTCTAAGCATCATTATAATCGTTAATCAATGAATTGGCCGCATCAACTTGAGGATGGCGCAGGCCGTTTGAATATACCGTACCTAGCTTTGGCACATGAGTGATATCTTCTTGAGTCAGTGTTCAAATAGTAGTTAGGCGATTTGCGAGGCCGGCCCATGTATGAGGACTCAAATCAAAATCCCGGGGGATTTATTGCACCCTATCATGGGAGAAGCATTGCGAGCTAGTGGGCCACATGGCCGGTGGCATGGGCGATATGAATACCAAGTCCGTCCAAGTTCAACTCTCAATCATTTTGAATCATGGCGGCCATAACGACGATTTAAAAAGGCCATGCATATGATTGCAACTAGGCGGCTTATAGGACAACCCATTTGGTGACGTGCCTTTTGCACACAGTGGGCCTCCTTTACCGTACGAGCTAAAACGTACACATTGACGGCATGATCAGCATTTGTACGTATTGCAATTTGCGGATCGGAAGCATTCGACTTTTCACGTGCCAGGATTCCAATTTTAAGCAGAGTATTGACCAAGATGAAGAAGCAATCATGGGCTCTGCTATAGCAGATTCGGTCAGCAAAAGCATACCTTCGGTTTCTAGGTTCAAAATCGTCTATTTTGACTCACTCGACATCGCACCACATGCAGCTAGGCAAGAGATCCCAAGCGCTTTGCTGCTGACCCTCCAAACGAGATGACTACCAAGTCCGAACGTGGGGTTCCTTGACATTGAAAACCAACCATCTCGCACGAGCCTAAGCATGAGCAACGCACCTAGATGCTGGCTTGCCTCTCCCTGTCCACAACCCCAGGTTTTTCATGCAGCTATGCATACCTTCCACTACAGTAAGATAAACGTGCCGCGCCTAGATGTGAGTACCGTCTGCAATTTTGCTCTCCCTGAGGATGACCACAATGCCGCTGCGGATCATGTAGCCGTCCTTCGAGTGGTCGGACTCCATGACGCCCTGCGCATGTGGGGCTGACGTCATCAAAATCCAGTTCTAGCTGGCCAAAATTTTACCTCTCGTGGAGATGACAGTATAACATGGACATAACGAAAGCGAACTCTTCGAGCCACCCAGGCTTGGCCGACCTTTGCATTGGCCTCTCAAAATTGTAAGGGAGTTCCTGTGGCTTTCAACGTGAATGTAAGAAACGACTGGCTCACGACATAGTGTGGAAACAGGACCTGTCCCCAAAACATCCCCAGCACTTCGCACTTAGCCAACAAGTATCAAACCAGTGACGATACGCAAGGCCCATGTCGGACGTTTTAAGAAAGCCGCCGCACAACCGTGCACAGCTTCTCAGCATATGCGCTCGGAACACTCAAGGCAACAAACTTCGGACTTGCTTAAGAACTCCCTGTGAATGTGTGACTCTCATGCCGTCTTATACGACTTTCAGGAAGCCAAAGCCTGGAGCGTTTCCCGTGATCACAGGCCCTGGCCCTGATAGATGAAAGCTCGGGAAGCTGAGAACGGGAAAATGGCAAGCAGCCGTGTGACGTGGCTTGTGCACTCACATCCTTGTTTGTGATGACGCAGTTCTTGCCGATCCTAGCGTTCTTGTCGATGATGGCGTTCCGGATCACCGTGTTCTCGCCGATTCCAATGGGGACCCCGCCGTTGGCCAGAATGCCGGCCCGCTCAGCGTCAGTCTCATACTCATCAGCGCCAATGTACAGCACGTCCTGCACCCATAAGCAAGCCGTGAAGGATGATCAGAGGACCAAACGCTATGCAGCGATTCATTGCACGGCGGATCCTTCCAGTGCAGACTCATGTGGCTTGTGTCTCGTTTTGCGCCGCCCAAGCCCCGCCCGTGTCCTTGTGTTGGGAGCACTGCTCGATTGACATTGCGGTAGGGAACTGCACTTACCCAAAACAACGGAACGCGATTTGAGTGCCCTTCCTGACATTACACCCCGACAATCTACAGGAACTTCAAAGCCGGATTCAACAACCGGAACCCCTCCAACCTCCAGAATGAAGTCCTTGCAAATCTATCCAAAGTTTGAAAGAATTTTGGACCAGTAAGCTCCATGGTGCGTCACCTTGAGGTCCGCCCCCTTCTCAAGGCGCGCCCGAATGCCCACGATGCTGTGCTCGACCTTGCACTCCCGGAGGAAGCAGCCGTGCGAAATGATGGACGTTGTGATCGAGCACTTCTCCATGGAGGTGGGGGGGAGGAAGCGGGGGGACGTGTAGATGGGCTTCTGGGCGTCGTAGAACTTGAACTGGGGCGGCTGCACAGAAGTGGGGAGCGTTTAGACATCTGACAAAGACAACTAGGTGAATTTGTAATGGCTTCGGATAGCAGGTCTATTGGCGTCTTGGTAATCAAACTTTGGGGCTATACGATGGTTCAAGATGCCCGCATGAAGAGTTGTAGAGCTTCGAAAAGCAGGCTTTCGGACGTTGTGGCGATTGATCCTGGAGCCTCGATGAACAGAGATAATATTGGGTTAGTGACGCCGCGGACAGACTCGCAACAAGTGAATGGAACTCTGTGTGGACGGCTTCTGAACGTCATGGTAAGCAACTTGGGGGTTTACACAGGCAGGGCAAGTAAGGAGGGTTCAGGAGGCTCAAGCTTACAACAGATTCTATGCAGTGCTTTGCCAGCACAAGAGAGTGCTCAAGGTTCGAGGCTTGTCCTTTCTGGACAATCCTTCAACACAGGTTATCAACTTGACTTTGTTAAGGCTGCCATTTAGTTGCACCGAGCTGCTTACTCACAAGACAAGCAATACAAACAGCGTTCACCTTGTTCTGTGAGATCAGCAAGCGGGACGACTGGATTTCGGAATACTGATTTGTCTCAGAAAGTAGATGAAAATCTAAGCTCATGCCAAGACGGTTCCCACGACAGCAACTCTGTAGGTTATCAGATAAAACACACTTGCAAAGGGCTGGGCCCTTACTCGATCGCTAACATGATCAGCAGCAAAACGACGAGCAGATTTCGAAGACTTCAAAAAGACTGCCCGATCCAACGGGCATCATGGCATAGCATCAATTATAAGCGAAATGCACTTACCGAGTCTGTGAGGGCCAGATTCGCATCAAAGAATGACTTAATGGTACCGATGTCTTCCCAGTAGTCCTTGAAGAGGTACGCCTGCAAAAGAAGGAGCCAGAGTCAGCCTGAACTCAGCCCCTAACTTTAGCCCTCGGAATCGGAATCAGATTCAGGGCTGAAAAACCTTCGAACAGGCGCCATGAGTTTCCCTATCACGAGTTCGCAGCCGCGGCGCGTAACTGCGCATGTAATTTAGCCCCCTTTTCCTTCCTCTCGCTCCTGATTTCTGCTTGGACAATCACGATTCCCGAAAACCATGAGAAAGGCACGCAAAAAGTACGAAAAGACGCATAATATGAGCAGCCAAAGCGGTAGCGAGGAGCAATTCAAAAGGCGCACTCACTTGAACGTTGTGCTCCTCCGTGGACTGAGGGATGATCTCTCCGCCAAAGTCGTTGGAGTTCGGGAACCTCCATCTGCAACACAAAGGAAGCGTGTCAGGAAACCAATCATTCGAAGGCAGGCCCCTCGTAAACTAGTGCAAAAAGGATACAACGTCTACTTTTTTCGTTCTGTCAATTCCAAATGTCCCAGACCCTTAAAAGTCGCAACTGCCCGGATTCATCGTCCAAATCGCGAAGGAGAAATTGTCAGTCCTTGGGCAGGAAAGTCGAGCATCCTGTCAAGCTACTGCCGAGGTTGAAGTTCCGGCGTTCTGACCAGCAGAGTCTCCTTCCACGAGGCTTAGAACTTTTCAAGGTCAGATCCACCTTTGACGAGATCCTCTTGATGTAGATTCTTTACTGCTTTAGAACCATAAAGACAGAGTAGCGGTAATGGACCCGAGCCGCGGGGCCTTCCAACCAATACCTTCCGCAGTTCCAAATCCCGTTGTTCGGTGAGCTTTACGTTAGTCACAAAAACAAGACTTCTAACGTGCACTCGGACGTTCACTTGAACACATCCGTAAACGACTTTTCTGAAACCAAAAGTCTGGGCAGAGTTTGTAAAAGTGCTGGAATTTTACTGGATTCTTAGATTCTCAATCAGTCTGAAGTCTACACCTGGAGAAACACGGGGCCTTCTCACCTGAGCAATTTCAGGAGCACCTCTTTCTTGAAGACGTAGATGCCCATGGACGCAATGTACGGCTTCGCCTTGGCGGTCTCCTTGTCCAGGCCCAGGATGGTGGTGTCAACCGCCTGCAGGCACGAGCAGAGCCGGGATGTTTGACACACACACAGTGAAGAGTACCTGGAGTTAGTTTTTCTGCCCTTATTGAATCCAAATGCCAGTCAGTACTCCGTAGCTTATAGAGCTGCTCTGAAAGACGAAGCTCTCCTGGTGACGGAGGCCAGAAACGCGGCATGTGGGCTTTTACGAGACATCCAAGTTGTTTCGAGTGACACCTGCAGCCTCCACCACTTGGGTTCCTCACAGACGCCGCTATGCCTATCGAACAACACTTCTACTTGGAGCGACGAACCGGCTCGCGTGTTGCAGCAGACTACCTCCGTGACAAGCACTCAGATTGCAAACGAGGGCAGCAAGAACGTGGGGTGTTCCAGGAGATCATAAGTTTTGCAGTGTCATGTCAGTAAAGACCTCGCTCAATGATCCCACGCGGAAAACTCGACAACTTTCCGTTCTCAGCTCCCTGAAAGTTGCCAAAGATCCTTGTGGGGTCGCTTTGCCGCTGATAAACGGAACAAGCGGGCGAATCCAAGCAGGCTCACCGCAGCCTTGAGATCCTCGCCCTTCGGCTTCTCGACGAACGACGTGATCCGGCCAGTGGCATCGATCTTCACCAGCCCGAAGTCGGAAGCACGGCTGCACAAGTAGATGATTGGTCTTGCTTAGTAGGGCCCTTTAACCAAGTTTTGAGCCCAAGAGTTCATACTCGATCGGAAGAATCGTGACATAGGAGGATCCAACCATTGGAGAAAATACGTTCGAACTTAACCCGGTTGACCACCTCTAATCCCGTTCAACAACGTGCAGAAAACGCGTCCAAGCCTTCTCTGTGGTTCAGCAGGTTTGATAACGAAGTACTCGTATTGGCTGAGAGAATAATATGTCAACAATCAGAATGTAGGCGGCGCCGAGGAATCGATATGAAAAGGATACGAGAAAACAAGTGATCGTCATACATGCGGACGCTGCCGGCAGGATCCTTTCAGACGTTCATAAGATCAGGCTGACGAGAACGAGGCACATTAGCCATACCTGTCGTCCATAGGCACAACAGAGATGGTGATGTCAGCACCAGTATCCTTGTGTTTCTGCACAAAGAACAAGCACGCCAGTTGAATCGTGTCAGAAGGATTCCATGAAAAGTAATCGGGTCGCTCTGAATCGAAGCCTGCAATTTGCCCTTGGCAACTGCAGCTTAGCCAGAATGCTCTACCGAAGTGCATTTTACGATTACGGCCATTCATGTTGGGTACCGCCAAGGTAGCTGGAAAATTCTGCATGAGCCATGCACGCAGGCAGCAGGAGCATGTTATGAGCAACTTTTTGTCGAAAGCAGCACTCATTAAGGCTGCCGTGAGTACCTAGGGTTGAACTCGCGCATGGTGCAAGATGCAGTAGTGCCTTACCTGTACAAAGTCCATGTAATCCATACGGTACAGATGGTCTCCAGACAGGATGACGACATCCTCAATGTCCCTATTTCTGATATCCTGCAAGCGAAGGCACAGGGACCAGGTTCTTAACACAGCAGAGGTATGAAACAAGCTTGAACTGGAGGCACGACGACTTGATCCGAGTTTCCAGTGTGCAGAACAGCAGCCGAGTTTTTCAAGTCGGTCAAAAGAGGTTACGATTGTTGATTTGCCATCAGTCAATAGCAGCTGTATGTTTTTGTGATCGACCTTTGGCATGTAACGTGTACGTGTAACGTTCCCTCACCTCGAACAGCCAGGAGTATTGCCGGATAGCATCAGCAGTCCCCTGGAACCAGTTCTTGTCGGAGGGGGTCTGGTGAGCGGCCAGAACCTGGGAGAGAGGACGCGATAAGCACTCCATACGAGCGGTGCATTGCTTTTTGTCGGAACTTCGTGGCAAATGAAATTGGCTCCCCATATTAACTAGTTTACTTTTTTGACACACAATTCAAAAGGGCGTTGGCTGGGCGTTGGCTGGCTGACAGCGAACCAGGTTCAAGTATGCCCTTTCTCCATTTACACTGCCTTCATTGCCTATTTAACAGAATCAGAAGATTTCTCGTTTCGTTTTGTGCAACAGTTTATAAGCTCCAAGCTTGAAGCTGCAAAAGCAACTATATGGTAGCCTTTGGTGATGTACCGTCCCCTGTACAGATATATGTCTCGTGTTCCTTGGAACCAACTTCCGATCTTGAAAATTACAAGCATCACTCGGTTTCTGACGAATCTTCAAACACCTGTTCTAGACCTGCATAACTGTGCCCTAACGCAGAGGTGGCAGTTCATACAGTGGCCCCACAGTCAAAACCACTTCTTTTTTTGCACAGGCGCAGGTGCGCTTGATGATCCCTCTGCCCTCTATTGTGCGGCTCCAATCATACAAAGCTGGCAGAAGACTGCATTACACACACTCCGTCAACTGACCTGCTTAGGCACCGCATGTGCCCCTTCCACTGACCTCCAGATAATATAATCACCAGAAGCTGTGAACACAAGATACAACCAACAAGAGGCTCGCCCTCACCTCTACAAAACCGTCCCCAAAGGTGGCGCCATTCCCTAGGTAGGTCTTGGCCAAGTGCCGGTTGAGGGAAGCGGAGTTGAATTGGGTGAGGATGTACATCTTGGTGATTCCGCTGTTGATGCAGTTGCTCATTGGCACGTCAATCAGCCGGTATGCACCACCAATTGGGACCTGATGAGGAGGGTATCATAAGGCGTTCTGACTATGAGTGTGTTTCCATCTCCCTCTTTGCCCCCACATGCGGCAAACGCTAAATGTTGAAGCAGGTAATTTCCTTCTCAGCCCCAGAGATTGCGGGACATCTTGCGCCAAGTTCCGGGGCAACTTAGCTCCATATTCAGGCAATCCCTATCCAGCGCAGCTTCAACCTTTCGAACGTGGAAGAGAACCAGTCCTGTCACGTCATATCAGAAGAGTCCACCCATCTTCCAACACACACGCCACATGCAAAACGCCAACTAAGCATTGCTGCTACCAGAAACTTCTTGTTAAGGTATCTGTATGTGAGTGATCGCCTTTCAAAGCGGCCAGACGCTCTGAGCACGAATGTGCTTTTGACGCATTCTACAAGTTTGGAGCCTGAGGTCTAATGAGAGGATGACTCACCGCAGGCTTAGCACGGGACTTGGTCAGAGGGAACAACCTCGAGCCAGCTCCACCTCCAAGAATGACGGCAACCACATGGCGAGGGTTGACCAGCTCTGAGCGGACCTGCATCAAATTCATCCGTTGTCATGTCCTGCTTGCAGAGTCCTCTGGATCTAGCATTTATTGTTCGATGATCCCAGATCCGGACTCCAAAGCAAGTGCTACCGATTGCTTTCTGTATGCAACTTCAACCGGCCATGCTCATAGCAACCACTCTTTCCGCAACCACCAATAGCTGCAACCCAGCGTTCACTAGTTGAGCCAGGCTTGATTAAGAAAGTTCATAAATTCATGTTGAAATTTGCAGTCCCGAGCTCAGTGACGAGGTCTTTCTCCAAGGTGGATTTCCAGCAGAATATGACACTTCGTGTCTGACCACTTTGCTCTGGCGAGCATGCCTCACTGCCCCGCTACCCTTGTGCAGGATGGATCAAGAAGGACTCTGAGCACTCGATCTCCAACTTTTTCGCGCTTCCATCCACCAGTGTTTCAAATGTAGCTTCAACTCCGTTGCCAAAATTTTGGTGATGGAGTTGCTTTCTGGAAATGGTTGTAGAACTAAAGTAAATATGGGAGTCCTGGCACAAATTGCCAAAACCGCTCATGCATATATGAAAAGCACAACTGCTCCAACACTTGCAGGCCCACATTGTCAAAGCAATAAAAAGCGTTTCACGCCACAACATGGTTGTTGCGCTTCAAGACCTTTTATACAATATCCTGAACAACCTCCGGCACTTCTCAAAAAAAATGAAAATCGGGTGTACACAGATTCGTTTGCAGGCTTGAATTGGTCAAAATCAATAGAGCTGGCCAAAAGCTTGCAAATTGCATTTCCATGCAATGCAGTACTTCTATGGCAAGAGAGGGAAGATAAGCTTTCTCTGGCATGACGATTGGGACTGAAACAATTAAAGCTAACATAATGAAACTAAAAACCAGTGTACAACAAGAATGACTATAACCTCATTCCAACATCATGCTCAGAAAAGCCTCACAACAACGTTGAAAGCATATTTCTTGGAGGATACTTGAACCACCTTGTCAGCTATTCAAGCTTACAGGATATTTCAAAAACAGTGAAAGTGGCCTTCTTAAGGCTGCAGGCAACATGTGAGCGCCTTGTTAAGCCTTGCAGTCCAAAGGCATTCACAGCGAAGATTAACAAAGATGACGTGGACAACTCTGACCACTCAATGGATCCACATGGCTAGAGCAATCATCGTACTCATGGCCCAACATTTAGCATAACCCTGCCAGCGCAATCACAGTGGCTGTTCGCAATAATGCCAACCCGGGTGCCGTACTATGAATATCAATCCGATACTCCTTTCCAATGTTGATCGGTAATGTCATCTGAAGTGGACTCAAGGTCAAGCTCATCGATATACAACCCGGAGACAACAAACTGCTTCAGTCCTGGAACAAAGCTCAAGTTCTGAGTCATATTTTGAAACACAAACGTAAAATCCGATGTATTCAGATTTTCCAAAACAGCCACTTCCCCAATTCCAACATAGAACGAGTCGATCTACTCCCAATCTGCACTAGATCCTCTCTGCACTCACCACTGTCTCAGCAGGGTTCACATCTGCAACCACAGCCGTCGCCTGGATTCTCGGCATCCCGCCCCTAGTTTGCCGCCTGCAGTGCCCCTCCGCCCTGATCTCCCCGCCAGCAATCCCAGTTCCCCAAAAACCTGCCACCTGCTGCCCTGCCATGTTCCTTCCAACAAACCTCTGTGGAAGCGCAGCACCGACCGGCTTCCTGCTTCCATTGGTCTGGCTGCAGCTCGCAAGCCCGGCCGCATTCAGCGCCGCATGCGAGGCGGTTGAGGCGGTCGCCATCATGACTGCTCGAATCTGTTTTTCCCAAAACTTTTCTTTGCTGACAGCTTCCTTCCTGATCTAATGTGCTTTCTCAGATGTGTACCTGGCGCCCGAGAAGCGCTTCCTCGACCTATGGCGCCTCCAAAATGCTGCTGCAGGCAAGGCAAATTTCGTTAGCTCTGGCTGCACAAAGAGGAGCTGAGTTAGTTTCACTCTGTGAATCTATCGCGCTCCCTGCGCCGTCCGTGGGCGCATCGTACAAGATCGGACGGCGCCCGCCGCCCGGAAAGATTCACAGATTCGGGGCAGACAATGTGAGCCCCACAGATTCCGCAGATCTTCTGCTGTGGGCGGAACGTGGCGCGCTCACCACAGCCTCAGGTCACAGCTACCGTTCCCATTTCATTGAATGGTGGCGACGAATGCACTTTTTGTAGACTTCGTCAGAGCGCCTTGAGTGCAGGATGGCAGGTTGATTGGAGCAAGCATTGCTCTGGGCTCGCCAAGTATGGGGGGGCAGGATGCGCTTGAGGGGTTTGTGCCGGGCGACCACGATGTGAGTAGAAAATTCTATCTGCCGGCAAAAAGTATTCTGCTTCGTGCAAAGTGGAAAGTTGCTCGTGTTTTTCCAAGTCAACTGGGGACAAAGTTTATCTGGTCATTTCTGTGCCTTGAAGGTCAGTAGCACCTGGGCCTCTATCTATGCAATAGTAGCCATGCACGTTTCTGAGAAGCTGCCGGCCACTCATCAAAATCTTGATGCTTACCATTACCACCAACAGCTGGCCTGCATTGAAAAAGACTGTCATATGCAGAGTCTATGTGATGAACACACTGCGTTTGTTCTTGGAGCAATGAAAGTGGCCACTGCAAGTCATCAAACAAGAAACATATTATCCGTATACCCGCAGATGTCTGCAGCACTGTGCAGAGTTATTTTGGGAATTGGGTATGTAGATACTGTATCAATGCATTCAATGTCGTTCAATCCGAGTTTCTGTGTTTTCACAGCGCACCACCACTGCAATCGAAGCCCCGGCCTTAAAATCCGGATATTCATGTCATTCAGAAAGCGTGTAGAGTGGGCGGCTGTAAGTGGTAAAAGGACTAATGCTTGCCAGAAAGGATCGATTCAAAGTTGACAGAAGCAATCAATAGTAAAGCACTTCTTACCTGGCTCCGTTAATAAAGGGAGTCCATAGCGGACGCGTCACATGGATTGCCATCTCCCCGCTGTAGTCACATCCGAACAAGTTGGAATGCGGCGGAGACCTTCATCAGTTCACTGAAGTTTGCAGGTGCGCCATTGACTACAGGCTATCACATTTATCCTTTTCTGCTGGTATCCAATATGGTACCCAGTAAAGTGTGACAGGCGTACATTACTGATATTGGCCCAACGCAACCAAGCCTTCTAACCACCTGTCCAGAAATTTGGTCGACTTTCTCACCCTTCATCACTCCCAATACAGCTCCTCGTGAAGATCGTCAAGGAGACACAGCGCCGGGGCTCCGCTGGTTCCAAAGGCCCCTGGAAATCATTCCTCGCCACTCTTCCCCGGGGGGATCCCTCCAAGCCGATTCAGAACGACCCGGCTCGGAGGGACTGGCAGACCCTCGCTGCATTCTGCGCGACGCTGACCACCGACGAGGACGTCGATCTCGTGCGGAGAATGCGGGGGTGGTTCGCATGGCTCCGAGAGGAAGAGCGGCTGGAGCGGGACGACCCATTCCCAGATTCTCCAGAACAGGTGAGTCTATGCTATGGCCATCGCTGTTTCCTGTCCTTATGAATCAACGCGGCAAGCCCAATCCTTCGTGTTTTTCGGATGACGCTTTCTCGGGTTTGGTGGAACAGGTAGGGGGAGGAGTCCTGTTTAATCCATGATGCGTATCTTCACAGTGCATGCAGCAAGGTTAAGCTTATCCGCTTGAGAGGCACCGTTGGGTTTGAGGCAGTGATGAGCAGGCTGTGTGGGCCTCTGTAAGTCTTTTAAGTCTTATTATCACTTTTTCGTACTAATAAGTAAAAGACTGGGTCTGTGGAAGAGTGTTCTAAGCTCAAATGTCCCCCCAACGAACAATGTTTGACGACCAACGCCGGAGATTTTAAAATTTAAAAACTACTCACAACGATAGGGCCAGCTGGAGACCTTATTCGCCGGCCGACGTGCCCCGCAACGCTGGCCGGATGGGCCGGAGGACGGGGCCGCCATTGCCAGCCCAGCCTCGTACGATCGGATTCAAGTTTCGTTTCCTTCGTCCGCAGGGCCTTGTAGCCCGCACCCGTGCACACCCCACGTACAAGCAAGCCTACGACCTGCCGGCGTACCAGGAGGGGTGGGCCCTTAGCCGCCGGGGCGGAGTTTCGGACGCGCCTTCCCGGACGCGGCTACTGTCCGTGGATTGCGAAATGTGCAAGGCGGAGGGGAATGCAAAGGAGCTGGTGCGGTTGTCGGTGGTCGATCAAAGCTTGGAGGTGAGAAAGATTTCTAATTGTATAAGGAGGGCATAACCCCCATGTCTTCTCGTGTGTCAAATGGTTTTAACGACCAAATGTCCAGTATTTCGGCCTGACCCCACTCCGATTCTGAGCTTGATTTTGCTCCTACGATTCCGGGACTGGAGGCTGTGATGCAATTACCGCTTGCTTTTGACGCAGCTTTCGACCGCTTCGGTCCTGCTGTCCGAAGTGTGAAGTTGTCTGCCAAGGTTCTTGATTACTGGACAGACATTGCGGGCGCGTTCGCCAAGCTCCATATGTGATTGATATATCGACCATATCATAAACATATGTTAACCATATCTTTTCCCCAATTCGGACCAGGTCCTGCTGTCCGAATTCGTGAAGCCGTCCGCCAAGGTCCTCGACTACCGGACGGAGATCACGGGCGCGTCCGCCAAGCTCCTGGGGAAAGTGACGTACTCCCACGCGGACGCCCAGAAAGCCGTCCTGGAGTTGCTGTCCGAACCGGGGACGATCCTCGTGGGGCACGGCCTGCAGCATGACCTGAGGTCAGCTGACGTCATCCAAACATGAATGATGTCGCTAAGTTTCTGTTCCTGCTTCAGGCTCCTGAAACTTTGTCTTTCCCGTTTCTTCTAGTTCCTCTTTTTTCCTTTCTCTGTGGCACTGAACTGAAGTTCGCCAACAAAGAATCGAACGCCTTTGGTTAGATCTTTCTGTCCTCCTTCTTTGCTGCAACCCTTTTCCGAAGCTTTCCCCCTTTAGCTACCTGAACACGGGGTTCCACCCTCTCGGACGAGTTGGTTTGAGCCCGATGGGGGCCCTGCTCCGGTCTGATTGAAGAATGCAAACCATTGTGTTTGGCGACTTACCTTGTATCTCGTGGTCATTTTCGATCGACTATCAGCTCATCACCAGATCTCAAGCCCGTCACTGTCAAAAAGCGGCCGAGCTTTTTATGTTTTGCACTGATCACAGACCGGATCTCTCGAGTCGCTAACGTACTGTGCTTCCTCTTCACAGGGCCCTGAGAATTGACCACCGTCGTGTGATCGACACTTCCCTGATTTTCAGCTACCAAGGTCTCCCGACGGCCATTCCCTCGCTCGGAGACCTGTGTCGAGCTGTCCTGGAGGTAGGTAGTTGTTTCGCCTGTTCCCGACCAATGAAGTCCGAATCCACTATGCATGAAACTTTTTCAGGCGCAGTCACTTCTCCATCGCTGCCAACGAACATCCGAGAGCTGAGTCTCGGTCGAAGCCGATCGTCCGAGACCCAGAAGCAAGCTTCGAATTTGGCGTTAACCAGAAAGGTAAAGAAGCACAGTCTTGCTGAGAGGAAGAGTCCACTGGTTAGACGGTGTCAGCTTCTGATGTCCCCCTCTTTTCATCTTGACAGGTGGGCTTTCGTGAGGGCGGTCCCGAGCAAGCGCACGACTCCATAGAGGACGCCAAGATCCCCATGCGCCTGGTGCTTCACGAGATGAAAAAGGGACCCACGGCCCCGCTGGCCGTCCCAGACTTCAAGGTGCGATTCTCAATCCCGGCCACCGATGCCCGATGATACTTGCCGCATTGTGGCCCACGTGCCTGGCTTTGCTTGACTCCTGTTTGGGCAAGAGTTGGCGTGACTGTTTGACTCAATATTGCCGCTCTGCTTTGAGTAGGCAGCGCTTTACTGTTGTGTGCAAAGCTGAAAGCCCGCCCACTGCCTCACGATCATATACGGGATCGTGCGAGTCAACCGTTTGAAAGGAGCCCTTTCTTTCACCAGACCGAGAACCCTGTCAGATGCCTTTATTTGCTTGAACATTTTGCAATATCGACCCCTAAAATGCATTCATAATACCACAACGGATGTATGTCATGAGGAAGGCATAGGAGACGGCTGACGAGGGGGCGGAGAAAGCGAAGGAGACCACACAGTGCGGCGGTTTCAGAATCATTCCCAATCATTTCCTTTTACAGGTGGACAAGAGCGAGCTGTCCAAGCTGTTCCTGCATAAGATCCCCAAGGGCACTCCCCGGGAAGATCTGGCGCGCGCGTTTGCATCAGAGCTGGGTGCCCACGTGCAGATGGCCACGTGGGGGGCGTCTGGCATGGGGACCACGTTTGCGCTGTTCAAGAACCCGGAGGTTGCTAACGCGGCGTTCAAGGCGCTCGTGGGAAAGGAGCACAAGGTGAGCTTTTTGAGTTCCTGACATTTCGTTTTTGCGAAGCGCATCTGCTTAGCTGGGGTATATTTCTTTTGCTGCAATGCTTCGCTGTGGTGGTGTTTGAATTGTCATGTTGAACACAAACAACATGTGTTCGTGTGTAGAATGTAAAGATGGAAATGTCTGCCGCTCTCGTCTCTCTCCATTCCCTTTTTGCAATCGGAAAAGTGTTAGAAGAGGTCTTGCTGGCGGCCGGGCCATAGTATAGTGTTTATCGCAATTAATCCGCTCAGGACGACTTGATTTTTGTTTGGTGTCGAAGTGTAGCACACAGTCTAGTGTGGCAGAGCATTACGCAGTCGCCGGTCTCGTAGGCACAGATTACAAGCTCCTAAAGATCCGTCTGAAATTGTGCCTGAGGGTTCTTGACCCACTCCTGTGCTGCACAGAAACCTTATAGAGTGTGACGGAATTTGTTCTGATTCTTACTTCTGGTGTATTCAGGATGCGCTCGGAAGGGCGCAAAAGAGCGTCACCGTTCTGCCGCCTGCGGACGCGCCAGAGGGGCAGAAAGTGACGTTCACCGTCCGCAAAATGGGCTGCCATAACGGGGCGGCATTTGGTGTCAAGAAGAAGGGGAGCATAGCGGCCGAGGGCTTAAAGGATGGGGTTACGAAGCTGGAGAATGGTGGGAAGGAGAAGGTGAAGAAAGGTTTGAAGGAAGGGGGAAGGAACGAAAAGATCAATGGAGTTAAGAAGGGAAAAGAGGCGAGGGGGGAAAAGATCAACGGAATTAAGAAGGTTAAAGAGGCGAAGGGGAAGGGGAGTGGAGAGGATAATGGTGCGGAGGAGCGGAGGGTTAAGGGCAACGGGTCAAGTGAAAAGGGCGCGCTACCCGAGCGGGTTAAGCAAGACGAGGAGGTCGGGGGTGAGTCTGCGAAGAAGGCGACGAAGCACGGGAAGAGCAGCGCGGAAAGGCGGAGAGCAAAACGAGCGTTGCAACGGGGGGATGGAGTGGCTGGGGGAGTGAACCGGGAAAAAATGGATGGGCAGGAACGGACAGGTTCGGACACGAAGGGAAGGAAAGGGTCCGAAAAGGACGAAAAGAGGGGGAAGGGTAGTGAGAGGAACGAGAAGGAGAAGAAAAGGAAACGGCGGATGGAAGGAGAGTCAGCGGACGGAGAAGCGGCGAAAGAAAAGGGCTCCAAGGGGAAGGAGTCGAAAAAGAGGAGAGTTTCGGAAGAGGGGGGTGAGAAGCACAAGCGGCGAAGTCTAGATGGGCTGTTGGATACGGGGGTGAAGCGGAAGAGGGGGGACGGCGAAGGGCGGGGGGAGAAGCGGGCGCGGCGGAGCGAACCGTCGGCGACTCAGCAGACGCTTATGGAGATTCAGAAGCTGCTAGCAAGCGTCGGGAAAAGCGGGGGCATTCATCCCAACGGGAAGGATTCGACCAGCAAGAAGAGTCGAGAAGGGAACGTGAGGAGGGAATTCAGTGAGCATCGGAGCAAGTCACGGCGAGGGGAGGAGAAGAGTGGGGAGAAGCGGAGAACGGCTCGCAAGGAGGAGCGGAATAAGGATAGCGAGCGGAAAGGGGAAAGTGAGCGGAAAAGTGATAGCAAGCGGAAGAGAGATAGAGAGGAGAAGGAAGGGGCAAAGGGAGCGAAAGGTTCGGAGAAGAAGCTGAAACGCGAGCTGGCGAAGAAGGACGATCAGCTTGCTACGCTGACCAAGTTAGTGTTGGTTATGGCGAAAACTGACCTAACCAGCGCGTGACCGAACCTCGAAAGCTGCCATTCGACGGAAAGGTCAAAGGCATTTCTATTCATGTTCGTAACCATATTTCAGCAGGTGGGCATTCGTCGTCAAAGCTCAGATTTAGCTCTGGCAATTCTGCACGTGTCCGTGTATGCATCACCACAATCATATCAGACGCAGAGCCGTATATGTAGTAACGAACCGATTGCCTAGGCGCTAGTAAATGCAAGCCTTGGTGATGATCTGAGCCGTGGAAACTTTTGCTATACTAAGTCACTTCAATCGTGCGCGGCCACTCAAATGGACATGTATTTGCCGCTAGCTGGCGTATAAGCTCAGCACTTTCAGGTTTCGAGGAATCTAGGAGGCGGCCTTAACTGGAGGATCAAATCGATCGCTGCAGTGCAACAGATAAAAACGTGCTCCGACAATGATCCGACTACATCTGCATGGATCCAAAATGTTTGATTGTCCCACGGAAGTGTTAGCCTGCCATGTGCTCATAAGTGGTATATACTGCATGGTATGGATACTTGCATGCATGTGCTATTTCCAAGGCTAGCATGTCTGATGCAACATGCACAAGATTCCCTCAAGGACGCATATGTCACAAAACGGAAGGCATACCGGGAAGCCAAAGTGTGAACCGGCATAGTGGCCGGTGCCAGAGAAGCTTACAGGATCAGTGCTTTTATACCTTATTTTCGCAATGTGCTTTCAGACTTTGTTTTCGCAATGTTATGATTGTTTAGATCAATCCAAACCAAACTCGTTGTACTTAGCTTTGCCACACACTATACCTTGCTTGTGCAGGACTACTGCCCAATCGGGGTTCGAGTATGTATGCTTAAACTTGCAACTGTAGTGACTTAGCTACAATGAGATTTCGCGAGTGCTTAGGCTGCTACTTCAAGAACAGTACCATGTCAACTCTAAGCTTATTCTGCAAGATGATCAAACTATATACAACGTTTGAAGCTCGCCTACCCTTGATTTACGGCACTTCCCTTGATGTCAGGTGCTCTTATGACTAGATTATGTACAGTAAGCGTACGCTGCCGATCAGCCTATACAAAGCTCTTGACTAAAACTGTACAGTTGCAATCAATGTGCTGGCATCACAATGCGTGCCAACTGCTGTAAACCCTTTCTTCCGGCGGCTTCCTTACTCTCTCCAGATTTCCGAATCCCAGTACGCGCGCATGTTTTCACAAATGTACAGTTTCTAAATTTGCACTCATCACACAAATCGCCCCACAAGCAGTTCTGCCTACTTCTGCCCTACCATGGAAGCCGGATACTTTGCCCTACAATGAAAAGCAGGAGAACACTGGCATCCTCACAATCTCAATGATGAGGCCCTCGAAGGGGTTTTTCCCCACCACCGGCACCTCGCTCACTTCCTCCTGAGAAGCGCTCTTTTCCCCAGGATTTGCCACCTCCAAATACCCCCAATCCCTGTCTTCCAATGCGGAAGCCACATCACCCCCCTGAAGTTGGCTGGTGTCAGCCTCGGGGAAGCTCGCAAACCAGCGTTTACTGCCGCGGGGGGGGTGCACTTGCAGGGGTTTGGCAGCCCCCGGCACGACCATCTCAATGTTTTGGTTGGAGCCCCATGCGGGGCAGGAGCGGCCGCTAGTCTTCATTGATGAAAACTGCCATTCGCCCCCCCCCAAGGGTCCCGCCCCATCGGGGAGCTTTGCTCGGAAATCGTCCGGGTTGAATGTCGGCTGCAGGGGCTCTGCAGGCTCATAGTATAGCAGGACCTGAAACAAGGCACCGTTCATCAGATAAGAAGTTCCTGGTACCTCATACCAATCCCCTAGTATCATGGTATTAACCAGACCCCCTCACCGCACTGATTGTCCTGTAGGATAGAGCAGCTTGCTTACAACCCCAGCTGACCACGCGTTTCAGGTCGAATGTCTTTAGAAACCTTTCATGACCATAAAAGATATATCAAATTCTCAAACAAGCAGACGCAGAAAGGTGCGTGCACTCTCAACAAGCCAATCAGGATGGTAGAGCAATCAGGTCGGGCACATAGCTGAGCAAATCTGAGTTGCATATCTCTGGCCCCTGCTTTCATGGATTTCCCAAAACATTGTGCCCTCTTCACAACCCAACTTGACCACCTTCTGACGGATCCGAGTGTCTATTTGATTGGCAAACTACCCACCTACTAAGATCGCAACGCTCGTGCAAATAGTGAAGATATTCAATGCACACTGTTCATATTGGATAGACGCAGGTGGTTCTCCCTCACCTCTGGAGATCGCACGGGCAAGACACCTTCTGCATCAAGCTCGTCTCCACCATACGCCAGGATTGGCGCAGATAGGGAGGCAGCGCTCAGAGCGTGCGTGTCATCATTAGCTGCTGCAGCTTCCAGAGGAACAGCGTTGTGGTCTTCAATGGGACGCATGTTTGCGTAGGAAGACTGGTCTGAGGCGCCAAGTGCTGCGAGGGCAGAGGCCGCTGCAACAGCTGCCCAAGGCGTCCTGGAGTAAGAGAAGTAAAGTAACCTCAATATCTTGTTCTCAACTCGTCAGAATCCCTTCCTTCATGTTGAACCACCAGCAAGTCTTTCACAAGGTTGGGGAATCGCATGGTTGAAGAACACCTCAGATCAGCGAGGCCCCAGCTGATGATCTGGATCAATCCTTCAAATGCATGCAAATTCTTTAAAGCATCTGCAAACCCTAATTTCCTGAAACTGGCCCATGAGCTCAAGATAGTCAGTTCCTGCAAGAATCGTCTGCCATGGAAGAAAAGCAATTTCATCCTCTCTGGACATATCATTGTGTGTCTCCTGCTAACTACTCCCCCAATTTGACATGCAGCCAGTAAACTACCATTGAAAGCCAGCTGCCCAATCCAAAAGTGTATCAAATTCTGAATCAACAGATCTGCAACCATGACAATGTTTCTCAAGATCTGCAGAGCTCTCCATCAGGGAGGCCCCATTTCTATACGCTGTTAGATCAACATATACCCTACTGACTGGTTTGATCTGATTTCGTGCTCTACTATCAAGTGCAATCTGATCGGAGATGAAACATGCAACAGAGGCCTTTGGCATCAAAAATTGACAGACATCTGCCAACAGGCGCAAAGTTGTCAGAACAGGAAACATGCACATTTTGAAAGATCTGGATCAGGCTGTAGGGTGTTGCAAATCGACCACTAGCATGGTGACACATCAGATAAATATCCGTTGCGCCCAAAGACATCACAGGTCCAACTTGTTAGCTTTTTGTCAGACACATGCAACAACAACTTTGATAAATTTGCAAATGGGAGAGACGACAGCCAGGCTTCAAATGTGCATGTAGCTACATCAGGTCCTAAGGCTATAGATGTACAGCGCGTCCAACTTCACACCTCTTATGACAAAGATCAGCTCAACTTGGCACCTCACCTCAGAACTTCAACACTCTTTGCATCCAGTTTCTTGACCGGAGCTCCGGCCTCAGCTTTCCGCTTGACCTTCGCTTGCACAACTCCCTGCCCTTTCCTAACCACGGCCAGCCTGCATGGCAAGCTTACGCGTGCCGCTTCAATATTTGCTGTGCTCGAAAGGCCAGCTGCCTTTCCAAGCAAACCCGTGGTCAGGCTCCCTGCCTGGAGATTGAGCGTCGACACCGCCATGCTGCTGCCGCTGCCTCTACACGACTCTGCAAAAGATGCGGCACTCTAAAGGCTCTCAACCACCCCTATTTCGATCCTGCCCAAGCAGCCCTTTCCCTTCCAACCAAGACGCTCTACCCTAAAGCTTGGCTCAGCTTGCTTTCGTCAGATCGACCATGTTGCGCGCCACAGCTTTTTGCTGGGCTGAAATATCTGCCTCCTCCACTGCCACCAGTCTGAGGTGGCGCCAAGCCTGCCAGCTCGGCCCGCGTTTGAGGCTCACATTCAAACGCCGTGCCGGGAGTCCACCGTGGACGTACGATCTGCCAGCCGACGTGTCAGACAGACGAACCGTCTGGCGCTTTTTATTTCTAGCCGTTCGATGTAAAAAAAATGCCTCATCGACGGTTCAAGATGACGAAATCACGACCCACCTGTAACTAACTTTTGTCGGTGGTCCGTGAGTCAATCAGGCCGCCAGGCTCCCATTGCCGGAGCTAGGGCGAGTCTGAGGGGCCGGCGCAGTTGTATGATGCAGCTGCGCCGTCAAGTCTATTAGATACTCTTGTTGACTGTTGTCGTGTCAAAACCGTCTGACGTTAGACGGTTTTGACACGACAAAACCGAAGCGCCTGTGACAACATCTGGACAGAGTCGCCGGTTCGCTCGTGCGCCGGCCGGCCGTGCGACCTGAATGATCTCCGAGTCTCTCACTCCGCTGCCCCCACTGCGCCTGCATGCCAAGTTCGATCCTGGAACATCATAAGCCTGTGGACACACTCTCTCCGCCTGACAGAGCTTCCAGTGACATTGACATTGCCCACTTGACGGTCAACGCGTGGTTATGCGCATTCTCCGTGTGGAAAAGCACGTGATGACATTGGCAGACAAGACTCCAATATTGTCTGCGTATCTGATCTTGACTGTGCGACTGAGCACTGGCGGCATTGTGGTGCATCATGCCTGACCTATCTGACATCGTTGACCTCCCAATGGCACAATGGCGTCGATCAGGTCAATTGCATGTGGTGCAGGTCAATTATGGGTGACTGTTGAATGCACGCAGGAACGCAGGCTGCAAGCTTGGCCACGTGCGAGTACAAGAAGCCTTGAAAATTTGCGCGTACGTTGGACGCTAGTAAAGGAGTACGTCGTCGCACCTGGCAAATAAGAGGAGTACAAAGAGGAGTCTAGCCAGACGAGCGGGAGACGAGCCTTGCGGCTCTTCGAAGCACGCCGCGAGCCACACTGCATCCGTTTCTCATCAAAGCTGAAAGCGTCTACAGATTCTCTACTTCGAGAGCCTGTTATAGTATCTAATTATCCTCACAGTTTCATGAGCAATGCGAGCTCAACAATGTATAGAGAGAACATCATCTAAGTGGCTTCGGAGGAAGCTCTTCCTGTGTATTCAGCGGAGTTTTACCAGCACCACTGCCACAGCCGTTTGCTGAATCCGATGCAAAGAGTCCTATCTTCGTAAGTGATTGCGGCTTGAGCATCATACGTGTGAGTTAGAGATGGATTTCAACGCAGTACTCAGGCGGGTAATCAGCAGCAAGAAGCTTCTTACAGTCGGCGCCCTCAGCCTCATCCTTGTTGGCTTTCTCTCTGCTTGGAATGCGAAGTCGCTCTATCCAATAAAGGGCTGCACAAGGCTTGCGGAGAGACCAGTACGTGGGGACGAGGGGCTATGCCGGAACCCCCTGAGACCTCCCAACAGTAAGTACTCTCGCCGTCTGTCGACTTCATGCAGCAATAGAGACGCGGCAGAACAAGGCGCATTGAGCTGTCGTGGCTCTATACGGTGAAGGTTTTGGCAAGAGTATTGAAAGACAGAAAGCAAGAAATCTTATGAAGTGAGCTTGAGGACGCTCTTCAGAAGATAAGGTCTGCAGGCCTCACTGTGCCCCGTGATCATCAGAGTATAAATTTGAAAGCTTCGAGGACCCGGTCTGTCTTGACTAGTAACCCTTTTGACAGCGAACAAGGAAGTTTTCCGTCTTGCTAGCTTTTGTGTTCCTAAGAAGTGCGATCAACACAGGCTGGTTGTTTACGAGGCAGACTCACATCTCCGTTGAGGACCATTCAACCGACTGATAACAGCATGCACCTTACTCACAGATGCAAAAGAGATGTGGCCGCTAGTACTCGTTTCTATAGAAGAACAGAAGGAGGAGGACGAAGGCGGACTTCCGGACAAGCTGCCTTGGTTCTCCCTCCTGGTAGGTTTGATTCAGGCATCTGTTGACCCGGTTTACTGAGTTCATAAGCTGCTTCCTCACCTTGCAATGCAGAAAGTGCTAGGTCAAGTGTTTGCTTTGAATTTGATTGCTGGTTCGAGTTGCCTCCGGCATGTAACTTGGCAACAACGGTTATGCTTACTAAAAAGCATCCGAGACATTCAAGGGGCCTGCATGTCGATTACATGCTTGGTCGAAAAGCCACCTTACATGTTCTCTGACTTCTCGAAACGTTTTCAAAGTTGCCTTCGGCCGTCCGAAGTTCTCTGAACCACCGCTAAACTTTCCATCGAAGTTCTGGGCACTCTGACTCTCCAATAATGGAGACATTTCAATCCCAGTTCACATGATCTTTCCGTGCCAAGAGGCATTTCTGGATTGTCGTCCTGAGCTGAAGATCAGCTCAGTCTAAAGAGAAAATGTCTCTGAGACTCCGTACTTGTAACAGTCTTCCTGTGCTGTTGCGGGTTGACGCCTTTGACATCTTAGGAGGGAAGATGGGTCAACGGTTGGCGCCGCTGGAGTCATTTACGTCAGGTGACTGAACAGTCTCGGTCCATGGATGTTCAAATCAAGTTTGAAGTTGCTGATTGGGTTTCGATTTTAGGTGTGCGGGCTGAGTAGGCTCCGACTTTTCTTTGCAGACTGGCCCCGACAAGAGGAGCGTATGGATTGGAGCGGACTTGCGCCTCGCTGGGAGTGCGCTTCTTCTCCTCGTTACGGTTGCGAGCTTTGCAGTCCGAACGATCCGGAATAGCTGGACAAAAAAAAGGTTTCTCGTGAAAAGCGTTTTCCTTCTAGAGAGAAAACTTGAAGAAGCTCAAGTGCATGCCGCAGAGCGCGAGGCGCGGCTTGCGGAGGCGGAACAAGTCCGCCTGAGGACGTTGAACGAGAGCGGCGAAAGACATGCGGCAGATATGCGCCGGCTCGAGGAGGAGCTGGAGGAGGCCGGTGCAACGATCTGGGGACTAAAGGAGGGGATTCAAAGCGCCCAGAGAGAGTCAAACGCCAAGGACGAGCGGATCTCCACTTTGGAGGCACAGATAACGACAAACGAAAGGGAGCAACGGGCGGCCTCTGCGGCGGCAAAGTCACTTCAAGCAAAGGTTGACGAAGTCGAAGAGACGGCGAAGCGGGACTGCCGAGAGCACGTTGAGAGAATCAGGACGTTAGAGGGGCAACTCTTCGATGCGCTGGCTAGCGTGCGCGATTTGAGCAGCGTACGCAGAGAGGCAAGTGCGCTCAGGCTAGAGGTCAACAGATTGACAAGCGGAGCGGAATCTCGGGCTCGTGAACTTGAGACGGTCCGATTGCAAAGCGCCCAGGAAAGTCAAGAAAACGCCCAGCGTCTCGAAGCTTTGGAGGGGGCTCTTGAGGATGCGGAGAGTAAGCTCACTGCGCAGATGACGCGTGAAGAATCGTTGGCTGCGGAAATTAAAAGGCTTGGACAGAAAGCTGATTCGGAGGCGCGGCAGGCCAGCGGCCTGAAGGAAGAGCTCAACCGCGCTCAGCAAGATGCCCAGACCAAAGATCAGACCATAATTGGTCTGAAAGGGCAACGTGTGATAGACAAGGAGATCCGCAGGGACCTTGTCAAGAAGGAAAAGGCGGCCAGGGAGGAAGAACAAGCGAGCTTGAAGAAGATAAAAGAGCTGGAGTCTCGGGTCAGCCAGCTGCAGAGTAACCTTCGCGAGAAAGACGCTAGGTTAAAATCATCAGTCGAACTTCAAATTCGCGAGCTAAGATGGGAGGCAGCGAGTCACCCCAACGCAGGAATCCGCCGTCAGAGCAAGACAGCCCTTGTCGATAGTGAAACTGTGTGGGTGGAGCCAAACAAGAAGGTGTATCACAATCAAGTAAATTGCTTGCTTCGCGACTTGAAGAGTCCGGGGATCGTCATCGTTCACCTATGGGATGCGGACAAGGAGGGGAGGCAACCCTGTTCAGCGTGCCGTCAATAGGGTAAGCCTCCAAGCCAATGCGAAATGGCTCAAATCTCATGGTAGATAGCTACGTGCGAGCCGCCTGACCGGCTCACCATGCACAGATAGATGCCGAGAGCCCTGGAGTGGTTTAGCCTACTCTCTAGTCGACCCATATGTGATGTAGAATCTTCGAAGAAAGGGCCGGGGCATCAGGCTGAATCTTCGGTGGCGTATAGAGTTACCGGCCATTGAGCCGAGATGCTTGCAATTGGGACTATTAGATAGTCCTTCTGCCCTCGTTTCTAGCTCTTGTCGTACTCGCAGCTAGTAGGTTCACGTGTCAATTGGCGCTCAGAACAATTTTCGTTCTGAAGAAAGCACCGTACTACGTGCACAAACCAGTAGATCTGCTGACTCAGTTGCACGCTATCTTGCAGTGCGTTTTGAGGTGTAGCACTGCGGAGTTGCATCTCGAAAAGTATCAGGACACGTGGCCGCTACTGATCACTCGGTGTCAGAGGCTTTCTACGCACGACTCAAGCAAGTCGACGGTCGCAGTAGCGCGAGAAGTAGTTGCAGGCAAAGAAGTTCGTCATAGATGGCTATATCTTCGCCTTATGGGATCTTATGCAGGACTCAAGCATTTGTTGTATGCCTAGAAGTGTCGAGAGTCTTAAACATGTAAATGGGACTTATACCTAGGTAAGCTCATCTTAACAGAGCAGGATATAGAGCAGGGTATACAGGCTGTCAATGATAGCCTGTCAGTGGTGGTACTAAGCTATGTTTTCGTTAGTTGCTGGAATGGGGAAACTTAAAGCTTCTTGTCTGCATATACAATAGTTTCTTCAAGGTTGTGATGGGGTTCCGCTAATGTGACTTGTGGTTCCAAACAGTGAGCACCACGACTGGTAATGATCTCAGTTCATGGTAGCTGAGCGGCTGCTGACGTGCGGTTTACTTTTGTCAAGGAGAGCTGAACATGTACCTTGCTACTTATCCTGCGCACTCACTGCGGCCTTAAGCTGACTTTTTTAGGTCCATTTTGCATGAAAGCTGCACGTACGCGCAATGCATAACAGGTCATGTAGCCCAGTCAATATCAGCCGAGATTTTTGTAGGACATCAAGATTGATCGCTTCTTTTGCTCCGTGTCGACTCTAGCTCATGTACGCATGGGCCTTTGAGACAGCTGGACATGTGCAACTATGATAACAGTTTTGTACATAAATTACCGCGTCCGACGTATGGCTCATGCTATGTCGGGCGTATGGCAAATCATATACATGCTGAGTCGTCTAGCTGCTAACTCAGCAAACAAACGTACCGTCCCGCGGCCCGCAAATTGGCTGTCCTAGCTATAGGTACGGTATTTCCATGCGGCGCACTCAACGCTCAGTGCAAATCATGATGGCGGATCAGTTATTGATTTCAGGGCGTTGTAAACAATCATGCAATCATCATATAAGGAGTCTTCGCGACCCTGATACGATTGTCTGACCCCGGCGACGCGATGCATGCCGCGGGCACGCATTCCGATCGCGGTTCAGCAATTTTCTGTATGATCATTGTTCAATCAATTATATCACTTTGGCGGAAGTTGTCAAGTTTAAGATTGCTGTGACTGCAGGCTTGCGATCGAGCTGCAATGGCGTCATAGTCGACATATCATGGTGTACTGTCATCCAAGCACACGTACGAAGTCCCACATTCGCATCATGATATATGCACCAGTTCGCCACATGATACCGGTGGGAGTCGGTTCAAAAATAGTCATGGACTTGGAGCAGTGAGTAAACCATGTCGAACACTTCTCAACGATTCAAAGACTACATACATCAGAAACAAATAAGTGTTGGTTTTTGTTGGGTTCCGGACTCACTGCAGCACTTTGAGAGGGCTTGCATGCATATCGTAGAGTTCTCGCAGCACAACGGGCAATCAGAAACGTACGGGAGGTCTCGATCAAAACGACTTCTGAGTCCACCAATCGGGCCATACTACCAGGCCGTTGCTGGCATGGGCAGTCTGTCGTTCCTATGCGGGGCTGTTTTTGTACAGGATCCTCCCCCGCCAGATCCAAGATACACGTTTGTGAGTCTTCATTAGCTGCCGCTCCTACTTAATCGACAGCTTCGTCAAACAATCACCTTTTCAGTATATTGGAGAACTTCCGGGTCAGCTGGCAGATTTCAGCCCTAGCGACTTGAAGGCCGGCTTGATATATCGCTCCTCTATCACGTGCAGGATCTCCAGAATCTTCGAGTGAGCGATATCCCAGTACGTTGCCGGTTCCGGCTCCGGCTGGTCATATACAAACCGGAAAAGGTAGGCCATTGCTATGGCGATGATTGCGATCCCGATTGCAAACACTAAACCCTTGCCGAGCTGCAGAAGAAAGGATGCGGCGCTGAGTACTGGGGATATGATGCACCCACAAAGTAATTTCAATAAGTTCTGATGTTTGTTTTTGAATGTAAAATTTAAGAACGATATGGCTACACAACAAACTTTGACGATTGCACATGCCGTTCGAAAACGCTGGCTGGAAACCAAAACGACACAAGGTCAAAGAACAAAGCGTCAAGCCACCTGAGCACCAACAACAATGACAAGCGAGAATATCCAAAGAGAGCCCGTTTCTGAAGCAGGAGTCTTTACAGATCAACTTCAAGACCCTGCAAATCAGCGACGAAGAAGACCTTCCCTAGTTGCACGTCTGCCAAAATTTCGACCAGATTGTGCGCTGCACGATTTAATCTAAGACGACAGAATCCTTGCCAGCCGTCAAAAGAATCCTTTCTCCTGTGCCCCGCTTTCAGACAGCGAAATTTGGTACTAAAAAAATCTCTGCAGAGATAGGGAATCAATCCGGACGTATGGGCGCACCAGTTGGAGCGCAGATGGTGGGGGGGTCGGCAGCGGCAGCAAGACGACGGGGGGCTCCTCGCCGTTGGCTGCTTGAGTGGGCTCGACTGGCCCGGAATCGTCTGCCAAGGGGGGCTCTGCGGGAGTCTCGGACTTTGCACTCTGCAGAGGGAGTTGGAAGCGCAGTAAATATCTAGCTGGATAGGGCCTGGGGGACACAGGGCACGGAGTGAGGCGAGTCTCTGGCGGCAAGGGGCTACGTGGGCATTCCGATGTATCCACTTACCGGCTCCTTTAAGTCCTGATGTTCTTTCTTTGGTCGAAGGAGGAGATCACATCGACGGCCATCATAGAGCGCAGGCGTTGTTCATGTTTGAGAAGCGGGCAGTGTAAGACCACAGAAGGGGTTACGTAAGAACGACAAGTATGTACGTAATCTGTTTGCCAGAAGCCTCCTGCGGGTAATTCAAATCGGCATGCTGCACTATATAGCAGCGATAAGATTGCAGCACGTCCTCGATAAACAAGAGAAATCCGGAATGTAAGATTCAATCGCGTCAAGCGTGTCGGCGAAGCGGGACTTCCGACCTGCGTGGTCTGCACAAGCCGCGTCTCGTTTCCAGAAGTTGCGCATCTTGGCAAAACAATAGCTCAGACCAATCTGAAATCGGCTACATGGTCTGGTAGTAAGGCAAGCAAACATTTTTTCTGGAAGAGTTTGTCGACAAGGGAGGGTTTGAGGTTGCTATAGGCTGCACATTCTGCAGAGACCCGAGGGACACCGCTACATAGGTTGCTCGTACCCTCGACTTTAGAAGACGAGATCGATTGTTGTCTGTAACATGGCAACGGGACTGCCTATAGGGCTTGCTACCCTCTTCGTTGACGAAAATCTGATTGGAGCAGAGAGTCAGGCCGGTAAAGCGCCCGGCTTACGATTCAAAGCCACGAACACCCACTGTCTGCAGAAATACGTGCTAGGCTCTGCTGCCTCCATTTTCGTACATGAAACTCATATCCAGGCATGCACAAATCACGACCAGATTTAGAGGAAAATTAAAGGTGGACACTTGCAAACAAAAAAGGCCATACCGCTTTGGCCCGCACGTTGACATTGCACTTCTAGGATATTACTTTGAAGAGTCTCCCCATTGCTTTTTAAGGACCAGTTCTTTACGAGAGCTGCATTTGGCAATCCGACAGATTATGTCTTGTTTCGGACGTGCTCACCTTGGCTGGCGTCTTCTTGGGTGACTGCATTCTCGAGGCAGCTTTCGGCTCTGGGGGCGGCTTGATCCCCGCCCGCTCCTTCCTGATCTCCTCAAGCGCCAGGTCAACGTACGTCTGCTTCAGTGCGCGCTGCAAGGCCAGAAGGGAACATAAGACGAAAGGGTCTTGTCTCTCTGGCCAGACTGACCCATGCTCATGCTCTATGTTCAGACCCAACCTCGTCACACCACTCAAAGCAATCAATCAAATAGTCGGTCTATTAGTCAGTCAGTCAGTCAATGAAACAAGTCGAAGTGTCCGCGGGAGCCATCAGTTGCTGGAAAGGCATGAACAGTCGGTCGTGTACCCAAACCTTTCCTAGGGTCTTGAGCACACTCCAGTCTCCAGACCAAGACAGTCGAAGTCTTCTGAGGATAACTCTGGTCGCCTTGTTTCAGCGTTCAGAGATTGGAAAGACTTTGAAAGATCCACGGGGAGCAAGAACTGATGAGTGGCTTGCTAAAATCCTTTTCATTTTAGCGCTCTCTGATGTCACTGCCATTCCTGGGATCAACTTTCCTCTTATGAAGTTTTCACGGAGAAGGGAAGGAGTCTGAATTCAACGTACAAAGCTTGGCAGGGGTAGTTTGCAGGTTTTGGGGGCCAGAAGCATAAAGAACTCAAGACACTCCATGGTGAGAACTTCTTGGAGGAAAACGGGCTTACCGTGGCTGGGAGGGTAACCTTTCTGTCTGTCAGGTATGACATCAGCTGCACCACCGTCATTTTCTTGACTTCATCTTCGCTGTAAGTGGACGACATCTGCAATGGAGCCAAACAATGCCTGTGAATAATTGATAGGATGAATCAGCTGTTCAGTGGTCATCTCCTACATGTCAGCCTCATTTCCAAAGGAAGCCATCTTGTAGAGCAATGAGAACCTGAGTTGCAGAAAGAAAAGAGATCAGATCTGTGATTCAGTGACAAAACATAACTCATCAAGGTGCATGTTCAAGTACTGGAGGAACAAGGTGTGTATCGAGAGCCCATCATAACCTGCGTACAAGGGACCTGTGGTAAATTGTTTTAGGAAAGCGGTAAAAGAATCAAGACGCAATTGAGACCACAAACTCAGACTCGATGCATGTTTACCATGCCCTTGAACCAACGGCCCCAAGAACCGGTGAAGAGGCCCAAAATTGCCCAATCAAAAGGGCAGCTCAAGCTCCCAAAGTACCCACTGGCTAGGATAGTCTTGATATGAAGCTGAGCCAACAGGCGCAGGCGCTTGACTAAAGGGCTGATCTTATTAGTGAGGTATGTGGAGCTTCAGGATTAGTAACAAAGGCCAATCTATTGAAAAGATGTTGCTGAATGTTGCATACATGTTAAATGGCTTAGTGGCCAGAACTGTTGATAAGCAGTGCAGCCACCATGCAGCCAGATCGAGAGACGGTAAGAACAGACAGCGGCGAGCACTTTGATTGTCTATTGCAAGATATTGTCTGCAAGCACCAAGGTCACGTCCCCATCTTTCTCGGCAGTTACTTTGCCAGAATATTGGTTTGAAAGGCTTTTCGATACTAGTACTAAAAACTCAACCGCAAGGATGTGGGGACAATGGTTATTGAACGAGACCCAGTAATCTGTAAAAAGCACCATAAGATGTGGGTAAGGGAAGCCATCGACCGTTTTTGTCCAAACTCGATGAACTGTGGTGCAACATAGATATTAATACACACTCTTCTGTATGTGCCTTTTCATTAACAAGAGGCACAAGAGCTGATCCGAGGAATGGCGAAAGTAACAACGCAAGCATAAGATCGCGCCAGATTGCTTACCTTCTTTAGAGACTTTTCTGCTGCACGAATTGATTGACCGGAATGAGGCGGCGCGCACAGGTCTTTGTTCACCTTGCTTCGAGTAGATTGCCGACTCTGCGAACGAACGTCCAAGAGAAAGACGCGTTGCAATGACGAGGCGACAGGGCAAGCAACCAACACTGCTTTTCACGAATAGATATAGAGGCAGAGCGCTCCCACAGCCAGCAAGACTCCCACTTGTTGCAATTGCAGCCTGGCAATGCAGGCAACGCAAGCGGAAAGGAGACTTTCAAATTTGAATTTGGGCCAACGTTTCGAACCACAGGTCGAAACAATAGTGTCTGGTTAGTACCACGTGAAGAACCCTTTCTCCCTACTAGTCAAAGGAATTTCAAATTTGCGTAGGTAACCCGCTGGGTAGTTTCCTTGGGGTTTTCGATAGCGAAAACTTCAAATGCACTCGACGGTCGTCACACCTGCTTACCTAGGTATCCTGCGCAGCTCAGGGCTGCTCAGCTGAGGTTTCTCTGATCTCAGACTCCTGAATCATGAAGCTGCGCTTTCCTTCTGTCTTCAAGTGACAAGAACAAGAACAAGACAGAACTTGCGTTCTGCTTTCAAGAGCAACTCAGAAAGCGCAATCTGGAATCCTTACCCACACTTCTTTTGGGGCTCAAGCTTCTTGCAGCGCGGATCCTTTTGGCAGCAAGGACGATCAGGCAAGAGCGCGTCAAACTCAGCGCTATATGGAGGTTGAAAATGTAATTTAAACAAGAAGCAGTCAAAAGAAAAGTATAATGTGTGGCCACGATTGCCAAGGAGGTCGGTATATTTGGAAAAGGAGCGCGTAAGACAGTGGTGGTGATTGGATTTTCTCGTCGGTTAAGATGATCGGTACAGAGGTTCTCCAGACAAGTTCTTGGAGGGCGCCGCATTTGCAACTACAGAAAGGACAGAGCATCCATGAGTTTTCACCCACACCCGGATCCTTCAGGCATACTTTTCGTGCAGTGATCCTCGGTGGTGTGGTCGGTAGAGTGGATGATCTTGCAAAAGGCCACAATGATTTTCGCCTGGTCAAGCTTCAAGACAAGTTGTCAGCTCAACAGCAAACCAGGCCCAGCAAGAAGAGAACCAGTGCCAAGAGCCTTGCGGCAACTGTGGTTGACGCTAGCCAGAGTCTAGATTCAGGAACTGATGCGGGGATAATCGACGTGGTGACTCTGGGAAACCTGTGCGTTGACATCGTTAAGCATGTGAGTTCACGTCTTTCATATATCAGCAAACAAATAGTCTGTGATGAGAAGGGAGGTTGAGTTGATTATGGAAGATCATGGAGTTCTTCTTATCTGCTCTACATCCATCAGACGCATGGAAGATGCAAAGCATGCTGACTTGCCCAGTTCAGCGTTTCTGATCGTCTTCTCAATAGGGTTTTCAACCCAGGGGTTGGTGGCTGAGATTAGACTTATTTCATAGCTGTCACGGTTCTTGATCTTGCTATCATGTGGTGGAGCTCCATAACTCAACACACATCCCAAACGTTGTAAGGGCATACTCAGTTGACCTCGGTTCACAATTTTCCAGTTCTGTTCAAGGTCAAACCTCGGTTTGCCATTTCTGATCAAAACATCCAGGAGATTGGCCTCATAGCAATCCCAGTCAGACTGGCAAACCACTTTTGAGTCACTAGTTGATCACAAACGAGTCAAGGACCAACCATGCCAAAACATTATCTCAAACTGATACTTTCAAGCCACTACTCAACCACTAACGGTCATTACAAAAGCAGCCAAACCATGTTCTTAAACCCTTAACCACCGCAACTAGGTTGAGGAGCTTCCCCCCACTGACAAGCCCCGTCGCCGTGCCTACATGGACGCTATGGTCGCTCGCCCCCCACCTGAAACTCAGTGGGAAGGTGGGGGTAACTGCAACACTGCCATAGCAGCCGCGCGCCTCGGTCTCCGGTGCACTGCTTTAGGGCACATTGGAGAGGAGGTCTTTGGGGACTTCTTACGGCGGGTCTTGGCGTCTGAGGGGGTTGGGTTTCAGGAAGTTCAAGAAAGTGGGGAGGCGCCGCTCGGGGGGGAGGACTATGACGGGGAGACGCTGCTGTGTTGGGTGATCATTCACCCGACGGACGGCCACACGTTCTGCAGCCGGTTTGACTTCAACAAAGGTCCGGCCTTCAGCCGGTTGACGGAGCTGCCACCGGCGTTTGAGAAGCTGATGAGCAGGTGGGGGCCAATAGAGCTACACCATAGGTTTTGAGTAAGCATAGTGTTTAGTGTTTCAAGACACTGCAGGTCCTGCTTTAAACGAGCCGTTGGACGGAGTTCCTTTGTTTGTGTGGTGCTTATGAGACCTTTCCGTTTTGAACTTTCAATCTTGGATATTTCCTTTCTTCTTTCTGGTTTCAACCATTTTATATCTGTCCTCTGTCCACTTTCTCTCGATGTACAGGCGTGTTCACCCAAGCAACAGTATCTTCAATTCAACTCCTTCGGATTTTGTTGACTGATCAGTCTCCCATTCGGGTATTGGGGCTGCCATGTCGCTCTTGTGACAAAATCATCTGCCGTCTTTCTCCTTGGCTCCTGTTTCCTCGGCTCCTCTCAACTCACCCACTCTCCCCTTCTTGAAAAGCTTCCAGAACCTTGTTCTGGCCCTTAACCTCCACGTAACCATAGGTCGAGGGCCGTTTTCTGCAACGGATTTGTGTACGACGAGCTGCCTCCGCCCACCGTACACGTCGCACTTCGCAAGGCTCGGGAACACGGAGCCGCCGTCTTCTTCGACCCGGGGCCTCGTGGGGAGGCCTTTTGCAAAGCAAGTGAGGCCTCGTCTGGCGGCTTATGGCGGCGGCTCGGAATTTGAGGCCTCGTTGTTCCCAGGGCCAGATTGCCTATTAATTTGGAGCTCAGAATGATCGGTTTGCATGGTCGGCAGCAGCATTAAATTGAGTTTGATTTTGCAGGCCTCTGCGGATTGGTTCTGCCCCGTTGATCAGCAAGGAGCAAACAGCAAAGAGAAAATTGTCATGCCAACCATATGATTCAAGTCGTGTCTGCTTTGCAGGTGACTACAAACGGGAATGCGTGGAGACACTGATGAGACTCAGTGACGTCGTGCTGATGACGGCGGAGGAGGTAAGCCTCTTGCCTCATCCTAGAATTGTAACAGTACGACGGCAAAGTTTGGTCACAAAGTACAAAGCGGTTGGGAAGCAGCGTCAAAGCAGGGCGCCTTTGGCACCTGTGGAACTGGGTGATTGCAGTTGCAAGAGGTTGGAGGTTTCAAGAGGGTCGAAGGATCAGTACTTCTGCAATGCTTTGTTGAGAGAGAATGGCTTGAACCTAAGGATTCCTCAAATGAGTTTGTATCAGTCAAAGGACCTGTAAAGGGGTGACACGTGTCGCTTCGTCTGCAGGCAGAAACGATTACTGGTCTGCGGGATCAGGAGGCCGCAGCAGAAGCGTTGCTCAACCGGGGGGGTGCGATCCAGTGGTAAGTCCTTACCTTTCGGCCTTGTCATTGGTCCGGAAGAGGCGGGCGATCTTTGCAAGCTATTGAGCTGACAGTGATCTTGCAGCTTTCATTGAACCTGGTTCCTTTACCTGTTCGAACACCGTGCGAAATACACTCCATCACCGAAAGTTGGGGAAAAGATGTGAAAGCCGCTGGAAGGATACTGCTTCACGACCTATGGTTAGACAAGACCCCCAGGTGATCCACCATGCTTGTAGCACTAGGAGGCAAGGTATTCAGTTTGGATCATCTTTTCATTTGACTGGGTCCCCGGCCTTCGCAACGAGCAACCACTCATCTGCTCAACTCGTTCTTGCTTCGGTGCCCCTTTGGAAGTTCTTATACTCCCGAGTTCTGCACGATTGTTGAGTTGAATGTCCGTCAGATTGTCGGCCTTACGCAAGCGCCTCAGCCTTCAAAGAGGTGCTTTGTCCGATACGCGCATTGAAGATCAGGTTTTAACCTTAGAACCATGTGTTATAGAAAACAACTATGAACCCCAAACAACTAAGCAAAGCCCTAAGGACACCAGATGATTGACCCTGGAGTCTTCTGCTGCTACAGGGTCGTCATAAAGGACGGCGGCCGAGGCTGCCATATGACGACGCACGAGGGGAGCTTTTGGCTTCCTGCATATCGAATAGACGTCGCGGATACGGTCGGGTGCGGGGACAGCTTCGCGGCCGCCGTCGTGTTGGGCTTCATCCGAGGGGAAGGTGGGTCGGGGGTCTGACTTTCTAGTGAACGGAAGGAATCCCTCTGGACGCTTCTCACGACTGCTTTCGTGTTGATCGGTTCCTTACTTCGCTAGACTTGCCAGCCAGAAGCATCCGATCGGTTACCCAAACGAATACTAAACTCGCTCCCGCAGAACTCGGTGTTTGTCTGAGTGTCTTCCAGGAAATGTCCGGGTGCAGTTCCAAGTTTCAATGGACATTTTTTCCGCGGGCTTTGCCGAAGATGCTTATCTCGGCTTCCGTCTTCTCTTGCTCGGACCGTTGACAAAGTTGCGGTCTCATTCACCACCCTGGCTTTCGCGAACGCCATTGGAGCTGCAAAACTTTTCGTTCCTTTGCTTTCGTCTTCCCTTCCTCCAGACCAGCGTACAAATATTCTTCATTTAGTTTGGGCCTGAACACCACCTGGCGTTAGTGAAAGCCGTGGCGCTCCCGAAGTTCCATACTTCGCTTTCCTCTTCTTGTTCTGGTACCACTATTTAAGTCGCTGGCTTTTTCCAGGGCCGATCAACATTTTGGCATTAGCGAACGCCTTGGGACCGCCGAATTTATCCTCCTTCGCTTCTGTCTTCTCGTTCCGGTACCACTATCAAACTCGCCGCCTTCCTTTCAGGCCCGATCACCATCCTGGCGTTCGCAGACGCTGCAGGGTTGCTAAAGTTCTTTCTTCGCTTTTTCTTCTATTATTTCTGGATCACTAAGAGATTCGTCTTTTCTGTTCAGGCCCGATCATCAGGCAGGCAGGCGTTAGCTAACGCTGTGGGTTGCCGGATTGTAATCTCCTTTTCTTTCGTCTTACTCAATTTGCGGACCACTAGCAGATTCGCCGTTTACCGTCCAGGCCTGATCATCACCCTGGCGTTAGCGAACGCAGTGAGCCTGCCCAATTCTGTATCGCACCACAATTTCAGTATCGCGCACGGGCCAACGATATAGCTCGCCATGGTCGGACACTATCGTACTAAATGCGACACCCATGAACATGGGTCTTTGACTCGCTTTTAGGCTCTGTCGCGCAAGCCTAGCGCGGAGGCAAACCCTGAGAAGATCATCTTTCCCGGACCACTTACCATTTCGCCGCTTTCATTCAGGCCCGATCACCACTCTGGCGTTAGCGAACGCCGTGGGGGCTGCGACGGCAATGGGCGTGGGTGCCGGACGAAACGTGGCTCAATCTGACGTCCTCGCGTCCATACTTTCGGACACAGAACGTCAGCAAGGAGTCGTGACAGTTCGATTGAAAAGTGGTTCTAGAATGGACGGAAATGGGGCGTCGACCAGCGGGGATAGCGGGGTGGGAATGTCAATAGAACGAGGAGTCGGTGTCTCTCGAGGTAGTCGGACGCTCTTGTCAACTAGTAATGGATTGTTGCTTGGGGAGTCTGCTGAGGATTTGCAGGAAAATGGTGCCGCTGAAGGGAGGGCGCGGCCAGGTGAAGCCTCTTGGAATGGAAAACGGAGGTATACGTCAGAGGTGGATGAAACTGATGCTTTTTTGTCGGAAGAAGGCGCGTGCTCATCATGGAGTGGGGGCGGGGTTTCTGAAAGGCTAAGTCCTATAGAAGAGATCAAGCGGTTGCAAGCAACGAGCGACGGGTATGTTAAGATGGTCGATGGGGAAGGGCAGGTTTTTGAGGTGAGCTTCCAGGTAGCGGCTCAAGCAGCAGCCGCGTTGTTGGAGCACTCGAAGCGGGGACAAGCACTCAAGCTCGCAATGAATGAAGTCGGGGCTGCTTGATATTAAGCATGGGCATCTTTAGCTGGTCATGCATTTGTGTTCAAAGCAAACAATAGGGAGGTTATCATAGAGGAACTCAAACGTGACAATTTGCGTATGCGAACACATTTGTTTCGGAGGACTCGTACTATGAACACCTTTGAGCAGCATAAGCTGCCGCCTGAAATGACTGTGACTATCGGAGTAAGTAGCAACTTTCATGCTAGACAATGCCGCCCGGTCATTTGCCATAGAATCATTCTTCTCAATCACAATTGGACAATGCTGTAGCTTCATCTGTAACACATCTCAGCGCCGGGCCTTCTACAACCTTATAGTGGCTGGCGGTGCTGATGTCGATTTGCCACATATCTAGTCTTGCATCTCTCGTGCGAGTCCTAGCCCGACGCCCCTGCCATTCTTTGATACCTCGTTTGGGACTGTTTGACAGGTCTTCATGCATCGGCTTAAACAAGATTTGTTCTTTAAGTCCATGTTGAGGTTCAAGCTAGAAGGATTGCTGCGACGGGTGCTAGGAACCCGAAATTCATGTCAAGTCTCCGGATGTTCCCTTTGCTGAAACTTTGAAGCTTTGATGCGCCTAATACAATTTGAATGCAAGATGTCGATGCAGTGTGCTGCCACGTGGCACTGGCAACTATCTGATGTCATGCCGATGTCAGACCTGGAGGGATCCCCGGACCCCTTGCCTCTTCCGATCCGGTGTGATGTGATGGCGCGCGCCCCTGCATCGGGTCTTCGCAGTCAACGCGACTTCGTTCCACCTCAGATCTGCAAAACCTCGTGCAGAGGCATCACATCACACCATGATGCCCATTGCCAGTTGGGCAGCACTTTTAACCTTGGCTTCAAGTTGCTTGGCAGGTGAAAAATATGCTGGTTTGGAGGCACATTCTTCAGGGCAGAAAATCCGAAGGACCATGCAGAGTTTACCTAGGAGCTACTCGAACCTGTTCACACGTCACCTCAAAGAAGCTCCGAGGCTCGAGGACTGTGTCTGGCAGGTGGGCGAAGGGGCGTCGCTTTACATAGCAACAAGCCTTTGGTCAATGAGCTGCTGCATTGCGCCGCTGTTTGCGGACCGAGAGCGCGGGCGTTTTCAAGAGCAGGAAACTGACACAAACACCTAAGACCATCACCGACAGTGCTAGTGCACCAGAGGTCAGCAAGCTATGGCAGCACCAGAACACCAGCGAGGGGGGCACTACCTGGATGCTCAGTGCACTGCTTCCGCTGCCCCAGTCTATGGCCAGCCTGCTGTTCCCCAAATCCATATGATGCAAGCGCAGGGGCCAATGTACACTCCCCCAACTCTAGTTGTTCCAAACATGGCTGCTCAAGGCTACCCAGCGGTGTTATATCCAGGGCCTGCTTATCCCCAGATGGGAATGCAAGGCGTCAGATTGTGGGATGGGGGCGTCTGCGGATGTTGTGACAAGAGGGACGACCGGTGTTGCCTCACGTGCTGGTGAGCTGAACACCCTAAGATGCAAAATCTTAATGTTTTAAGAGTCGAAACGATTTGCAAGCTGATAAAGGAAGGGAATGGCGCCCTGGCTGGCGTTGCGTCGCATGATGTATAAGAAAAGCTTCTTGCGATATCGCGAGAAAGAGAAAGGGGATGGAGGAGAAGCTGAGGGTTTCCAAGAGGGGGTGTTCTGGCTTGTTCTCGAGTTCAGCACATTGGAATCTGATCTTGCTAAACGAGCAGCTTGCATCTGTTTGCTATTCAGAATGCTCAGAAGTCGATTTGCAAGGTGGTTACCCTGAAGCAGCAACCCTGGTTATAGCATACACATGCACACGTGAACTTTCATCAGACTTTTTGGTATGGACGTTTGATCTTGGGATATTTTACTGCCTTCAAGCTTGAGAGTTTGGGCATCAGAAAGTGCGCGTGCCTTCAGGTACGCATTCAGTGCCACTTGTACGGTGAGCTGTGAGAATTTATGCACCTGGAATCCTGCCTGAGATGAACTGTCTTCCACATGCCTTCAGGTTTCCGTACACGACGTTTGGCCAAGCGATGCAGAGGACTGGATTAGGAAGGTGTTTTCCCCAGGTAAGACTCTTGACCAATCTCCCGTCTCAGTAAGAAGCACACACCAAAAGGGTTTTACGCCTTCGTTCAGCGTTGCAACCAGGAAAGCAGAGGTCATCACATTCAGTTACCATGAAGTTAAGAGAACTGGTTTTAGATCAGGGACTTGAACTGATTCTGAGGGACCATCCTAAACCATCTTCAGATGTCCGTTATTACCTGCCCTTTCAATAAAACCTTCACATGTTGCAGCTTGATAACACAGGTGTTATGATGGGAAGCGTTCCATGAGGCTCCTAGGTTTTATGGCCTCTAATGAAACAGTTTCTGATATGGGCCTGGCTTTTCATTTAGCCAAATCTTCGCATCATTCAGTGGTGCTGACATTGTCAAACTTTCAAACCAGGAGCTTCTTTCTGTTGTGCTGTCTGCTCCTTGTTTGGCTATCATGGCTTCAACCTTGCAGCTCAATTTCAAACGCAACGTTGCTTGGGATCAGCAGACCTAGACTAAGCTCTGCGCTGTGTATGAATAATGACTTGTATGACTCCACTCGTAAGCATCACTGATTTATAAATTCTGTCTGACAACAAATTTCTTTGTCTACTGACCTCATTCCCGAACTGACGACTTTTCTCTTATCCAACCATCCAGGCACTGACGCACTTTTCTCTAGGCATCGGGGCATTTATTGTTCTCTTCATCATAACCGCCGCGACCGGCGTTGGCTGGCTAGTATATGTGGGCATCCTGCTTATGATATGCGGTTGGTCGTATGGGGGCTACTGGCGGAACAAGATGAGGAGACGGTTCAACATCTCTGGGGTGAGGGTTTCAGCTCTGTCGTTTCTTTCTCTGTTCTCTTCGAATCATGTGCTTGTTCGGTCAGGTCTTTTCAACTGTTACGTGTTGAAAAGTGGTAAACAGGAGGGTGTTGGTTCAACAGATGTAGCAAGCCCAAGCCACGTAAAAGCAGTTACGTTAAAAACAGAAAACTTGGAGAGAAGAAGCGAAGAAAATGGAGATGGAGAAAATAGGATACTCGTAGGGGATCCTGGGATCTTATGCACGATAGGCTGGCCACATAACGGTTCACAATATGAGCAAACCGAACGCCTAGCTATCTTTGTGAAACATTTTCAGAGCCGGCCTTTGAGGCATTTTGCGGCACAAACCAACGGGGTAGGTAAAATCTCCGCCTGCCTGTCTCCTTGCTTCCTGAGGCTTTTCAGAAGGACACGAAATGTCGTGGTCACATCATCTTTTTGTTAGGGACGTGAACCGGGAGAAGTCAATGTCATCCCACAGCTTACGAGCTCTTGAGCCCGTTTTTTCTTCCACTTGCAGGGGAGCCTCATCGAGGATGTATGCCTTCACATGTGGTGCTCAACGTGTGCTCTCTGTCAGGTGGGCATCTTCACTCTTAACCATCCTTGGTAACCGGTCAATGAAAACTGGCTCTGGCCAGGTTGGAGAATGGGTTAAAGCCTGATTAAGTGGAAGTTGAACTGGGTCCTGTCGAATGAAGACTTTTTCCTCAACAAAAAATCCGCCCACCTTAGGGAGCGGTTCAACTTCGACGAAACGCATGTTTGCGGGTTTCTGAGAAAGGTGCTCTTACTCGAAACTTGATACAAAAGATCAGCGTAGACAGAACAACCTGCCCTGGAGACTCTATTGCCGCTTTTTGGAACGACAATTGTCCTGAAGAAATGATGGTACCGCCTTTATCAGAGGCATCCTCTCAAAACTGCTCCTCAGAGGGCCTGAAAGACCGCCGTTGTCTCTACCAGCTTTAGTTTTGATCTTAAGAGCGGCTGTTGGGATCTTTCCCGCAGCGCCCTTCAATGTGGACCCACTTGTCCGGTCAATGATTGAGGGAGCTTTGAATGAGATCTCGATCAAGTTTGTGCTCGTCTAATCTGTCGTCTTAGCTCCTCGCCGATGCCCAGGCTCTCATCAACCATTGCCTAAAAGTCAGGATCTGCTCCGTTTGTCCTCGTACGCTTTCGAGCGCCCGAAGATATGACGTCTCAAAACGAGAGGCTGATACAGTGCTTACTAGAGCGAACGACATTGAAGATACACATTTTCTGTTGTATAAGAGAAGTGAATAGAGAGGAGTGGTGAGCGCTGGATAGGTTGACATCGGATTCAACCGTAGTGAACGGTCTATTGAGACGTATAGTTCGCAGAAAGGAGATGAACTCAACAAGAGCGGCGAGCGGGGGTGGAATAAACGCTTGCGAAGTGGTTCGAAAAAGTCTCTCTCGTGAGGAAGGAACCCATCTTACGCTCTTGTGATCCCTGGCGTTGCAGGAGTGGCGAACACTGGCAGATAACTGCCGTCAAGCTTGTTTAAACGTTATCTCTCCAGGCGGAATGATTTTTTCTTACGCTCTGGTTGTTCTACGGTTGCAGGAGAGGCGAATTCTGGAAGGCAAACGCCGTCGACCTGTTTCATAGGGTTATACTTTCCCTTGTCAAGTGATTCTTTCTTACGCTCTGGTTGTTCCACGGTTGCAGGAGTGGCGAACGCTGGAAGAGAACCGCGTGCAAGACGGAGTTTGGCAGGGGCCCGCCCCCAAGGCGACGGCGATTGTGGTCGGACAGCCGATCGAGATGGTGACCATAAACAGCGGTCCGCTTGGCTACCGGTAGAGCTCGTCAATAGGGCTTTTTAAGTCTCTAAGTGCGTTGTATATAAGTATGGTGACCTATTTATGAGTATAGCCTTAATAACCTAGGCAGAGGCAACTTCAACCAGAAAGTAGTTGATCGCGCCCGCGATCCAGCTATCACGACAGTTTTGGTGACGTTGCGAGTCTAATCGGATACAGAGCCGGTCAAGTGTTCAAGTTTTGGATCAGGCATCGTAGGTGAATGTAGGTTCCCTCGAAAGCGGGTTGTGTTTGGTAGCGGTAGTGGTCCTTCGGTGTCATATGCAATTGGATCAGATCGAGGGATCTTTTTCAACCTGCAAGTGCCTTCACTGCAATGCAGGCTGCCGCCCAGAGCGGAGTTGATGTCATAATGAAAGCCTAGCTAGCTGTTGAATTGAGGTGAACCCAGGCGCTGGAAAACCATGCATCCGCTCTGGCACATGACCAGCTAGTAGGCCTCAGCATGACTGAGTCGGACGCGTGCCGTCCCACTCGGGCCAACCGAGGGCCGGACCTTCGAGCTACGCGGCGCCGCCATTTGAAGAATCCATTAAAGTTAATGTGATAGCCGCGCACACGGTGCATGCCAGATCCAACTTAAATTGCATGTAAATTGTTTCAGTACGCGTCATTTACCCATTGATTTTGCACAATATAGAGCATATTACTGAGTAGCCTAAAAGGTCGGTGGCTTCATATGCATGCATCTACAAACTTGTGAGCGTGGCCACTGGCAGCGCTTGCAGTGCGCGCGCGGTGGTGGTCTAATATGCGCCAGCGCTCAATCGGTCAGTGCATGATGCAGTGACTACCGACTTTGAGATCGAGCACATTTAGTACTGCGCCCCAGCTAGTGCGGAAACGGACGCGCTGGCAATCATATCATGACGGTTGACTGAGTGAGCTTGCAGCAATCCGATCTGTCCGACTCATCAAAAAAAGGCTTTAACCTCAACCGCCCAGCCGCCCATGCCCATGCAAAATTTCAAAGAGTATGCTAACAACGTTGCATATGAGCAACTGTGGACGACGAACACCGCTATACCTTCCACGTTAGCAAAACCGGTCAATGGGACCACTCAAGCCTATCATGCACCTTCAAAATTATCTGCCAGAATCATGGCGCTCCTTGATCAACAACCGAAGTAAACGTGAGATACTCCGCTTCTAAGTTACGCAGTAGTAAGCACTGGTTGTTAAGGTGCCGTCGCTTTGGCCACATCTCTCCACCTCAGAATCAACGTTTCTTCTAGACCGAGATCTTTACATATCCGTGCTATCCGCTCCTCACTTAGACTGGCTAGCACGGGGATCCCCCTGGCATCGACCAAGGTTGGAGCCAATTCCGCTAGGCTCTTGGAGGGGCGGAAGATCATCCGTCCGAAGCGCAAGTTGCGGACAACTTCAGCGGCCTCGGACGCTTGGGCACCGTTCTTCCCGTCCGATCCATCCAAGGAAGTGTCCGGAGTGCTCGGAACGCCGTCCGAATCATCGCCCTCGCTCGAAACAGCGTCCGAACGGCTGAAAGCAACGTTTGCATCGCCTAAAATTTTCAAATCTGGTCTGGTTCCATTCTGATCAGGCTTCCCAGTAGAATTATTACACTCTTGACTCAAAAGGCCTGCCGTTTTGGACACTGAGGACGTATTGGAGGGCGAGGGTTCGGACGGGATTCGGACGGCTTCCGACTCCCGGCCCCGTTCTTCGCCGCTCTCGGACGCTTCCACCGGCGCCGTGTGTTCGAGAGCTTTCATTAGGTGGTCCCCGCCCTGCGAGAAAGCTTATGTGAGCAATCTACAACGGACGTCAGCTTTTTGCAGATGCTCACCATATCAAAGCCTCTGGAGTCGAATACAATATCTCAGGGTAAACAATCTGGTAGCGACAACGTGTATATTTTTCAGTGGACTTGAAATACCCTACAGCTCGCCAAGCAGATGGTGTCGACTTCATAGTCCGAACGTGCACTCCTTCAAAGGCTCAGGATCTACCTCGCACCCAAAGAACGGGACAAGAAAACGGATTGACTTGTGGAGTTCCACTGTCATGAAACGCGTCCGACACGTGCGGTGACAAGTGACTGCCTTTCCTGGTTGACACAGGTCGTCGTCAACAAGTCACCCCAGATTGACAGACTTACAATTTTAAATAACGGCAGACTGGTTTTAGAGGATTTCTAGGGCGCACCTTCCAGGCGTGCCAGTTGGCGTGCGCGCGAAACAGGTTGTAAAAAAGAACTAGGTTGGGCAGGGGCAGGATCGACAGGATCGACGACAGGGGAAGCGCCGCGGCGGTGAGGTACGTCCAGCAGCGGTGATATTCCTGGCCCCTGCGAGAGAGGAGAGCCTTCATTTTAAGGAAGAACGGAATGGAAAGCTCCAATTCGAGGTACGTGCAGAGTGGTGGTGTTCTTGGCCTGCGCAAAAGGAGAGCCGTCGATTGAAGAACAACGGACGTGGAGAGCGCCGATTCGAGGTACGTCCAGCAGCAGTGGTTGCAAAAGGAGAGCCGTCGATGTAAGTAAAGCGGAAATGAAAAGCTCTCGATGCAAAGTTAGTCGCGGTATGTCCAGCAGCCCTCGTGTTCCTGGCCCCTGCGGAAGAGGCGAGCCGTCGATCTGGTAGTTGCGTGGTGAAAGCCGTCGATCTGCATATTTTCGTTCACGGGAGCAGTCGACAATGAATGATTCGATCAGACCAACAGGAGCGAGGACAAAAGAAGCGCCCCAATATGTTCAGCAGCGGTGGTGTTCCTGCCCTGTGCCAGAGCCATCGATCTGGTACTTTGCGAAATGAAACCTGTTAGTCTCCAATGTTTTGATTAGGAGTACAGTCAACGCTACATATGGAAGCATCACCAACAGCATCGGTAGGAGGAATGCCGCACAGCCACAAGGTATCTAGCATTGGTGATAGAGAATGTCTACCGCAGACTTTGTGCCGATTCCGTGCACGGATACGACGAGCACTTCTTGTACACATTGAAAGAAACGGTTTATCTGAAGTCCTTCAGAGTCGTGTTCTAGCTCATGCGACAGAGAAGCGAGCAGTGCCTTTGAAATTCTGAGGGAAGGAGCCATCCATTCAAAAATTGGGCACAGACGTGACCTCCTGATTTGCAGAACTCCACACGCAACAGCCGTCGTTTGGCTTATAAGCATCCAAAGACGGGTTCGACGACTAAGGAAGAGAACCCTGGGTCCAGAAACGGTGGCTCATGAGAAACCTGTCAAGCTTTTGACTTTCGCACAAATTGACCGGTCCACCACATACACTCAAGGAAAGGAAGGTGTAAAGGTGTGCAGCGATTTGCAAGCATGGTCAGGCTCCAATTGAGCGGGTAAAATCGACCATCACTGAGGACCAGCTTTGATTGCAGAAACAACGCCAACTGAAACCGACTTCTGTGACGCGTTCGCACCTCAGAAGCAAAGAAGCGAGGGGATCTCTTGGCGTAAGGACCTTACCTAGCCGTAAGAACGGTAAGAAAGGAGGCGACTCACAACAGGACAAGTTCGAAAAGCAACAACATCGTGCATGAAGAGCCTCCACCGCCAGGTAGAGCCAGACTTACAGCGGTTTCCCTCAGACCTGTCCAGATTCAAGGAAATGGATTCGAGCGCGGTGCATGGTATCAAGCTTCAATCCGGTGCACAGTAATGCAAAAGCTGGATTTGGTACCTACCAGTCTGAGCTTCATGGCACGATGGATCCAGACCGGCTACATCCCGGACTGGAACCGACTGTTCCCGCGCAGCAACATCAAATATCGATTCCGTGCACCGCGCAATCCAAGCTCTCTGTAAACCGGACAGGTTCGAAGGAAAACCGCTGTACTGCCATCGAGGAAATGACCCCTTTGCTTCTTATAAGCAGGATCACAATTAGACAAGACGGACAAGCGTTTGGAGGAGACAAAAGAAACCAAAACTCAGACCAAAGGCACCTAGAACCAGGGACAGAAAAGCTTACCGCCGTGCAAGAAGCCGGACCCGCCGCCGGACAAGCGTGGGATTCAGTCCCATCGGGTAGACAACCTCCACGATTCCCACATCGCGCGGAATGCTCTTAAGGAACTGTTCCCCCGGATGGGCCTGCCGCATCAGCGCGTTGCCCCAGCGAGCAATGCGCGCTTTGAAACTTTCGGGGGGAGCCTTCTCGAGGGCGGCCCATTGGTTTTGCGCCTGCGGAAAAGTATGCAGCCTTTCAAAAGCTGGTGAAGACGGTTGTCTGTACATTAAGACCCTTGTGACTATCTGACCCGCTAACCATTCTGAAAGTGCAGCAAAAAGTTTTGCTTGTGAGATGCAGCAACTTGCGAGAGCGGCGTGCAAGCGGTATGGCTCATCATAAGTGCCAAATCATTACAATTAAACTTCTCCACAGGGATCAGAATTTGTAACATAGCTGCAAACCTGTCAACTGCTACAGGACCCCAATCCGTCCAGATCACAGAATTGAATGTTTTGACTGCCACCACAATTGTGCTTTCGAAAGGAGATGTGTCGTGATTAAGGATTAACAGGACGGTACAACCTTTCAAACCTGTGAACATTTAAAATTGTGCTGGTCAGGCCAACCAAAAGCCCTTGGCAGCAATTTACCGACTCCGCCAAAGCATATCTAGCACATCTGTTTCCAGAGGATGTGAACCATATGCGGTTGATGCCCTTTCTGCATACCACCTTTTATCGGCATTCAGCCAACTTCCAGGCTCTTAACCCCAGCCTTTCCTCGCAACACACCCATCGTTTCTTGGCAGTGCAGCTAACTGCAATGCAGTCCCTTCTTGCGTACTTTGACAAAGACGGTAGGTTCAACTTTTAGGGTTGCGAAAACTAGGCGTGGCGCCCACCTTCTGCGTGCCCCACTCATCCAACAGATCTGCTCGCTCCTGTGTGCTCTGCGCCTGCTTTAAGCTCTGCCACAACCCTGCAAATGACAAACCGCCAGCTGTTGCACTCCCTGGGACAGCTGGCGAGCTCGCATGGAATGCCCAGACACGGTTTTTGATCGGCAATGCCAGGATCTGCAGCGATCTCGGAACTGAGCCCGCCATCAAGAACTTCCTGACCGATTTCCTTAATCTCTCCCTCGGCTCAGCGGGAACCGCCCTTGCAGGCACCCCATTCCTGCCGGCTGGACTTCAAAAATTAGATCACCTAGAGCAGCTGCTCAGCTGCGTCAGGGCGCCAAACGAATGCTGCACCCAGAAGAACTCTGCGTCAGCTTGAGCTTGATTCATCGTTTCATGAGTGCACTTCTGCCACAGTGCCAGGTGTCGTGCACACGTGGAAATGTAGGCTACGTGCAAGGTAGCGTACCAGGTGGCGTACCTGTATTGAAGACCAATCGGTACTCACCGCATCGGCAACTCCCTTGCATGCCGGCCTTCAATTGTTGACTCCCCGGGGGACAGGTAGGGTTAGTTTGGCAGGTAGTTTAGGATGGAAGTGTTCCAGGAAGTGATCGGGTTTCGGACACCTTAAATAGGTACGTCAGATGTTTGGGTTTGAGAAACAACTTGCCCGGGACCACTGCGTCTCACAAGGGAGTTGCCGGTCCCACGTCTTGGTACCTTACCCCAGCCCGTGTGACTCGCGACGGCTGGCCGGCGTCCGCTCGCGCACAAGCAGACCGGTTCAGAGAGCCGTCAAGTTTCATGTGGCGGTTTCTAACAACGGTCAGATAAACCTCCAATCGACGGCTGCAGCAAGCATAACTAGATCAACGGTGCATGCACGCCGGAAGCTGCACGTACCTCATCTCGCTGACGTATGGCTTGGGGGAGTACCTTGGCGCAGGGTGCTAGGTAGGTACCTCTTCAGGCTACCTACCTATTGTGCACGACGGCAGGGCATGTGTACAGTGTACCTTCTAGGTAGTCTTACCTAGTGCCCAGTGGTTCTAGATTACCGGTAGGTAGGTACCTAGGGTACCGTCATTTTGTAGCTGGTACCCCCCCATAGAAAATTTGGGGGGGGGGACCAGAGGCTAGTCAGTGGTTGTCTGAGGCCCCTGGGGGGGGTGACCACGAGTTGGTGGATCTGCTGGAAGCCGGGAGGGGGGGGGGCTTGAGGCCTACTGCCGGAGGAAAATCATGCTTGCAGTGCATCCGCCATTTTGCTTAATCTGCATATGAAGATGGTCCTACCGGTACCGTCCACCGTCAGAGAAACATCGATGGGCAGGTCTTTGTCTCCGAAACGGCCACAACCGGCAGACAAAAATGGGCCAATTTGGTCTGCAAAATTTTAAAATTCAAATATATTGGGGGAGTTTTTCGAATAGGCCCTGGCCACAAATTAGCTGTCGAGGTGGAGAGGGGGGGGTGGCTTGAGGCCTGGTGGCCCCGCAGGGGCCACAAGGGGGGGGGGGTACTAGGCTCATAAAAAAAAGGTCGATTTATCACTAGGGGGGTACCAGTTACAAGATGACGTTACCCCTATGCAAAATAGTCCTGCATGGGGATTTGGGAAGATAGAATGTAGGTACCCAGAAGACCGTACAGAGAGAAAGTGCTACTAGTACCACTGTCTTCGATCCGTGTGCAATCATCCTTTTGCACCGAGAGCGACTTGGGCCGCCCGCTTCACCACTCACGACATGGTGCTCTGCCCCAGCTAGTGGATCAAAGCGGAAGCAACTTCCTCTCCTGATGCGGCTCGTACCCTCTGATGTCGAATGAGGAACCTAAGGGGAACGCTGAGGAGCAGGGGAACGCTCAAGGATCATAATTGGTCTTGATCAGTCTTTTAGGGCCTCAAAGGGGAGCCCTGCTCCAGCTTAGGATTAAGGGCGACATTTTTGGGTACATAAGCCCTCTCAGTTTGCAATTTATGGTGCAGTTTTTCCAGTTGAGCTGGTCCCTCAAATATTTTCGTGGCAGCAAGTGTTGGACGAGGACTTGCATGGCTCAGTGGCAACCATAAGCCCTTGGAGTGGAGTTGGAGCAAGGGTCCCGAACAGAGATTCCCAGCTAGCTCGTACTTGAAGTCTAGCTCTTCGAATTGACTGTCACTGCTGCTCGTTTTCCAGACGCTGACACTGTCCTATCGCTCATTTGCTCCGGAACTTGAGCAAGCGTAAAAGGATTGGAGCTTAGACGTCATTGTTTCTGTAGTAACAATCTGGTAACAATCAGCGGACAGTACATCATACTGACTGCTGAGTCTTTGAGACACTCCGTTGAGTTGATTTTAGAAAAAGCAAATCTCGGCACATGCCGTGCAGCTGACGTGGTGGCAACCACAGCAGCCACATACACAGCAGCAACTAGGAGCGGAAGGTTTTTCACGATGGGTGCGTTGAGCGATCACCACCGCAGGAAGCTGAGCTCTGCCAGCAGCAACCGGCTCAGTGAGGATGGCCGCATGGGCGGAAGCTTTGCCTCTAGTTCGGGGAGGGGCCTCGCCCCTCACCTCATGATGCTTGTGGCTGCCGTTGTGATTGGCGGGGTGCTGGGCCTGGCATATCAACAGCTGCACGAGAAGCACCCAAGTGGAGGTAACGGAAAGGAGCTCAAGAGCGAGCCTGTGGTTACCGCGGAAAATGGGGGTTTGGAAATGGACAAGGTGGTTTGGGATTTGAAGTCAGACCGGGGGGTGCTGGGGGCTGGCATTTT